GTTGCTTTTTGTCTTCCATTTCTTTCGTTTGTGATCTATTTCATTGTTGCATTTCGCAACTACAGATGTGGCGGGGTTTCAGGGTGGAGCCTACAGCTTTGGCTTCCGTCAGCCCTGCCCTATGCGGCTCCTACATCTCAGGGTCCTTCAGTACTCCTTGCAAGCACCTCTGAGAGGAAGGTGCCCTCGATTTTCGCCTGCTACCAAACAATCTAGGCTCTCCCCCACTGAACCCAGAACTGGGGTTCAGTTCAGTTGGAAGTGGAGTTGGAGGTGGCGTTCAGAGCAGTCTGGAGCCCCAGTCTCCTTCCTGCCAGGGCAATCCCGCAGCACAGCCAACAGTCCCTTCTCTGTGCGCAATGTGCGTGCCTCTGGGACCTCCTTTTGCAGCTCCCCCGGGGTCCGCCTTATAGCCCAGCTCCCCCTGTTTGAGCCTGGGTCCCCGGGGTCTGGCCTAGAACTGGGGTTCAGAGCAGTTGGAACTGGGGCCCAACACAGTCAGAGCTTTTATCTCCTTCCTGCTAGGGAAGGTCAGCCAGGCACTCAGCCTCCCTCCTCTCCGGCTATGTCCTCTCTGCGCGCGCCCCGTGTCTCTCCGTACCTTAGGTTTTTACAGCTCCTCCGCGCTTCCTTCTGGTTTTCTCCTTGCTTCTCGTTGTAGAATTTCCAGTCAGTTGACTTTCCTGTAGTTCTGGGTAATGTCCATTTTATATTTTAGTTGTATTTTATTGAAGTTGTTGTGTGCGGCTGTGGCTAGGTGTTTACCTGGGTAGCCATCTCGGATTCTCCCCAAGGGTAGGAAATATTAATGTCAACTAAAAATGGCTCAGGAAAATGTCAGACTTAATTTAGAAACAAGGTTAATTCAAAAAAGAGAGGTGACTTCACTTCTAGCCAAATCCAAATTTTTTTCTTTTCTTGGCAACTATAAGCACTTATCATCACTTCCCCTTTCTCTTATTATTCACAGTGCTACCAGGCAGCCCTAGAACTTTCACCTGACAACCTGATGTAAATGAGGAGACTCATCTGAGATTGGGCATATTTAAGATGCACATAAATCAGTCTACTAACTGACTTTCTTTTGTGTCAAGCTGTGTGCTATGTAATTTATCTTAATGATGTAATTTAATTCCTTCAATCCTGCAAGGTAGTAATTATTACCTGCATCTCACAGTTGAGCGAGCTAAGGCTGAAAGTGGTTAAGTGATTGGTCCAGGGTTAAAAGGCAAAACTGGGTTTAAAAACTGCTCTTATCACATTGCCATCATTGATTCTCTTTGGGACTTATTATAGAATTCTGAAAATAAAACTATGGAATATAGGGAGATTGATTCCCCACATTCATGCTGAAAAGTAGAAATGTTTATATTTTTTAATTGATTTAGATAGGAAGGGAAAAGAAGAGAGATATAGAAATAACAATGATGAGACAGAATCATTGATTGCTTTTTCCTACATGACCCTTATTGGGAATCAAGCCTGCAACCAAGGCATGTGCCCAGACCAGAACTGAACTGTGACCTCCTGGTTCATAGGTTCCGCTCACCCACTGAGAAATGACGGCTGGGCAGTAGAAATTCTTTAAGTCTAATAATAAATGAGCAAGAGGTGAGGAGAGCTTTCTTCTGTGTTTTCCACAGTCATTCCACTGTGCTTTGATTTGTATGTACTTTAGTTATTTATTTTATTCATTCATTCATTTATTTACTTATTTATTTTGGTTAATCCTCACCTGAGAATATTTTTTCCATTGATTTTAGAGAGAGTGGAAGGGAGGGGGAGAAACAGAGAGAGAGAAAAACACTGATGTGAGAGAGACACATTGATTTCTATGCACTTTAATATCTTATTGGGGCTCAACTGTGCAAATGCAGGAGTGCCTCCCATCTCTTGGGGGAATGCTGGGAAGGCCTCTCTGTCCTATTAAGGCATTTCAGAATTGCAAGGGGGTTAATGAAGGCTAAGGTTCAATATCACAGGCTTACTAGTGTACAATTTTGTCAGAGGAATACCTGATTAAAAGACTACTTTTGAAAAAGAGAGTGCTAAACAAACTCTAAGAAAGAGGTAACCTCAGGTGTGGGAAGGAGACAGGACAGCTGAGACTACACAAGAATATTTACATAAGTTACCAACAGTGTGCTGGTTCTCGAGTTGGCTGATAGATTCATAGGTGTTCACAGACAAATAAAAGAGAGCACTTTGTGACTTTAAAAATCAGGATGAAAGGAAAGGAAACAAAGTACAAGAAAGAAAGACAAGGAAAGGGAAGGCTCTGGTACCTGAAAAACTTGGATTCAAATACTAGTTCTGTCACTTACTATATATGATTAGACCACAACCTTATTATTTATGAAACTAGAGGCCCAGTGCACAAAATTTGTGCACTCGAGGGGGGGGGGGTCCCTTAGCCCAGCCTGGACCCTCTCCCAGTCCAGGACCCCTGGGGGGATGTCTGACTGACTAAGGCATCAGTCGGACATCCTTGGCTCAGCCGCAGAGGCAGGAGAGACTCCCACTACGGCCGCTGGTCTTGCCATCCATAAGCCCAGCTTCTGGCTGAGTGTTACTCCCCCTGTGAGGAAGTGCCCTGACCACCAGGGGACAGCGCCTGCATTGAGCATCACCCCCTGGTGATCAGTGCATGTCATAGCAACGAGTTGTTCCACCATTCAGTCGATTTGCATATTAACCTTTTATGCCTGTGGGATCAGGCCAAAACTGGCTCTCCAACATACCCTGAGGGGTCCCACATTTCGAGAGAGTGCTGGCCAGGTCAAGGGACCCCACTGGTGCACAATTGAGGCCAGGGAGGGATGAGGAGGGTTGGCCAGCTAGGAAGGGACTACGGGAGGGCTCAAGGGCATGTCTGGCCCATCTCGCTCAGTCCCAATCTGCCAAACCCTAGCAACAAGCTAACCAACTGTTGGAGTGTCTGCCCTCTGGTGGTCAGTGCGTGTCATAGTGAGTGGTTAAGTGGCCTTAGCATGATTAGCATATTACACTTTGATTGGTTGAACAGATGACCAGACAACTGGACATTTTGCATATTAGGCTTTTATTATATAGGATGAAAAATTATATTAGATTAAACCATATGAAATTAGTGATATTTGATTTTTTTTTTTTTTTGTCTACAATCTACCTCTCAGGTTGTTGTAAAGACAAAAATGAGGAAAAGTCCAAACCTAACAAGCATTAAGAGCTCAATAAATGTTGCGTGTTATTTTTCTCTTCATTTCTTACAAGTGTCAATATTTCTTCACGTGAAGCTACTTCTCTTTTCTCTAATAACTGCCTTCCTACCTCTATCAAAAGTGATAAAGAGCATCAACCTGTGAACCAAAGGGTCCTAGGTTCGATTCTGGGCAAGGACACGTACCTTGGTTGCAGGCTTCTTGGGCTTAGTCCTGGTCAGAGGCAATCAATTGATGTGTTTCTCTCACGTTGATATTTCTTTGTCTTTCCCTTTCTCTTCCATTCTCCCTAAAAATCAATGGAAAAATATCCTGGGGTGAGGATTAAAATAATAATAATAATAATAATAATAATAATAATAATTTAATAATAATAATTGCCAAAACCAGTTTAGCTCAATGGATAGAGTGTCGGCTTGGGGACTGAAGGGACCCGGGTTCGATTCCGGTCAAGGGCATGTACCTTGGTTACGGGCATATCCCCAGTAGGGGGTGTGCAAGAGGCAACTGATTGATTGCTCTCTCTCATCGATGTTTCTAACTCTCTCTCTCCCTTCCTCTCTGTACAAAATCAATAAAATATATTTTTAAAAAATAATAATAATAATTAATAATAATAATAATAATAATAACTTTTTTAAAAAGTGACAAAGAATTCCAAAATTTAAAATTATATCCAATTTTTGCATGCTTATTAAAGCTAGATACTTTATTAAAAATACTAGGGGCCCAGTGCATGAATTCCTGCACCTTGAAAGGAACTGTGAGCCAAAAGACTGCAGTGGGCACAGGGGCAGATCTTGGCCCATCCTCTGCACCCCTGTCCAGCCCCTCCCAGTGCTGCCCCAGTCCCCTGTCTGCTGGCAGTCCTGCTCCCACTGCCACTGCTCTCAGGTGCTGACAGCGCAGACCCCACTCACACCTGCTGATGGTGCAGAGTGATTGGGACTGTTGCCAGTAGTGGGTACAAACAGGGCTGGCACCGTCAGTGGGTACAAGCAGCAACTGTTGCTGCAATTGCCCCTCAGGAGCAGGAGGAGGTGAAGAAGCCCTCAGGGACAATCAGGGCTTGCAGCCACTGCTCATACCTGCTGAGCTGCTGATACTGCTGAGCAATTGGGGCCTGTGTGGGCAGCAGGTGTGAGTGGGGCCAGCGCCAGCAGCAGAGGTAAGTGGCAGGCAGGACCATGGCATGCAGAAGCAAAGAATTTTCAATAACCACTAGAGGCTCGTCACAATGACAGCAGCTGGCATCCCACCTTGGTCTGGTTTCCCTGCTCACCTGCTTCACCATCCCACCACGACCTACACCTGCCATGTCCATGCACGCCCCCTGGTGGTCAGTGCATGTCATAGCAACTGGTTGTTTAGTTTTTCCATTCTTTGGTCTATTACCTTTTATTATATAGGATAACAACCCCCAAAGGGGAATATATATATATATATATATATATATATATATATATATATATATATATCAGATATATCAGATATCAGATATATCAGATATCAGATATCAGATTTAATGTGCTCTAAACCCGAATTGAGGAATTCCTCGATCTAAGATACCTTTTCTACATGAACAACTCAGTTGGAGAAGTGTTTTATACATGTTCTATGCGAGTTCTCATCTATTTATTGTCATTTTCCCAGAATTACTGATGTTTTCTTGTAGTTTCTAACATTAGGCCTTCCTGTCCAAGTATAAACATTGGAAACATGGACAAACAGCTACCTAAACACGGTTATGAACCTAAAAAGCTCGGGAACATTATACTTATATCCTTCTTCTTTCTTTAGCTGACTTTCCTGTCCCAAGTATAAATGACTTTGGAAACCCAACTGCAAACATCAAAAGAATAACTTGTTCAACCTCTGGAGGTTTTCCAAAGCCTCACCTCTCCTGGTTGGAAAAGGGAAAAAAATTAAATGCCATCAACACAACAGTTTCCCAAGACCTTCAAACTAAGCTCTATTCTATTAGCAGTGAACTGGACTTCAATGTGACAAACAACTATCAATACAACTTCACATGTCTTGTCAAGTATGGAAACTTAACAGTATCAAAGATCTTCAACTGGGAAAAACGTAAGTCACATCCTGGAAAGTTTCTACTGTGGAGAATCTAAAAGGAAAATAACTCAGCCCGATACAGTTTAGAATTGTGCATATTGACTTGGACTCTATTTTAGACGAGCAAATAAAATGAAATAAAACATTATTGTGACATATTAAGGTCACTCACTGTACAAGGTATGACTATGTTAATAGATTAATTTTATTTTCTTTAATAAACATTCTAAAATTTAGAGTCCATGTAAGTGCTATTCGTCAAATAGTCATCTTAGGAAGTTATTACGACAATGTTGTTGTGCTTGAAAGCACTAACATTTGTCCTTCTTAGAAACTGCCCTCAGGTCTTTGGCAGTTTCTTTTTGGGCATAGCCTTTCCTTGGTCCCATGGCGTCAGTCATTGTCTTTTGTGGGTGACAGTGTGTTTAAAGAACTACGGGTTCATTCAGAACCAAGTCTAGTGAAGGATGAATAAAAACAACCATGGACAATGCCTGAAAAAATACGTCTTTTTTGAGCAAATATCATGACCAAATATGTTAAAAATGGTAAACTTAGAGAATTTTCTTTTCTCAAGAAATGAACTCATCTGAAAATATAAAATGGAAAAGGTTGGGTTTATATAAATTTATGCATGACAAACCCATAATGGGCTGTTACAAGAGAACCCAGATACTCGAGATGCATGTCTTATTTGTATGCCTGCTTATATAGAGAAACAACAGGCCTCTTTCTCACCTCCCAGCCCCACTCCTAACAATGTGTTCTATGGCTCCATAGTAAGAAACAACACACTGAGTTTACTATACAGTGGTATATAATTGTAGAGTATAGTATATAATGTATAGTGTGTCTTATGAGTTCCTCTTATCTTAACTGTAGTAGAGAAGATATTTTAGATAATCTCATAGTTCATTCTAATGAATGATTTACTCTAGATCTTTCTGTCTTGAGATGGATTCTTTATTTTCCTCAATAAGATAATGAGATAAAATTTGCCAGGGAAAAATAGTTCAAATATATAACAAATTTTGATGATTTTATTTATAGTCCAAAATCCTCTCTCTCAGTCATCTTTATGTATTCTCTAAAATGTGTAAAAATTAATCTGAATTATATAGTAAATATCTGTTAATTCAGCATTACTTTTCACTTAATTTATTATTATTTAATCAATTTTCGATTATGACTGAGGTGGGAAGTAATAACAAATCAGTAATAGCAGTTTCAGTCATATTTTATTTTGGACATTATTTACATTTGGAATATGGGTATATATGATATTCTAAGTCAGAGGATGGCAAAATTTTTCAGAAAAGGGCCAGATAGAAAATACTTTCGTCTTATAGGTCATATGGTCTCTTGCAACAGCTCAAATCTCCTATTATAGAATGAGAGCAACCATGAACAAAACATACATGAAGAACATTGCTATATTCCAACAAAAATTGTATTTTTTAAAATAAGTGGCAGGCCATACTTGTCCTGTGCATGGTAGTTTGATAATTTATAGTAAATAGAATGTAGCCCTTCAATAAAAAGGTGGAGCTATATTAAAAGATGACATTATTAGACAACCAGCTTTATCATATTTTCCCTAATAGGTTTTTTCTCAATTCTTCCTTCATGCTAAAGAGGAGGAGAATCCTATTTCAGTCTAATTCAAAAATCTGAGTTCTTTGCCCTATTTGGTCTACATTCACTATGATTAATGAAGAAATGATTAAGTGTATCTGTTTATTCATTCCTTTATTCAAGCATTAGGTAGTTACCACATCGCAAGCATTTTGCTAGATACTAGAGTTGTCTCTATGGTAAGAGAGCTTTAGTGTATAAACACTATAAACCTTGTTGACTGGACTGAAGGCATCACTTAGAGTCAAAGCAAATAATGCATTTGTGTGTGACCAATGACTGACTGCATAACCCAGGCCTGCAGGGGAAGGCAGGTGGGAGTGACTGGGCTGGCAGAGGAGGGCATTTTGGGGGTGACCAGGCCTGCAGGGGAGGGCAATTGGGGGTGACCAGGCCGGCAGAGGAGGGCAATTAGGGGCAATCGGGCCATCAAAGGAGCAGTTAGATGTTGATCAGGCTGACAGGGGAGTGGTTAGGGGGTGATCAGGCTGGCAGGCAGAAGCAGTTAGGAGCCAGCAGTCCTAGATTGTCTGACTGCCCTTGAGGGGTCCCTGATTGGAGAGAGTGCAGGCTGCACTGAGGGATATCACCCCTGTGCACAAATTTTGTGCATCAGGCCTCTAGTATAATATACAGATTTAGAAATCATTTATTGTTTCAAACTTTGGGTGTGGATGAGATCACCCAGGAGGACTGGGATCAGCGGCAAAAGAATGGGAAAACAAATGGGACCATGGGGAAACAACAAAATTTAAAGGACAAAAGAGGAAGAAGAACCTTAAAAAAAAACAAAACCTGAGTTACAACCAGGAGAAACAGAAAAATGTGGTGTCATGGAAGTCCAAGGTGGAAAACATTTCAACTTTTGAAATTTATCCACAAAGCTTGGTAATCAGAAATATGAGAAACAATAAGTTAGAAAGTGTTTAATATTTATTGTGAGCTACTCCAGAAAAACCAGAAGAGGATGAGCTATGAATATTCCTTTTCATTTGTGTTCCTGCCCTTTCTCCAGATGTTGTTGCTAACTATTGCCCCAAAGGGTTGAAAAATAGATGTTGTAGCAGCTGCTCCTGAGCAGGAGGGACAGAGCAGCACCATATACACCTTTCTACCCACCCCACCCCCCACCTACATCCTTTTTTGTGTCCCTGGGTTCCCTCTGTTCCCTGTGTTCTGCATCAGATAGCCAGGATGATCCTACCTAATACCAAGCCACATCCACTCTCAGTTCTTTGCTGAGCCTCTTCTACCATTCCAGAAACTCTCAAGGCAGTATGTGAAAACTGTGTATCTGAAAATGAATGCAGAATGAAATCTTTAGTTGGTGACTAAGAGGGGTGTGTGTGTGTGTGTGTGTGTGTTTTAAGAGGGATGCTAAGAGAAAGGGAACAAGCATAATAGAGCTGGATAAGGATAAATAAGATACATCTAGAACACAACATCAACTGATTATTAGTAATATATAGTAATATCAGCTATAAAAATGAGATACAAAGACAGGGTGGCTTTTAAAGTATTGCCTTAGAGTTCCTTTTATGCTAGCTTAACTCAGTAAGTACAAAAGTTCAAAATTTACTTTTATTTTTCACGTTCAATATCTGACATCTGGATATCAGCTGCCCACAAGTATATATCTGATTTGTGAGTTATCAAAGAAAATGCTATCAGCTGAGTAATGGAGAGCTGTCCAGGCAAAGAAGTGAAAAATACTCTTTACAGTTCTGTTAAAATAAGAGGCATACAATGGGTATCAAGCAATTTGAAACACATTAGAGCTAACACTATTCTTTTTCCTCCACAGCTCAGCCAGCACCCTCTCCTTTTAATCAGTCCTGGCCCTGGATCTTAATCCCAGTGGTTGGGATTTTTGTGATCTTTGTTATTGCAGTATTTTGTTATTGTCACCTGTGCAACAGTAAGTGATATCCTACTATCATCCTGTAAGCCAAGCTCTATTAGTACGGTTTAGCATCTCTCTGAGATTTTAAGCTATTCTCATTTTGGGAAAGTCTATGGAAATTTCAGTGTCTCCTTTCCATGGCTCAGCAAGTTCTGTTCACTCACTAGACAGACATTTCTTGAACACCTACTATGTGCCTGGTACTCTACCAGACAATGGAGTTAAGGAGATAAGAAGTCACTGTCCTCAAGATACTAAAGTCTAATTTAGTCCTTTCATTCCCCCCCCACCACCAATTTTATAATATTTTCTTGGAGACACTGAGGCTTGCTAACTAAATGAAAACATTTCTGATGTTATGTGATATTCTAATTTTCGATTCAGAATTTGAGAAAAGTCATAAATGACAAGATTGGGGGACAGGAATCATTTTCTTGGATGAGGGTAAGATGCACTAACTGAGTTTGGAAACTACATAGCCACGAGTGATTTTACCAATTCTCAATTCTACGGAATACATTTTTGGATGGAAGATCAGGAGTGGTTGAGGAAAAAAGATACATCTAGGATATTTTCCCCTAAAAGTTTAAAAACCTTACATTTATACTTCCTTTAATCTCTAATTAAATGAAGAGGAACTGCTAGGCCAGAGTTAAGGCCAAGTTTGCCATGAAGGAGTATCAACCTTTCTTAGAGGAGAAATAATGTACAGTGAGAAGGAAAATGGGGAGAAAAATCTACTGATTTTCTCAACCTTCAACACAAAAAATGTCAAAGGTCAGAGAAAACTAGAGATTCTTTGTTATGAACAACTCAACTCATGGGTAATATAAGAAAAGTCTGGTGACTCAAGGATGTTTCTGATACAGACTACCCAGCCTTATCCCTCTAGTTCAGGTTTCCCATCCTTAGTACTATGGACATTTAGAACTGAATAATTATTTGTTTTAGGATGCTATTCTGTGCATTGTAGCATGTTTATCAGCATCCCTAGCTATACTCCCTTCATATCAATAGCACCCCTTGCCCCAGTAGTGACAATCAAAAATGTCTCCAAGAAGCCAGGTCGGGTGCGGCCAGGCCCGGAGCAGCGGCTGCCAGGCTGGGAGCGGCCAGGCCCGGAGCAGCCGGGTCGGGTGCGCCCAGGCCCGGAGCAGCGGCTGCCAGGCTGGGAGTGGCCAGGCCCGGAGCAGCCGGGTCTAGTGCGGCCAGGCCCGAAGCAGCGGCTGCTAGGCTGGGAGCGGCCAGGCCCGGAGCAGCAGCAGCCAAGTCCAGAGCAACTAGGTCGGGAGCAGCAGTGACCAGACCCGGAGCAGCTGGTTGTGGAACGAACCAGAGCAACAGAGGCCAGGCCCTGAGCAGCCAGGCCCGGAACAGCTCGCTCCTCGCCTGCCGCTGCCCCACAGCTGCCTCTCAGACATGGCTGGAAACTTTTGCGGGAACTTGAGGGTCTGCTGAATCAAGTGATGAAGGCTTAGATCTGGATGTGTTGAGTTAGTATAGGGCTGGGGTGTTGATCTGTGAGTGCCTTGGGTGGGGCCTGGATGAGGCTAGTTGACCTATTGGGAAATGTCTTTTGTGTGAAGTGTATCATTGGGCATGTGGAGGTATTATTGATATGAGAAAATGCTGAGTAACTGATTTGCTGTCTGAAAAGGGATTTACTATCGGGGAAGGGGAGGGAAGAAGAGACTGAACATAAACTGTGCACCTATGGATGAGGACAATGGGGGATGGGAAGGGGGCGGAGGGTGGGGTGGGAACCTGGTGGAGGGGGGAAGAAATGAGGAACCTTTGTAATAATATGAACAATAAAGGTTGATTTAAAAAAAAAAAATGTCTCCAAGCATTGCAAATGGCCCCTGTTGGGAAGGAGGTGGAACTCACCCCAGTTCTAAGCCAATCTGAAGGTTTGCTAAAATATATGGGCATTTTAAGGGAAACTCACCTAACTGAATTATTATTTTTATTATTTTTTGTGTTTATCTTCAAGGACCTGCTGCAAGATGTAGAGAGAGAAGAAGGAATAGGGAGAGTATGGAAATGAAAACAAGCTCCCCTGTCATCTAAGGATCTAGAGAAGCATCAGGCTGAACAGGAAATGTGAAGGTAGCTCCCTTTAGCTCTTCTCTACCATAGTGGGACATATGAGATCATGGGCATCAGGAGGCACAGAGTTTTCTTCCTCTCAGTAGCAAATTTAAGATCTTCTACTTATTACCCCATCTTCTCAAAATCTCTTTCAGATTACTCTAAACAAATGACTAGTATCTCTCTCTTCTTTCCCTGAAATTTCCTTCTTATAACCTCCTTTGCTGTCCTATTCTGCCATCTTGAAATGTTCCTCTCTTGCCAGCCAATTCAATGTTTTTCATTATATACAAAACACTAAGTTCATTTTGAAGTAATATTCCTGATCTAACTTCTTATTCTAATCATCTCGTTTTCTCTGTTTCCCTTAGTAATGATGGACATAAATTCATGTCATTTATGAGTCACTCTATACTAACTCAGCAACACCATCATTGTTCTCTCTGCCTGTTAGTAACAGAGTCATCCTACTGATTCAACCACAGAGCCAAATTTCATAAAGAATTATTTCTCATCAGGTTGGTGTGGCTCAGTGGTTGAGCATTGACCTATGAACCAAGAGGTCATGGTTCGATTCCCAGTCTGGGCAGATGTCCGGGTTGTGGACTCAATCCCCAGTAGGGGGCATGCAGGATACAGCTGATCAACGATTCTCTTTCATCGTTGAAAACATACCAACATTCGCATCATAGGGGTGCTGGAAGGAAAAGAGGGAACAAGAAATGGAAAATCTACTTGAAAAAATAATGACAGAATACTTCCTTAACTTTTTGAAGGAAGTTCACTTATAAGTCCAGGAAATACATAGAGTCCTTAACAAGATGAATCCAAAGAGGCCTCACCAAGATATGTCATAATTAAAATGCTAAAGGTTAAAGAGAAAGAGAGAATCTTAATCAGTTAGCTGCCTTGCATCAAAATGGAAACCATCCCCACACGCCATGATATTTTGAATTTAATTTAAAAAAATCATCTGACTCTGGAGTTGAATAAAGGACGTCATCTTTCTTTTCTTCAAGGCACTTGGTTAGATTATTTCTTCATCCGATACCATTTCTGGGGACTAAACTTTATTTACACAATATAATATGTTTCAACTATAAATTCAATAATAAAATTTTCAATTCTACAGAAATATCAACAAAAGCAAATACAAAATAAAAATAAACCACCGACACAAAAAGCCTCGAAAACACTAAATTTTGTTGATACTCCAAAGACCAAAACTGTAAAGAAATAATGAAAATGCATACTATATTTACCATTTTAGGTGTGAAATTCATGATAACACAAACAAATCTCAAGTGTCATAATGAACCAAAAAAAATCTCAAGTGTCACAGTGTTTATCTCTCGCACATCTGAGTGGCAGCCCTATACTAGTAAATCAATATTGGAATTTCTTCCATTTGCACTGGAATATTTACAAATTTAAGTTACCATAATTTTCTTTACAACCCCAGAGATGTCACTAACAAGTCTGATTTTAATATTGGGCGACCAGAGTTGATATGCAAATTGATATGTGGTGTGTGGGGAAGGTCTGCTGCTTGTGTCTATAGACACTTACAGCATACAAAGGGTTAAAAGCAACAAGAGAAAATAAATATAAATAAATAAATAAATAAAGTAAGAGAAAGACAATTGGTTATTAATACTTATAAGGGAGTTCTCTATGACTGTTAGCTGATTTCTCAACAGAAGGGACACACTCAGGGGGCAGACTCAGTGAGCACCAAAACCTCATTGAAACAAGTTCTGCCCCATAAGCATGTCTCCAGCATAGCAGTTCTTCCATTATAGACACAGCGAGTCCTCAGCCAATTGTCCTGGAGGTCAATTCCTCCCAGTGACACCAAGAACAATCAAGACTTAACTACAACAAGGCTGTACACACAGTCCACAAAGGGGTGCACCAAGAGTGTCCACCTCAGGTAACTGGGAGGCTGATCCACTGGGCTATATAGGACACCTAGCACACAAAGCCACCCTACCAACTCAGGGAAGCAGTGAAAATGCAGAGACAAAGAAACAGATCACAAGCAAAAGAAATGGAGGAAAACAAACAACTGAATATAGAGTTCAAAACCATGGTTATAAGGTTTTTCAAGAATTTCCTAGAAAAGGCTGATAAATTTAATGAGACCCTCAAGAATATGAAAAAGGACTAACTAGAAATTAAACATACACTGACTGAAATAAAAAATATTATACAGAGACCCAACAGCAGACAAGAGGAATGCAAGAATCAAGTCAAAGATTTAAAATACAAAGAAGCAAAAAACACTCAACTGGGAAAGAAAAAAGAAAAAAAGAATCCAAAAATATGAAGATAGTGTAAGGAGCATCTGGGACAACTTCAAGCGTACCAACATCAGAATTATGGGGGTTCCAGAAGAAGAGAGAGAGCAAGATACTGAAAACCTATTTGAAGAAATAATAACCAAAAACTTCCCCACCTGATGAAAGAAATAGACTCACAAGTCCAGGAAGCACACAGAATCCCAAACAAAAGGAATCCAAAGAGGATCACACCAAAACATCATAATTAAAATGTCAAGAGCAAAAGACAAAGAGAGAATCTTAAAAGCAGCAAGAGAAAAACAGTTAATTACCTACAAGGTATTACTCATATGATTGTCAGCTGATTTCTCAACAGAAATCAGAAAGGGAGTGGATTGACAATTCTCAGGGGGGAAAGGGTGTGGGGGTTCAGGAAGAGACTGGAAGAAATTGTACACCTATAGATGAGGACAGTGGGAGGGAGGTAAGGGCAGAGTGTGGTGTGGGAACTGGATGGAGGGGAGCTATGGGGGGTGGGGAGGAGAAACACCTGTAATAATCTGAACAATAAAGATGTATTAAATTTTTTTTTAAACAACAGAAACAGATTTATGAATACAGAGAACATGTTGCCAGTTGCCAGATGGAAGCAGAGGAGAGAGGATGGGTGAAAAAGGTGTAGGGATTGGGAAGAACAAATTGGTTGTTACAGAATAGTCATGGAAATGTAAAGTACAGGACAGGGAATATAGTAAAAAATATTCTAATAACTATATATGGTGTCAAATGGATATATTTATTGAGATGATCACTTAATAAGTTATGTAATGTCTAATTACTGGGATATACATCTGAACTAATATAATGTATGCCAACTGTAATTGAAAAATAAAAATGATAATACAGTATACAGATGATGTCTTATAGAATGCAGACCTTAAACCTACATAATTTTATTAACTGATGTAACCCAAAAAAAGTCTACTTATTTATTTTTTAGTGATTTTTTAAAAATATGTTTTTATTGGCTTCCGAGAGAGAAAGAAAGGGGAGAGATAGAATCATCAATGATGAGAGAGAATCATCAACCAAATGTCTATTCCATGCCCCCTACTGGGGATCAAGCCCGCAACCTGGGTGTGTGCTCTGGCAGGGAATCAATTCTCTTGATTCATGGGTCAATGCTCAATCACTAAGCCACACCTAATAAATTCAATTTAAAAAAGGGAAAGGAGCCAAAACTGGTTTGGCTTAGTGAATAGAGCATCAGTCTATGGACTGAGAGGTCCCAGGTTTGATTCAATCAATATATATATTTTTTAATGTTTTTTTTTTTAAAAGAAACTCAAAACTGATTTGGCTCAGTGGATAGAGCATCGGCCTGCAGACAGAAAGGCCCCGGGTTCAATTCCAGTCAAGGGCATGTACTTTGGTTGCGGGCACATCCCCAGTAGGGGGTGTGCAAGGAGGCAGCTGATCGATGATTCTCTCTCATTGATGTTTCTAACTCTCTATCCCTCTCTGTAAAAAATCAATAAAATATTTTTTTAAAAGGAAAAGGAATCCTATCTAATAAAAGGGTAATATGCAAATTAACCATCACTCTGCGACAAAATGTCAGCTCCTATAGCCACAGAAATGGAAGCATCAGTTGGAGCCACGGAGCCAAGCCTCTTGCACGCCCAGGCCGGCCACTAGGGGAGACATGCAGGAAGTGCAGTGGGGAGTGAACAAGGTTCCCTGTCTGGGGGTTCCAAATCCACTATTGGTTCCTTTCACTGATGATTCCCCTCCTCGCAGGTACCGTCTCTGCAAAAGCTATTCCGTGCAAATATGTCATGTCCTAATGGGTGAATCCTAAATCAAATGGGTGTCACATCTGGACCACCTCACTCCCTTTAGAAAAAGACCTGGGAAGAGGGATTTAGGAATCATGAAGCCATCATGACCGGCTTGGTATCTAGAACTGCTGTCAGCACAGGCTGTCTGAGACCCTCCCAAACACCACCTGAGCTAAACCTGAGAACCAAGATATTTTCAAGTCCCAAAGCTGACAGGGGTAAGAGGGTAAGCAAGCAGAACAGCCAACTTGACCAAAGCCGCAGGAGCCTAAGATAACGCAAGAGAAATGTCCTGGCCACTGATGCCCTCCCACAGACGTGTGGGAGGTGTGTACGTGCAGAATTTAAGGCCACAGGCAGGAGGGAAAGTCGAAGCATGCCTAAGGACTTTTTGTACATGACCCACAGTCCAGAAGCAGCATTAGAATAAAAAAAACAAAGTTTTATCTCAGCACTGGGGTGTTTAAAAGTATCTAAAAATAGCAGTTCCATCACTGAAATCCACTGCCGTGGTTGCTGCCCATGGGAGGCGTGCAGAGAACTTTTAGGGCAGGGTGACAATGGCTCAGTAGAGGGAGAGACTGCAGCACTTCCGGTGTCCAAAGAGGTAGTGCCACAAACCTTGGCCTATCTGGAAGTTCAGTGCTGCTGGAAGTTGCTGGCCACGCCTTCTCCAGCAGATGGAGAAAGGCTGAGAGAGGAGAGGCTGGTATGGTGGCTCCAGTGGAACAAATCCTGTTGTTATTTCTGTTACTTAACCTCTGCACCCTCCAGGACAGCCTCAGTACCAGTGCAGAGGAGGCTTTGAAGAGAGTGGAGGTTAGCAGATAGTGGACTTTAGATATCCAGTGAAACTCCTGTCAAGAAACTTTCTAGGGCTGGCAGGAAAACTCAGCAGTGAGGGAAGAATAATGTCTCAAAACGAAGAGGTTGGTTTTTTTTTGTTTGTTTGTTGTTTGTTTTTTTGTTCTCATCAGCAAAATGTGAATATTACCTAAACCACAGACTTTGCGAGAATTAATTGAAATAAAATTGTGTAACAGCCAGGCTGAAGTGGATAGGTTGGTTGAGCGTGAGCATGGTCCTGTGCACAGAAAGGTTGCAGGTTTGATTCCAGCTCAGGGAACATACCTGGCACATACCTGGGTTTCAAGTTAGATACCTGGTCAAGGCTCCTAAGGAAGACAATTGAAGGGATGTTTCTTATACTGATGTTTCTCTCTCTCTAGGTCTCTCCCACTCTCTCTAAAAGTCAATGGGAAAATGAATTAATGCCGTGTCTATAAATGTGGATAATCTAAAAAGAGAAAAAGAAGTGGGGGGGGGCAGGGTCTAACCGGTTTGGATCAGTGGATAGAGCATCAGCCTGCAGATTGAAGTGTCCCAGGTTCAATTCTGGTCAAGGGCATGTACCTTGGTTGTGGGCACATCTCCAGTTGGGCTGTGCAGGAGGCAGCTGATCGATGTTTCTCTCTCATTGATGTTTCTCTCTATTCCTCTCCCTTCCTCTCTGTGAAAAAAAATCAATAATATATACTTAGAAGAAGAAAAAAACCATGGTAAAAGAGGTTGAATATACACTGTATAATTTAAAGCATGTAAAATAATATAACTTTTTAGGGGGATATGTGTTATCTATACTAATAAAAGGATAATATGCTAATTAGACCAGACATCTTTTGGACATCCATCCTGACGTCCTTCTGCACAAAGCCATGGTGGTGGGGGCCAAGGCTGAGGCCATTAGGGGCAATCAGGCCTGCAGAAGAGGGCACTTAGGGGCAACCAAGTCAGCAGGGGAGCAGTTAGGTATTGATCAGGCTGGCAGGGGAGTAGTTAGGGGGTGATCAGGCTGGCAGGCAGGAAAGTGGTTGCGAGCCAGCAGTCCTGGATTGTGAGAGGGATGTTTGACTGCCTGTAGGATCGGGCCTAAACCGGCAGTAAGATATCCCCCGAGTGGTCCCAGATTGGAGAAGGTTCAGGTTGGGCTGAGGGAGACTCCCTCCCCTATGCACAAATTTCATGCACCAGGCCTCTAGTTAAAAAAAATAAAAGATGATGCCTGGCCAGTGTGGCTCACTTGGTTGGGTGTCATCCCATGAACCTAAAGTTTGCTGATTGATTCCTGGTCAGGGCACATTCCTGGGTTGTGGGCTCAAACCCCAGTTAGGGGGCATACAGTAGGCAGCCAATGGATGTTTTGCTCTCACATTGATGTTTCACACTTTCTCTCCTCCCTTCTTCTCTCTCTAGAAATCAATTTTTAAAAATAGATGAAATACCTGAGACATATAACAGGTTATATTTTACAAAAGCATTTTATTTTAGTCTTATAAAAATCTCTACAAGCATGATCTTTCTATCTCCACTTTATGGGAGAGAAACACAAGAAGCTTAGAGGTGAAATAATTTGCTAATGTCAGACAGAAGAGTAGCAAAACCAGATCTCAAATTGGACATCAGGCTCAGATTTCTTTCACACCACAGCAGCCTGTACATATTTTCCCCACAGTAATCTCTCAGTTTCTTATCCTGTTTTCATTTCAACAACTTCTTCACTTCTCACTCCTTTCTAGGAAGCCTCCTCCCACCAAGATGATTGTTACTGACAGGGGGCTTGGCCCTGACTGGGTCTGCCTATGGACAGCTGGTAGTGTGTGGATTCCTGACTTCATGCAGAAAAAACTTCACAATAGGAGTCCAGGTGAATTTTAGAGGACATTTATTAAAGCTGGGGACAGTGAAACAAGGAAGGGCCTGGCATAGCAGGAGAGGGACTAGGTGGGGAAATGAGTCTAGATTGGGCTGCTATAGCTCAATAAGAAGTCAGAGAAATGAGGGCCTTAGGAATAGGAACTGCTGCTGCCCCATTTCTTTAAAAAAAAAATGACATTGGTATTTTGATGGAGATTACATTTAATCTGTATATTACTTTGGGTAATATGCACATATTCACTATGTTGACTCTTTGAATGCATGAACATGAAATATCTTTCCATTTCATTGGGTCTTTTTCAATCTCTTTTAATGCCTTGTAGTTTTCAGCATATAGGTCCTTCACATTCTTTGTTAAATTTATTTCTAGGTATTTTAATCTTTTGCTTGCTGCTGCAAAATAATTTTTTTTCATTTCTTTTTCTGAAGTTTTGTTGTTAGTATATAGGAAAGCAGATTTTTGTACATTGATTTTGTACCCTGTAACTTTACTATATTTATTGTTCCTAATAGTTTCTTTGGTGAAGTCTTTAGGGTTTTCTATATACAGAATCATAATAACCTGGCCATTCAGTTTTATATATATGTAAAATTATATATAAATTTACATATATATAAAAATTTTATATATATGTTTATTTTTTAAAGTGGGCAGAGGACCTGAAAACACATCTCTCTCAAGAGGACATACAAACAGCCAATAGATATATGAAAAGATGTTCAACCTCACTACCAATTAGGGAAATGCAAATCAAAACTACAATGAGATACCACCTCACATCAGTTAGTGTGGTCACTATCAATAAGACAAGCAATAATAAGTGTTGGAGGGATTGTGGAGAAAAGGGAACCCTTATTCACTGCTTGTAGGGATGTAGACTGGTACAAACACTACACAAAGCAATCTGGTGGTTTCTCAAAAAATTAAGAATAGACCAAACAACCCATCTCCTGGGTATATATTGGAAGAAGTGGAAAACATGCATTCACAAAGATATATCCATCCCTATGTTCAGTGCAGCATTATTCACAACGGCCAAGACATGGAAACAACCAAAGTGTCCCACAGTAGAGAACAGGATAAGAAGATGTGGTACATATATACTATAGAACACTACTCAGCCATAAGAAAGGATGAAAAATTGCCATTTGCAACAACATGTACGAACCTTGAGAATATTATGCTAAGTGAAATAAGTCAATCAGAAAAAGCTAAGAAGCATATTTTACTCATATGTAGGACATAAAACTGAAATTTGTGAACACAAACAGCAGTGTGGTGATTGCCAGAGAATGAAATGAGGGGTGAAGGAGGTCCTAATAAATGGTGATGGGAGAAGACTTGACTTTGTGTGGTGGGCACACAGTATAATGTACAGATCTTATAATGTAGAAACCCACACCTGAAACCTATATGATCATATTAACCAATGCCACCCCAATAAATTTAATAAGGAAAGAAAATCCTATGTAATAAAAGCCTAGTATGCTAAGTGACTGGTTGGCCATTCAACCAATCAAAGTGTAATATGCTAATGATATCCTAAGGCTGCTCAACTGCTATGACATGCACTGAGCACCAGGGGGCAGACTCTCTGACTGGTATGTCAGCTTGCCGCTGGAACTAGAGAATGGGGCCTCGGCTGGCCAAAATCCCATGTCCCTCCCCAGCCCTGATCGTGCACCAGTGAGGTCCCTCGAGCTGGTCTGTGCCCTCTTGCAATCCAGGACCCTTTGGGGATGTCGGAAAGCCGGTTTTGGCCCAATCCCACAGGCCAGGCTATGGGACCCCACTGGTGCACAAATTCCTGCACTGGGCCTCTAGTAAATAAATAAAATACAATGCCCTATGTGCCAGGACAGTGTGCTACACTTTACATACAACATTTCATTTAACATCCATTTTGAGTTAGAAACTCTCATATTTGACAGATGAGAACACTGAGACTTAAAGTAAAATGGCTTTCCTACAGTCCCAGGGCTATTAGCCAACATACTAGCTGCTTCACAAACCTTGTTCCTTTGAACAAGGTATTTTCAAAGTAGGAACTATGAGGTCTAACAGTAAAACAAAGCACTAGCAATTTTTTCCCTTTGATACAGTTAGTTCAGTCATTTTGCCCCCTCATTTAGTAAGTTACAATCCATAGAATAGCTTCCTTCTGAGGCAGCAAGCTTCTGGAGTATAGAGACTGTGTATCTATATTAAATAACTCCTTCATAATATAGCATAGACACTTTGTCAGCAATACTGAGAAACAAAATTGGGCTGTTTCTTTAATAATGCTTATTTACTTCCTTTTGTGAAATTTATCCTTTCATTTAAATGACATAGAAATCATTTTTCTTTAAATTGTTTATTAAAACAAAACACTGCACCCTGGTTGGTGTGGCTCAATTGATTGGAACATCATTCCATACACTGAAAGACCTCAGGTTCCAGTGTAGGCACATACCTACTAGGTTGTGGGTTCAGTCCCTGGTCAGGGTACACATGGGAGGCAACTGATCAATGTTTCTCTTACATCAATGTTTCTCTCCCTAAACGCCAATGAAACTTAAATCACTTCATTTAACATCCATTTTGATTTTATTTAAACCTTATCTTCGGGCAAGAATTAAAGAAAAACAAAAGCCAATCACTACTACAAATTTAGGCCCATACTGTTACGAGGTCCTAAAGGAACTAAGGTTTCACAGACAATTTGCCTTACCTGGTTCTTTTTTCTCCTCCTAGAGATCCCAGAATGCTCTTTTAAAGAGCTATAAAAATACATATACAACCTATAGATTCAACTTTAATCTTTTTAATTTATTGTTGTAAAATTCGGGAAAAAGATCTACTGATCGATCAATATAGATATGTCAAATACATATATTGACCAATATAAATATATGTATGTATTTAAATCTAAGGATAAATAAAGTGAGAGTACAACAGCCCAGTTTTTGGTTTTTAAAAAAGGTAAGAGCAAGTCACTGCGATTTTAGGTGCCAGTGCTTACACCTGTCATCAGCTACCCAAGGAGTAGCCTGACTACTGGCATTCAATGGGCATGGCAGCACAGCTCCCTTCAACTCTCCAATGAGTTTCAGGTCCAGTACATTTTCAGTCCTTGTCTTGTTTATCTGTTGCTGAGGGGTTTCTAGGAAGATTTAGCAGTGCTTCAATTTTCTCAATATCATCCTCGGGTTGATTTTTCTGTAGGCTACTTTCAATTTCTTCAGGGAGGAGCTCAGTAATTTGTAGTCTGGCTTTCCTGTAATCAAAGAATGAAAAGGATATATCAAGTTCTGTTCAGCTTCTTTAGTCCATAGAATTATTTTTTAAAATATAACACTTGTCTTATTCTCCCTGCAACTTATGAGCAAACACTGTTTCTTGCACTTAAAATACAATGGCTTTCTTCTCTCTCAAATCTGTTTCACTCACAAGCCAACTATAATTCTCACATTACCAAGATGGATATTGCTGCTGTGTCAGCAGAATTCTTAAGAGGAGCAACATGCAAGAGCTGAAACACCCTAGCGAGGGTGTGAGCCTTGCAACCTGGCTGTCCTCTTGCCCTCAGGGTCAGGGTACATGAGTACCCTGACACTCTGTTAAACTCTCTATGGCCAGACCTTTCAGAAACTGCACAGAGGTTGTAACAATGGTAATCCTGATAGAGAAAAATCAGATGGGACAACACTATAGATGAATATATATATGGAATTAATATCTAATTTCCAAATAACATACCAGTTATTATTCTAAACCATGCATTACTATCTTCCTTTCTTTAAGAAGGTGATTATCAGGGTCACCTATGACTTTCTTTTCAACTCTTCACCATCACACTTGACCACTTTTTCTTCTGTATGTCTGTAGCTAGTGTTCTACATTTTCTACACACGACAGCAATTTTTTAGACTTGCACTTTGTTTGAGTCCCCTAGAGAAGTAGACAAAGATTTTTAACTATTAATTAGATTACTACTACTCAGAAATATATATATTTATATCCTACTCATTTTTGTTACTATTCCCTTCTGCCAAAGTATTCTTTCATTATGATAATTAATAGTTTTTGTTTTTACCTATTATTGAGGTTTTTCACTTCTGAATAACTGATCAACTTCTCTAATTTTAAATTGTAATAAAATTATTTGTTCATATTTTCCAAAATGCTAATTCTTCCATACTTCATATATCAGATTCAAATAGCCAATATAGGAAAATCCAAGATGGTGACCTAGGTAAACACCTATACTTGCTGCATCTCACAATCACATCAAAATTACAACTAAAAGGCAGAACAACTACCACCCAGAACTGTGGGAAAGCTGGCTGAGTGGAAGTTCCACAACTAGAGAGGTGAAGAAAGCGCACGGAGACTGGAAAGTGGTGCAAAGGCACAGAAAGTGCTGGCACCTGGATATGCTGCTCTTTTAATCGGGAGGGACATAGAAGCACCCGCTTGCTCTGAACTCCAGTTCCAGGTGAGACTCTGGGGGATTCAGATATAGACAGGAAGAAACTGAACTGTCTAGCATTAGGACAGGAACATGACGGGGGCTTTCTCTCAGAGGTGCTCACAGCGATCATTGTTCCTGCACAGAGGCACAGGGCCCAGAAACCTGGGAACTTCTCTGGTTCGTCAGCCATTGCTGTTTGCTCAGCACTGGTGATTCCCAGAGAACCCGTCCCACCCCATTTAAAACCCCACCCAAGCTGTGTGCATCAGCTTTTGCACACGAATGGCCTGTCTTTTCTCTGCCTAAAACCTGTCAAACTGCAGCTGGGTCAGAGAGCACCAGAACTTCCAAAAGAAGGCCCAAGGCCGGGCAGCAGCACCCTGCCTTGTATCACTCATTCTCCCATGCAAATCTCGGAAAATTCCTTTTCTCGGGATATTGCAAGAAATCCAACCCCATGAAGACCTGGTGGAGATGAAGACCCCCCCTCCCCACTTCCACCTGTAACAATTGGACAACAGATCTACAGATATTAAGAATTCCCATGTCTCTGTGTGTGTTTAGCACAAATGGAAGTTACAAATAAAAACCTGGGGGAAAAATGACTGCTTATCTACTCAACTATCAATGCAGTAGGTGCAGCAAATGTCATCTTAGGTACCTAGGAAGCTGAACCCTGAGAACTATTTGTACAAGAAACACTAAATGGCAGCCTGTTATATTGATCTTACAAAGAACCAGCATGAACCAATATGACTACTGGCCCAGGGAATGACTACATGGAACCGATGAAAGTTTTCATTTTCCACAGTGGTATCCAGTCCATGTCCAGCCACAATGTCTACCTAATTCCTCTGCACCAACAGCAAGAAAGAGAATCTTTTAATGTGGAGACTGAACATGTTCTGCATTGTTTATAGATGTATGTGTACACTGGGATACCACCTTTTACAGAAAGCCAAGTAAAGTTTACTCACTGCTGTGCATTTTCTTTATATAATTTCCTTATGCAGTCGAAAATATAGAAAAGAAAAAACATGCAACAAAATGAAATTTACATTTTAACTTAAAAAAAATGTATCTAAGGAAAGATCCTTGTCAGATTAAAAATGAAATTAGTATCTTCCATTTTTTCTAATCTCCTTAGTTAAAAAGATGAAAAGACCAGGTAGGGTACAAGTTGAAGAACTCAGTAAAAATAAACTTTTCTTTGAGCTGAATGGTTTAAGAGAAAGGCCTAGTTCCTTACCACTCTTCCAGTTTCAGCTCTTGGAGTATCTTTTTATCCTTCTGTTTTCTCTCCTGAATCGTCTCACCATTGTACTTCTGAAGTGCCATCATTAGGCCTCCGATAGGAGTACTGAGGAAAAAGCAGAGGGGAAGCTTAGGAAAAACAAGCCATTAGATCAGGCAAGATGTGAGCATCTCTGCTAAGACACGAGCAACACTACCTGAGTCACTTGTTCACTGACAGGTACAGAAACATTTGACAATTAAAGTGTCCTTTTGAATAAAGAAAAAAAAAAAATCAAGGTAATTTCCTTCATGGTCTGAACAACAGAGAAAAACAATAACGGTAACTTCTTAAAAGTAAGTGATATAAATTGACTATTTTCTTTTTTATGAAAAATTAACCAGGAAAATATATATTTGTGTCAAGATCTAGTAAGCAGCTATAATATATACTAAAGGTTTCTCAGAATAAAGTCAATATCTGGAATGGTACCAGATCCTCTCCGGGGCCGGTATTTTTGATTGGAGGAGGAATGCTACTAGCTTTTGGGGTTGAAGCCACCAAAACATCCTAAAATTCAAAAGTCCAGCACAAAATTTCACCCACAATGCCAAGTCACCTATTAAGAAACTGATTTACATAAAAAATTATCACTTTAAGGAAGAGGGTTTCATTCTTGTTATCTCAAAGAAAAGCAATTTTTTTTAAAAACCAAAATGGCACCATAGGTAAACGCCTATAGTCACTGTCTCCCATAACCACATCAAAATTACAACTAAAATGCAGAACAACCATCATTCAGAATTGCCTGGAATTTAGCTAAATGGAAGTCCTACAACTAGAGAAGTAAAGAAGAAAGCACATTGAGATTGGTAGGCGGAGGCCTGGAATCGGTTAGTTCGACACCTGCATGTGGCTTTTTTTTAATCAGGAGGGATATCTCGGCTGCAGGGACCTCCTGTGAGCAGCAAAGAGTCCCAGCCCCACACCACACCCCTCAACCCAGAGTTCCAGTGCTGGGAGGAGAAGTCTCCATAACTTTAGGCTGTAAAAATTGGGAACCAGGGGGAGAGGGGTAATAGGAGGAAAAAGGGAGACATCTGTAATACTTCCAACAATAAAGGCCGGGACCGGTTTGGCTCAATGGATAGAGCGTCGGCTTGGGGACTGAGGGGTTCTGGGTTCGATTCCGGTCAAGGGCATGTACCTTGGTTGCGGGCAAATCCCCAGTAGGGGGTGTGCAAGAGGCAGCTGATCGATGACTCTCTCTCATCGATGTTTCTAACTCTCTATCTCTCTCCCTTCCTCTCTGTACAAAATCAATAAAATATATTAAAAAAAATAATAATAAAGGTGTGTGTTTTTTTAATGTATAAAAAGAAGTTTTTGGCTCCGATATCATTTAAATTTACTCTAACTACAATTTAAGTAAGCTAATTTAAAAAATATTCTTGGTAAGTGGAAATGACCATTGACAGATGAATGATGAAAATGTTAATAATATGGAATGGTATGCAGCCTTAAATAAAGAGATGGATGAACTTTAACATGGATGAACTTTAAGGACATTTTGGTAAAAAAAATAAAAATAAAATAATAGTAATAAGCCAGCCCTGCCTTGTCTGGCTCAGGGAATAGGCATTGGTCTTTGGTCTGAAGGGTCCTGGCCAAGGGCACATGCCCAGATTGCAGGCTTGATTTCCCAGGAAGGGGCATGCAGAAGGCAGCCAATCAATAATTCTCTCTCATTGATGTGTCTATCTTCCTCTCTCTCCCTTTCTCTCTGAAATCCATAAAGATATCTATAATAATAAAAGGGTGATATACTAATTAGACTGGATGTTATTCCAGACATGCTTCCTGATGAAGCCAGGGTTGAAGGGAAGCCAGCCCGGGTCTCGAGTGCCTGCAGGCAGTCCGAGGGAAGCCAGCCCAAATCCTGGGGAAGCTGGTGCTGGCGGCTGGGGGAAGGAAAGCCTACTCTTGCAGGAATTTTTGTGCAGTGGGCCTCTAATCATAATAATAAAAGCATAATATGCTAATTAGACTGGAAGATTGGACAACCTTCCTGATGACATTCCGAAATCCCAGACAAAGCTGGGGCTGTGAGGGCTGAGGCAAGCAGCTGCAGCTGCAAGGGCTGAGCCCCTTGCACAAATTTCATGCACTGGGCCTCTAGTATACAGCATATATTAAAAGAAAAATAAGCCAGTTACAAAAAGGTCCGTATGATTCCATTTGTATGAAATACCTGAAGTGTTCAAAACCAGAGAAACAGAAAGGTAGTTGCCAAGGGCTGAGGGGCAGGTAGAGGAAAAGAATTAGTGTTTAATGGGTACTGACTTCCAGTTTTGCTAGATTAAAAAGTTGTAGAGATCTTTGCATAACAATGTGAATATACTTAGCATCTCTGAACTGTAATATTAAATATGGATAAGATGGTAACTTCTTTTTTTCCCCATAATGAAAGTAGTTTAGTTTTGTTGCTAGCTTCAACAATTCTTATATTAAGAATCTGGTATATTAATAATACAACAAAAATTATGTTAGCAATGGATTATGAAATGCTAAATTTTAAAAAAATGTAGTTAAAGAAATGATCCATAAATCTAGTGTTACCTCTTTCTGAAAAGGGGGTGGGAGAACCCTCTATTCAAGTGAATGCCAACTAAAAAGAACAGAAGAAGTGATAGAATAGCTAATCAATGTTTTGTCTTGGTAATAATGGATTACAGCACGGATTAAAAATCACTAGAAGCAGCCGAAGCCGGGTTGGCTCTGTGGTAGAGCGTTGGTCTGCGGACTGAAAGGTCCCAGGTTCGATTCTGGTCAAGGGCATGTACCTTGGTTGTGGGCACATCCCTGGTAGGGGGTGTGCAAGAGGCAGCTGGTCGATGTTTCTCTCTCATCGACGTTTCTAGCTCTCTATCTCTCTCCCTTTCTCTCTGTTAAAAATCAATAAAATGTATTAAAAAAAAAAATCACTAGAAGCAGCTGGAAAGCTGGCTATTCACGGACTTTCACCCCCACAAAGTACTTAACCACAATGGGAAAAAATACCTTTGCAATAAAAAAATGTATTAGATACCCAATGTGCCAGGTTCGATTCTGGTCAAGGGCGTGTACCTTGGTTGAGGGCACACCTCTCTCTCATCGATGTTTCTAACTTTCTATCCCTCTCTCTTCCTCTCTGTAAAAAATGAATAATTAAAAAAAAAAAGAGTAAGTCTATAAATATTGAATACGAAATAGTTTTTTTTTTAAAAAAAGGAGATTATCTGTGTGAACCTTTTCCAAGCAGAGTTTTCTTTGGCTATTATTAAAGTGGAAGCTATTATTAAAGTGGAGAGATTTGAAGTATGAGAAGCATTCAATATGCTGGTTGCTAGTTTGAACATGGAGGGATATTGTGAGTAGGAATGTGAATGCCAAAAGGGACTTCTGAGTTACTGCCACAAGGGTTTTGTCAACAACCTGAATGGTCTGAAAACAGATTCTTCCCCACAGCCTCAAGATAAAAGCCTGATTGGCCAATACCATGATTTTTTGCCTTGTGAAACCTTTAGCAGAGAACCTATTCAAGCCTACCCAGACTTCTGACCTATAAAACTATGATATAATTAATGGAACTCTTCTACATTAAAGGAATCTGAAAAGATACAACTACTAAATGCAACATAGAACTGGATCCTGGGTTTTAAAAAGTTTATATACACATATTATTGCAATAATCAAAGACTTTTGAATACAGAACCTATCTTAGATAACTGTATTGCATCAATGCTAAATTATTTAGTGTGATAATTGTACTGTGAAATAACTGGACAATGTTTTTTTCTTTTCTTTTCTTTTCTTTTTAAGGAAACAGCTCATTGGATAGAAGAATCTTCAGTGGACGTGGTATCATGAAAGCCAAGAAAAGATAGAGTTTCAAGACTGTGGAATTAACCCTGACTGGGTGGCTCAGTTGGTTGTGCTGTAGACAGGTGGACAGACACAAGCAGAGCAAGGACGATAGGCCACGTACAGAAGGTCACCAGGGTGGAAAGTCCCAGGTGCCTAGCAAAGGGCAGTTGTAGGGTGGGACTTAGCCCCTAGGGTGACTTCTCCCCTGGCATATCACTGGTCATGAAGTTTGGACCCCTTAACCTTTCCTCCCTAGAGATAAGATCTAGGCCTCAGTTGTATTTCAGCTCCAGGCCAGAAAAGCAACAAATCCAACCTCAGGACCAGCTGCACTGAATAATGACCCCCTGCCCTGGTAAAGACAATCAATCTGTGGACACCTAGACCCTGACAGGACACACCAGGAAAACTGCTGCATATTCTGTTATCTTCCCCTGGGGCCTCCCCTAAAACCTCCCTCCCAGGAGCAGGCCCCCTTGTCTTTTTCCTCCCCTTTTTCCTCCCACAGGCAGGTCACCATTGGCTGCCTCACTCCCAAGCTCCCAGGGCCCTTCCTTTACCTCTATAACTTGTTTCTGAAGCCCATTTCTCCTAGGAATTACTTCTTCTTCCTCTGCAATTTTCCAAATAAATGTTCTCTTACAATTTGGGTCTTGGCTCTGAATTCTTTCCTAGGCAGAACCCAAGTACTGAGGTTGCTGAACTCAAGTTTGGTCTGACCATAAGGGTCAGAACTGGTGCTATTCCCACCGCCTAAACAGTGTCACTCTGTACACCTGGGATGGGGACTTTTTTTCTTCCAAGGGCCATTTGGACATTTATAACATCACTCTCAGGCCATACAAAATTATAACCTTAAATATCAGCCTGCTATATTTGGTCAGACATTTAACTAACTCACCCCTAATGCCTTGGCAGGGCCAGACCAATGATTTCTCAGGGCCAGACATTCCCTACCTCTGCCGTACACCAAAAAGGTTGCCAAGTTCCATTCCTGGTCAGGGCACATACCTAAGTTGTGGGTTCAATCCACAGTTGAGACACATATAGGAGGCAACTAATATCTCTCTCTCTCTCTCTCTCTCTCTCTCTCTCTCTCTCTCTCTCAAGTTTAATAAGCAACATATCCTACAGTGATGTGGAAAAAAGGGGGCCAAATGCTAACCTGACAAACTCAGGGAATGCCTGTATGGTAGCTGTGCAAACTCAGAGAACTAAAGTAACCACAAAGGATGGTCTGAAATTAAAACTTTAAAGAAAAGCAGTTTATGGTGGGTAACCATGTCCTAGCCAGTGGTTGGCAAACTCATTAGTCAACAGAGCCAAATATCAACAGTACGATTGAAATTTAAGAGCCAAATTTCTTAAACTTAAACTTCTTCTAACACCACTTCTTCAAAATAGACTCACTCAGGCCGTGGTATTTTGTGGAAGAGCCACACTCAAGGGGCCAAAGAGCCCATGTGGCTTGAGAGTTTGCGGACCATGGTCCTAGGCAGTTCCTTCCCTGACAAAGGTCAATCTCTACCTTAACTGAGCCTGTCTATCGTTTTGTTCTATCTGCGATAACATATCACTGGAATGTCAAAGTAACTTTCTTTTCTGGACCCCTGAAAGCACAGGCACCATTCTGTGGAGACCACAAATTCCCTCATTGTCACTGATTAATTGTTGGCTAACTATCTTCTACCCACCTAAATAAAAGAAGTATATCTATCATTCTACTCTATCCAATCCCAGAGGTTTCTCCACTCTGCTTCCTCCCAACTCCCCAATCTATTACCAATGAATTTTATATAACCCACTTACGTCTCCTCTTTTGATTATAATGTATAAAACAGGGTGCAATACTGCCATTCTCCGGAGCATTATCTCAATCCGTTGAGATTCTGCTTCCCGGCATTTGTCAACAGTTTGGCTGTAACTCACAGAAATTCTTCACAGGTGTGAATGTTCCATCAGTTGACAGGATAAAATAAAAAAGATGGTGGAACTACAAAACAGTGCTGGATACTACCACAAGATTAAAGAGAATTAGAGCCGAGAAAGGTTTGGTGAACAAATGTGAACTAGTAACTGGACAGTTGGAGAGGGCTACTGGTGAAAATAAAGATGCCTGTGTAGGCAGAAGACACTACCATCTCCTGCCTTTAGATGGTACAGATGTGGAAATTTCTGCCAGGTCAATTCAGTTCAACCAGTATCTGATGGTCATAGCATGTGCTAATCAGGGCCACCAAAGCCTTGTTCTTAAGCGGCTTCCAACTTAATTGGGCATTCCAGTATTCAAGTATGAAGGTAACCAGAGAACACAGACTAAGGCACTGGCCTCTTCCCTCCCATTCCACTTCTGCCTTTGACCTGCCACCTTTCCTCTGCTTGCTGGTCAGGTGAGGACAAACAGAAATCCTCTGATGGATTAACCTCAGGCTGAAATGCCCATTGCCAGAAAACCATTCAGCTGAATATTATATAGTATAGTTATAGCATGTTTTGTTTCTTTATTGTCACTGAACAATGTTCTTATCCTGGGAGATACATACTGATGATGCAGAATTATGAGGTTTCATATGGTTTAATTGAAAAGGAAATATACATACAGCCACATATATACAGAGAGATGGACCATAAATATGGCAAAATGTTAACAATTGGTGAATTCAAGTGAAAGGGTATATGGTTGTTCAATGTACTAATTCATTCAATGTACTTTATTGTAGGTTCAGAATTTTTTCAAAGTAAAAAGACATTTAAAAAAATTAATAACTAAACAAAAACCAAAACTTTTTAAAATAAAATATGCTTAACTTTCTTATTCCTTTTTCCTGCTCCTTATAAGGACCTTTGTTCAAACTATAAATAGTTTCAGATGTTCGTGATATTTAAAGTTTTCATCCAATGAAAACTGGAAGTAAATGAATAATTGGGATAGAATTATAATTGGACAGTCAAAGCTACTACCAACACAAGACTAGAGATCTTTGTTCTTTAGAAATGAATGAGATGTTTAACAAGCCAGTCATTAATGAAAGTTGTGTTAATTCAGAATCAAACCATGTTAACACTTACCCTAGCAAGGCTCCAATTATGCCACCAGCTACAAAACCAGTCAGTCCTAAATTTATTCTAAAAAGGCTTCCTGAGACAGCTATTTAAACAAACACAGAAAAACAGCATTATTAAGTCATCTTTAAGTGCCAGAATTATATTTTAAAATTATCCTTCTATAAAAAGGGCATAAATACCTATAGTAAGCTTTCTGAGCCCAACATTAATATACTACCACAACCCAGATTTTCTGAGTCTAAAATGCCAATATAGCTAGTGTCTCTTCTGTGGGTTCAAAGGAAGAAATGTTCAGTTTACAAAACGAATTCCTCAATGTGTTCTATGGATCCAACCTCTTCTCATTTTGCTTCATTATTGTCTGCCTCCCTCTTAAAAATCTGTAATCTCTTCACTTCCACCCTTCATTTCTTCCTTCTTCAAGGAAAGCTTTCCCCAAATAAACAAAAAACCCTGCAGCTTATGCCTTCCCCCTTTCTGTACTGTTACCCTACACCCCAGGCAGGCCTGAAAACGTGCATCTGGCTTACAGTGCCACCTGGTGGCTGCTACACATGTACTGTTTCCTTCCCACTAGAATTGTACATCCAAAATGGTCATTCATTTTTCCCTTTTACTATAGACAACAAATCTAATGGCAGTTGAGGTGACAACATTTTTAAAAATAACACTTGAGTCCTAGCAGGTTTAGCTTAGTGGGTAGAGCATCAGTCTGTGAACTGAAGGGTCTCTATTTCGATTCAGGTAAAGGGCACATGCCCAGGTTGAGGCATCCAATTAATGATTCTATCACTGATGTTTCTATCTCTTTCTCCCTCTCCCTTCCTCTCTGAAATCAATTTAAAAAAATATTTTTTTAAAAATAAAAAGACAGGTTAAGTAGGGGCTGAACAAAATTAGTTCTGGGAGTGGGGAAGGTGGGTTCAAGGAGAGGGACCAGCCCTAGCTGGTTTGGCTCAGTAGATAGAGTTTAAGGCTGCAGACTAAGGGGTCCCAGGTTCGATTTTGGTCCAGGACACGTACCTCGGTTGCAGGGTTCACCCAGGCCCACGCCCTGGTTGGAGCGCATGCAAGAGGCAACCAATCAATGTGTTTCTTTCACATTGATATTTCTCTCTGTGTTTCCCTCTCTCTTTCACTCTCCCGAAAAGTCAATGGAAAAATACCCTCAAGTGAGGATTAACAAAAAAGGAAGAAGAAGGGGTGGGGGGGATGAGGAGTAGGAGGAGGAGGAAGAGGAGAGAACATAAGAGAAGAACCAAGTATGGAAGTGGGGGGAGGAAGATAAGAGTTTGGTTGGAATATAAACATTTGAGCCTATAGAACATGTAAAACTCTTCACCAGTTTAAAAAGGGCAAGTCCTAGCAGCTTCAATTCTATTAATATCTATTTCTAATTTCATATTCAAAAATGTTTTCATTAAAATGTTAAGTTTAGTCCTAGCCAGTTTGGCTCAGTGGATAGAGTGGTAGCCTGTGGAGAAGGGTCCAGGTTCAATTCTAGTCAAGGGTACATGCCCAGGTTGCATCAATCCCCAATATGGGACGTGCAGGAGGCAGCCAATCAATGATTCTCTCTCATCATTGATGTTTCTCTCTCTTTCTTTCTCTCTCTCTCTGAAATCAATAAGATATATTTAAAAAATGTTAAGTTCAAAGTATATATACATGTGTTTGTCTGTGGATATATAGGACACATAGAGAGAGAGTACACCCAAAATAGAGCACAAATGATAAGAGTAAATGGGCTAAATTATTAATAGTTGAATCTCTGAACAAAAGGGTACTGATCGTGTTGTTCCTTGTATCATTTTTATTTTTGTAATTTTCTGTAACTTTGAAATTATCTATCTATATATATAAAAGCCTAAGCAATCGAACAACTGGTCGATATGATGCGCACTGACCACCAGGGAGCAGGCACTCAACATAGGAGCTGCCTCCTGGTGGTCAGTGTGCTCCCACAGCCAACCTCCAATGGCTGGCCAAGCTCCCATGATTCTTCCCCCTGGCTGGCTGGCCCCGATTGGTCCCAAACAGCCCCGATCTGGACTGGGCGAGATGGCCTGGATCACATGCCAGGCCAAGGGACCCCACCCATGCACGAATTCGTGCAATAGGCCTCTAGTTTTCAAATAAAAAGAAAAAAAATGTTATGTGCAATATATGAGAGAATGTACATAAGTTAGTGTCTGGTATATATGGCAGTTAACTTCATCTACACTTCTGAAAATAATACTTTAATACAGTAAGCTTCCCTATCACAGTTCCACTTCTATGGAGTCAATCAACTGCAGATTAAAAATATTTGGGGGGGGGGGAGAATCCCAGGAAAATCACAAAAGCAAAACTTGAGTTTGCCACACACGGAGCACTATGTTGCATCCACATAAATGAAGTGATGTGCAGGCATACCTTGTAGCCTTAAATGTAAACACTGCACCATTTTACATAAGGGACTTGAACATTTTTGGATTTTGGTATTCATGGGAAGGGGGGAAACCTGAAGAGGATAATGTCCTGGAATCAATCCCCCACAGGTACCAAGGGATGGTTGTACTTTTGTTGTTGAGATATAGAGCTTTAAAACAAAATCCAAACTCTTACCATGAAAAATCTGGCCCCTTTCTACTGTAACTTTCCACTCTTACCCTCATTCACTATGTTCCAGTCATATTACCCTGCTTCTGAGAAACATTCCCTCTGCCTAGGCTACACTTCCTCGTAAGTCTTGCTCCTTCCCATTCTTTTTTTTTTTTTTTTTACATATTTTATTGATTTTTTACAGAGAGAGAGAGGGATAGAGAGTTAGAAACATTGATGAGAGAGAATCATCGATCAACTGCCTCTTGCACACCCCCTACTGAGGATGTGCCTGCAACCAAGGTACATGCCCTTGACCAGAATCGAACCTGGGATCTTTCAGTCCACAGGCCGACACTCTATCCACTGAGCCAAACCGGTTTTGGCCTTGCTCCTTCCCATTCTTAAGGTTTCGGCTTATGTCACTTCCTCAGAAAGCCCTTCTCTGGTCACCCTGTCCACTTTAAATCCCACTGCCCCACCTATTTGGTACTTTCCATCGTAACCACCTGTTTTTCCCATATACTTTAGACTGTAACACTCCATGAAAGCTAAGACTTTGTCTGTTTTGTTCACCAAGTATGCCAAGGAATAAGCCTAATACTCTCTATTCTAGTACATTTTGCACAAATGTTGAATAAGCCAACTAAAGAATTCAGCAGCTATGACTTATATGTCCTTACATATTTCCCAAACCATATTTGAGATTGAAAAACATAAACAAGAACAAAATGTCTTACCTCCTGCAATGATAAAATGGCTTAGGGCACTTTTATCTCGGTATACATTTAGACCAGTGTGCACTGTGCTAGGGAGACAACAGGAAGAGGAAAACAAAATTTGAAGCATAACCCATTTACCTTCTGGAATGCAACTTTCACTAAAGAGATCTGTATTATTTTAGAAGAGCCTACTACATCCATCCCTGGTCCCAGTCTAGGTCCCTAAATGTGTTTCAGATTGCTAATGTATCTACGGGATTTTAGTCGTACTTTCTGCTGAAGAAAGAACCAAATTTTGGGAATAAATATTAATTTAAAAATAGAAACATAAATAAGAGTTCTGCAGAATTTCTCTTACTAAGAAACCTTATATCTATTTTGATAGTGTTGATACACCTCCATTCATCAATGGGAAAACTACAACTGGACCAATCTTTTACACAGATAGGTAGCAGTTCTTGAGAGAAAGGTATAATGAGTCCCTTTCATATCAGTGTTCAGTTTTCATAATCCCACTTAAAAGATGTGCTAATAAAAGAATACCAAGTCGAAACTGGTTTGGCTCAGCGTAGAGCTCTGCGGACTGAAAGGTCCCGGGTTCGATTCCGGTCAAGGGCATGTACCTTGGTTGTGGGCACATCCCCGGTGGGGGTTGTGCAAGAGGCAGCTGATCGATGATTCTCTCTCATTGATGTTTCTAACTCTCTATCTTTCTCTCTTCCTCTCTGTGAAAAATCAATAAAATATATTAAAAAAAAAAAAAAAAAAAAAAAAAAAAGAATACCAAGACCCTTTGCCACAATTCAGAGAACTTACTTGAATATAGTCACAAACACTGCAGTTCTCCAACCCCAGCGCCAGCCATACCGGATGAAGCCTCGCGTGGCAGCACGATGTGCAGATTGCTAAAGTTAATAAAAAGGTTGTGAGGTTCCAAGACACCTTAATACTTTCCTTATTCTAAAACTGCTGTGGAGGAATGTCAGCTATGGATTAGACAGGGACACCTAAACGGAAACAATAGAAAATCTGTAGAATATCATTCATTCTGTATTGTAGTTTAATATAATAAACAAGTGCCCTGTCAGTCACCGGTGATTGACACTATACTTTCTGTCCAGAAGACAAAACAGGCTGGGCGCTTAACATGTTAAGCAAAAGTCCCATGTGCATCCTATTCTATCAGGAGGTAGAAAAGAAACTAAGAATTTGCCAGTGTCAACCAAGTAATCCATTCATTAAATATCACTGAGAATCTATATAGCAAACACCACAACTGTAAGATCAGTATTTGATATGATTTGTTTTTTGTTTTTTTCCCCCCAAGAAATCTTGGTGAGGCCCTGGCTGAGTAGCTCAGTTGATTAGAGCATCGTACTGACACACCAAGGTTGCAGTTCAGTCCCCATATAAGAATCAATGCATATATGTTAAATAATGAATCAATGTTTCTCTTTCTCTCTCCTCCTACCCCTCCCTCTGTCTGTAAAAAATCCATAAAAAAATTTTTTAAAGAAATCTTGTGGAAAAAAAAAACATAAAATAAAGAATTAAGTGGTAAGTCAAAGGGTAAGGATTAAAATAATACATATGTGTAGGAAAAGAGCAGAGGAAGGAAAAAAACATAATTTACTGACCACATTCTATGTAAAAGTTGTGTAAACATACTACCTCATTTAATCTTTTTTAAATATATTTTTATTGATTTCATAGAGGAAGGGAAAGGAAGAGAGAGATAAAAACATCAATGATCAGAGAACCATTGATCGGCTGCCTCCTGCATGCCTCCTACTGGGGAATTAAGCCCAAGGCCCAGACATGTGTCCTTGACCAGAATTGAGCTTGGGACGCTTCAGTCTGTAGGCCGACACTATATTCACTGAACAAATCAGCTAGGGCACCTCATTTATTCTTTACAACATTTTCTTCAGGCAGGCATTTTAACTTTAAAGTATATAAAGGAAGTTTCTAATCAATAAAGAATAAAGTCAGAATTAGAAGGTAGGTGGTCTGTCTCCACAGTCCATTGTTACTAAACCAATATTAAAACAGATCTGGTATCTATTCTATACCACAGGAGTTCAACCGTGAGTTCTATCACTTGCTAAGACATGCGCTGACTACCAGAGGGCAGTGTGGAACAAAGGAAGGCCCCAGCCGGCAGCCAGGGAAGGGATGTGCCGGCAACCAAGGTACATGCCCTTGATCAGAATCAGTCTGGTTTTTTTTAAAAAAAAATATTTTATTGATTTTTTACAGAGAGGAAGAGAGAGAGATAGAGAGCTAGAAACACCGATCAGCTACCTCCTGCACACCCCCCCTGTGAATGTGTCCGCAACCAGAGTACGTGCCCTTGACCGGAATCGAACCTGGAATCCTTCAGTCCGTAGGCTGATGCTCTATCCACTGAGCCAAACCGGTTAGGGCTAGAGATAATCTTAACCAAGTGTCTAAAGTAAACATCACCAGTAAAGAGACAAATAGGTATCATGGTCTGTGATATATATTTCCTAAGAAGGATACAACATCAATTCTAGGATATTCCTGCTAAAACAAATAACCAGAATTTAATCATAAAAAAATCAATCAAACAAATCCAAATAGAGGGAAATTCTATAGAATATATAACCCATAATCTCCAAAAATGTCAAGGTCAAGAAAGTCAAAGAAAAACAGAGAAACTTCCAAAGGGGATTAGAGAAGTATGACAGGCAAATTCAACATTTGATCCAGTACTAGATCCTAGACCAGAAAATCTTATTTATTTACTTACTTTTCAAATAGATTATATTAATGGGACAACTAGCAAAATTTACATAAAGTCTATAGATATAATATACTCTTATCAGTATAATTTCCTGATCTACAAAATTATGTAAGAGAATGTCTTTTTCAGGAAATAATGTTGAAGTATTCATCTTGTCTATAACTTACTCTCAAACAGTTCACACAAAAAAATAATAGTAGGCATTATACAGAGAAAAAAATGATAAAATAAGTGTAAAATATTAACATTTGGAGAATCTGGGTGAAAGATATGTAGGAATTCTTTGTACTTTTGAAAGTTTATGTCTGACACTTTTTTAAAATAAACAAAAACTGCTGAAACCGGTTTGGCTCAGTGGATAGAGTGAAGGGCATGTACCTTGGTTGCGGGCACATCCCTAGTTGGGGGTGTGCAGAGGCAGCTGATCGATGTTTCTCTCTCATCGATGTTTCTAACTCTCTATCCCTCTCTCTTCTTCTCTGTAAAAAATCAATAAAATATATTTTAAAAATAAAATACAATAAATAAAATAAAATAAACAAAAACTCTCTGAGATTTAACTTCCTCACTAGCACAACAGAACTGATATACAGACTTAACAAATGAGTTAATACCATATAAGCTATAAAGTTATAAATGTTAATTGTTGTTTTAGAGTGAAGTAGTATACTCCACAGAGGATTTGTGGATAGGACAAATGTGCCACGACTGAGCCTTGATGATTTAGCAGATCAGAAATATTTTTCAGAAAATAAGAGTTAGCCAAAACCGGTTTGGCTCAGTGGTAGAGCGTCGGTCTGTGGACTGAAAGGTCCCAGGTTCGATTCCGGTCAAGGGCATGTACGCTGGTTGCAGGCACATCCCTGGTGGGGGTTGTGCAAGAGGCAGCTGGTCGATGTTTCTCTCTCATCGATGTTTCTGGCTCTCTATCTCTCTCCCTTCCTCTCTGTAAAAAATCAATAAAATATATTTTTTTAAAAAAAGAAAAAAAAGAGTTATAGCCTGGCCACTATGGCTCAGTTGGTTGGGTGCTGTCCTATGTACCAAAAGGTGGTTGTTTTGATTCCTAGTCAGGGCACATGCTTGAGTTATAGGATCAATCCCCAGTAGGGGACGTGCAGAAGGCAGCCTGCAGATGTTCTGCATTCACGTTGATGTTTCAGTCTTTCTCTCTCCTCTAAAAATCCAATAAAAATATTTAAATTAAAAAAAAAAAATAGAACTATTGTGGTGATCTCTTCCAAAGGTAAGTGGTCTGCCAGGCCATATGTATGCCCTGTTAGCACTAGTACTTCCACTGTTACTAAGAATAGACTTTGTTTCTTTACTCTGACATCCTAAATCCTCCCAACCTACCACCTGAGTAAATGTAAAGTGAATTGCTAAATTAGGGTACCCTCAAATTATTTTAGAACACCAGTACCTACCACAGCATCAAACCGGTTATAATAAACTTCTGCTTGGCTCTGCTCAATGTAGCGCTGTTTAGCATGTACAAAAGCTGGTATTCCCCCATATGCCCAGCCAATGATGCATCCTGTAATGGCTGCCTTATAAATATCCTCAAGTTCCTTTGATCTTCTCTGCTGTGCACTAAAACATCAACAACAAAAGTTTGAGATTAGTATATGTATACTGCTCTCCAAAAGATAGTATGATCAAAATTATCCCAAAGGCTAACACAACCACATTTTTAATTATGGGCTGAACCAATTAAATCCTCTGATGAATTAAATAGTGCTGTTGCCAAAACCAGTTTGGCTCAGTGGTAGAGTTGGTCTGCAGACTGAAAGGTCCCAGGTTCGATTCTGGTTAAGGGCATGTGCATTGGTTGCATGCACATCCCCAGTAGGGGGTGTGCAAGAGGCAGCTGTTCAATGTTTCTCTCTCATCGACATTTCTAGCTCTCTATCTCTCTCCCTTCCTCTCTGTAAAATATCAATAAAATATATTTTAAAAAAATAAAAATAAAATAAATAAATAAACAGGGCTGGTATAAGTAACTCAAATTCCAGCCAAAACTAATTTATGCTGTTAGAAATGAGGCTAGTGATTGGTTACTCTTGGGAAGGCAGTGATGGAAAAGGGTACAAGGGGAGCTTCAGGAATGCTGGTAACAAGTCTCTTGGTTTTGGGTTTATAAAAACCCATTGATCAATATGCTTACATATTTTTCTAGATGCATATTATATTCCATTAACAAGGTTTTTATGGTGGCTTTTTAAATATATTTTTATTGATTTCAGAAAAATGAGAGGGAGAGACAGAAACATCGAGAGAATCATTGATTGGCTACATCCTGCCACTGGGGATTGAGCCTGGGTTGTGGGAATCGAACCGTGACCTCCTGCTTCATAAGTTGATGCTTGAGCCACTCTGGCTGGCTAAAAAGGTTTTGTTTGTTTGTTTTTTTAAATATATTTTATTAATTTTTTACAGAGAGGAAGGGAGAGGGATAAAGTTAGAAACATAGATGAGAGTAACATCGATCAGCTGCCTCCTGCAGACCCCCTACTGAAGATGTATCCGCAACCAAGGGACATGCCCTTGACCGGAATCGAATCTGGGACCCTTCAGTCTGCAGGGCAACACTCTATCCACTGAGCCAAGCCGGTTAGGGCCAAAAAGGATTTTTTTAAGGTGCTTTTATTTAATGACTATTACAACTCTACTATTTCCCCTGGAAAGTGGAAGAATTTGAGTTGGATGTAGAGATCAATATTTCCCTTTTTTTTTAAGCTTTTAAAAATTACACACATATGGAATTTTAGGGCAATGTATGCTAGAATGAAAGCTTAGATGTATAAGAAGAAAAATTTTAATACTTCGGGTTTTATGACTGTTAAGTTTATAAAGCTGATCAAAATAACCCTCTTCCGTTATTTACTACATAGGCTCTATCACAAGTATCTCAAGTAAATATTGGAAGGACCAACAAATGAGAAAGGTTAACTCGTCTTTAAAATAAATATGATGAGCCTTTGCTGGTTTGGATCAGTGGATAGAGCGTCACACGATGGACCAAAAGATCCTGGGTTCCACTCCAATCAAGGGTCAAGGGCACATTCCTTGGTTGCAGGCTCTTCCCTAGCCCGCCCCCCAGCTGGGGCTCCTGCAGGAGGCAACCAATCGACGTGTTTCTCTCACATTGATATTTCTGTCTTTCCCTCTCTCTTCGGCTCTCCCTTAAAAAAAAAAAAAAAAAAAAAAAAAAAAAAAAAATCAATGGAACAATATCCTCAGGTGAAGATTAACAAAAAACAAATAAAAATGATGAGCCCAGCAGGCTTGGCTCAGTTGACTGTGTGTCCTTCTATGCACTGAAAGGTTGTCAGTTCCAGTCAGGGCACACATGGAGGGCTACTGATCAGTGTGTGTGCGTGTGTCTCTCCCTTCATCTCTCTAAGCATGTTCTCAGGTGAGGATTAAATAACAACAACAAAAAAAAATGATAAAATCTAAACAGTTATTAAATATAATTCTGCCAACTCTCTTGCCCCAACTATATACCTCTTAGCAGCAACATAAAGCTTCAAAGTTAATTTAACCACTTGACAACACAGTGTATAGTATTGTAAAGTGCTTCATGAAAGGGCAGACTTTTCACTAATAACTGATAGGTTAAATGAATCAAAGAATGAATGAAATATCCTGAGTTTTTCATTAAAAGTAATTCAAAGGATTATATCTTATTCTGAAACTTTCTTGTTAAGCCAACTAATACCTTTTATAAAATGATGACACAAGTGGTGCTATTTTTACACATTCCTTATTTGGCAGCATAGAAATTTTACAACTCTCTGCCTCTCTCTCTAAACTTTCACCTTTGGAAGGGCAGGGGAGCTACTGATCATGAAACAGAGAAGTTTGGGATCAAGTGAAATCCAAAAAAGAATAGTAGATGGGATCCTGCAGATGATATGGGTTCCAGAGCCGATTATGACACTCATTAGTTCGGTGCCATTCTTCTCATCTGTAAAACCAGGATGTTATACTAAAACTATATTCCCTTAACATGCCTATAAGCTCCGATTTATGAGTTTCACCCTTATCATTTGAAAGCCGTCCTGTCATCTACACAACTTCCAAATGGAAATGGCAGAATGCAAAATGGGGGTGCAGATATTAGAAGCCCCAGATCCCACTTAAAAAGTAACCCACACCACCCTCTGGTCCTTCGCCCCAGGACAACCCAACGCTGCGGGACACTTTCCCCGGGGCCCCGCCCCAGACCCTCAGCACGTTTACTCTCTGGCAAACAGCCCCCGGAGGCGGTCCCATCCAGACTCCAGGCGCTGGGCTTCCGGGGCGTAGGAAGGAGGTAGCCTCTGGTCCTCCGCGAGGACCTCCGAATCGGCGGCCACAGAACCGGAGGCCACGGCGCCCGCAGCAAAGACCCGAGGGAAAGGACCCAGCAGCGTCCGGAGGATGCTCCCCGGCGCCCGCGGCCGCTCCTCCATGGCCGTCCCCGAACCTGCGGACAGATACAAGCTCGGTGACCGAGGCGCACGGTCTCTCGGAGCAACAACATAAAGCTTCAAAATCAGAGCACAGTCGGGATAACTGCTAGAAGGAGAGGGTGAGTACCCGCGCCTGGCCGCCAGCTCATCCCCATCACAGGCCCGGACCACCCGCACCGGCCTCACTTTGGAGGTCCTTGGGCACACGAGACAGGAAGTCCTGCCCCCAATCAGGGCAAAGGCCAAGGGGCGGGGCGACGGCGAAAGCACTTCCGGTTGGAGGCAGTAGTCCGGAAGTGAGCGAGCGGCGTGTAGCCACGCTTAGCGCCTCTGGCCCCGCCTCCGGCCCCGCCTCCCAGGGTTGCAAGGGCTACACGTCCTCGGGTCTCCAGCTGCAGATGCGGTCACGGGCTGGGGTAACTTAGCGTTAACACCAGGAAACCCACAGAGATGAATAAGAAAGTGCAATAGTCAATACAAGTGGAGCGCGGAGAGAGAGGAATGTTGTGCAAATACAAGCCCAACCCACCCTATCACGGCTGGAGGAGCCTCCTGGGCTAGATCCATATATACCCCTACAGGTTCTGGTTTCCGGAAAGAACCGAGGCATTGAAGAGAAGTCAGAGACGCTGAGATTTCCAGAACACTGTTTGGAATAGTCAGCTTTGGGCAGTTCCTGACAAGCTAATGCATCCCTCACCCCCTTAGTTCCTATACCTACTGCTTCTCACAAGACAGGACAGTTTCTGGAATTCCTAGCAGGTGAGCGTTTGATAGACCAGCAATAATTTTCCGTCGGTGCAGCCTCTGCTAACATATGCTTTGAAGTAAAGTTTTTATTAAAATGCGCGTCTTGAAAATAGTCTCATCTGGTTTGTGTACTTCCATTTAATCTTTGTTAGCAACCAAATATAGTCTCTTCTATTTACCAATCCCTACCCTTCCTTTATTACTTTCTAGATGTAATTCAAAACGTCTACACCCCTTATTAAATAGAATTCTGGGATTGAATAGCTGGTGTATAGAGCAAGAGCAGAGCAGACTTTTTGGACACTTTTCAAGAATCCAGTGTGGAGTCACTGTCAGCCATGGTGCTATGACAAGCATCATGATGCCCAGAATTGAGGTAATGAATGGGGTATAACATGAATGCCCTTAGGGTGGTCCTGGAATGTCCTAAAACTCAAGCCTGAACTCTCAGATAAGGACTTCATCTGGACCCTGATATGAGTGGGTCTGCCACTCACCTTGGGCTTTAAGAACTCAGAGCTTCCACCATTTGATGCTCCAGTTTGGCTGTACCAGGAGTCACACTGGGAGCCCAAAAGGACTTCGGCTCCACTAGAGCTGCTTAGCTTAAGCCCTATGCCTGCCTCTCCATCCACAGGTGATCAGGACTTTGCACTGGGTGCTTACTATGCTCCTTGCTAAGCTTGCTCTATCATGTAAGCTCCCCCTTTCTGCATGTAACCTGTGTGTAACCCTATTGGCTCCTTGGGGAGGTCACCTCTAATAAAGCCTGCATTATGGAAAGACACAAGCATGTGTGACCTCTTTTGGGGATTCTCCCTTGCTCACGACAGCTGGCATTTTATAGTAAGTCAAGAGAAATGACTGACTAGACTAGCTGAATTAGTGACAGTGCCAGAAAGATTTCTCTGGTGTCTGGGAGACAGGATCAGATTCAGCTCCCATCATGACACTTACTACATTGCATCACAACTTCCTTTTCGCTATCTTGGTAGACTAGCTTTGAGGACAGAGACCATATATATTCATCTCTTTGTGCAGGACCTAGCCCAGTGTCTGACAGACAAGGTGTTGAACCAAGAATTCAGATCCCCTGACTCCTGGCTCTGGCTCTAGGTTACTGATTATCGCATATAGGCTCAGGTGGGCATCAGTATAAAATCATAAGGCCTGAAAGACCAAGAAAATGGATGTGCACTCTTTATAGTCTACATGTAGAAAAAGCTGAATGTTTAAGATACTCAATCCCAGAATCATTCTGAGATGAGGGAGGACTTAGAGTTGTTGGGCAGGTGTGTTGGGCAAATACTAGTGAATTTATATACAACTCACATATGTTATGTATCTGTCATGCTTCCACACTCCTGTCTCTCCAAGCCCCTGGATTTTACTCTTTTACCACCAGGGAAATACTCTCTCTGTGTGTGGTCTGCTTTTTGAAGGGTCTCAGAGCAATGATAAACCAAAAAGTGTTATGTACCCTAGCTGGTTTGGCTCAATGGGTAGAGCGTCTGCCTGCGGACTGAAAGGTCCCAAGTTTGATTCCGGTCAAGTTGCAGGCTCAATCCCCAGTAGGGGGTGTGCAGGAGGCAGCTCTCATTATCGATGTTTCTATCTCTCCCTCACCCTCTCTGAAATCAATAAAAATATATTTTTTAAAAGTGTTATGAGGTATATGTGGGCCACTCTGTTTAACATACAGCTCTCTCCTCCCCAGGATGTGTATCTATCTGCCACCAGAATAAAGGAATCTAGGAAGGATTTCAATAGAGTCATATTGTGCCTGGAACTTTCAATCTCCTCCCCTCAGTCCTCATTACTGAGTTCTGCTCATAGAACTCAATAGCGTCTTCTCATCATGAACTTTCTTTCCGGGGTCAAACGGTTCCAATTCCCTTCCAGGTTCACTAGGTACTGCCCATGTCACATTAGTCTGTTGTATTACATGTGACATAAACTGTTTCCATAGGTAGAATGAATGTTGAGAACTCCCAAGAACCACTTCATTTACCCATCCCTCAGCATGTAACTCAAATTTTTACCACCATGAAATTTCCCTTCTGCACCAGATGAAGATTCCTTATTCCTCTAAACTCCAAATCCATTGTCTTTATGAATTGGCCTTATAAACAACTGACCTCGTGTCATTTTAATCACCTTCTTTAGGATGTCTCTAATATTGTTATCATCTCAATGATAGAGCTCCTTCATGATAGGGATTCTATTGTAGATATTTTCTTATCTCCCACTGTTTGTGCTCAGTAGATGCTCAAAAAGTATTTGATAAATATTACATAATTATAATTGCACCCCTCTGTCTCACTGAGGGTGCAATTATAATTATCTCTGGATGCAGTAGACTTACCTAAAGTGAAGGCATCTTTAGATGCATGGGAAGATGGGTTTGTATGTATGTGTTCTTATTCATTATCAGTGTAGAGGTGAAGGATAGGGATATCCTCTTTGGAGCTGACCCAAAAGGAGCCCATTGTTTTTTATCTTGGGAATATTAGGCTGAAAGAGAACCCAGCAGATTCTGGAACTATACACAGTAGCACTCTAGAAATAGTTCAGAACTCTTGCTGAGATTTCTGGAGTTGCCTTGCTCTCTACCCTTCCAACTACTATGAACCTTATTTAGATCCTTTAAGATGTCTTCATATCCTTTTAATATGTTCTTTTGCTTAATCTAGCTGGAGGCTGTTTCTGTTCTCAGCAACTAGGAGAGCCTGACCTAACAGTGGGATAGGTGGGCCACTGACAACATCACACAAACCATACTTGCCAAATAAAGAAAGGAAAAGCATGAACTGTCTTATCCAAGTATCCCACTTCATTCAAGTAAACTAAATTATATTTTTTCCTTGGGGGGAAAAAAAAAAAAAGAGTGGCCTTTAGCTCACTGAGGAGGAAGGGTTAAGTTTGAGACCCAGTATTAACAACAAACCACCATCAGAAGTTATAGGGATAAAAATTATTTTCAAAAACATACATTTTATATATTGTTACACACCTTCCTCATACCATCTATACTGAGGTAAACAGGTAATTATAAAATCTGAGTAACATTTGCTGTATTTAAATACAAAGATGCCCTTACTGGTTTTGCAAAGGGCAGATGATAATTTGCATTGTTCCAATTGTTAGTCTCACACAGTCCCCCTTTGGAGCCAATGGCCAGGCAATCTGTAAATAGGAAGCCAACTGTCTCCATCCATACACCCATTCACCAAGACACCCTTCCAAAAAGACCAGGGTCTACTCTGTGTGAGACACTCACTGCACTGAATAATGGAGACATCAACATGAGTAAAACATGATTCTCACTCATCAAGAAGCTTGAAGAACTGCAGTCAAATAAGTACAGTACAACGTGATTGCATATAATACAGGCATGAGCAAAATATTGCCTCTAATTGTCTAGAACCCGGGGTTGGCAAACTGCGACTCGCGAGCCACATGCAGCTCTTTGGCCTCTTGAGTGTAGCTCTTCCACAAAATACCACGGTCTGAGCAAGTCTATAATATTTTGAAGAAGTGGTGTTAGAAGAAGTTTAAGTTTAGCCGGCACCGGTTTGGCTCAGTGGATAGAGCGTCGGCTTGCGGATTGAAAGGTCCCGGGTTCGATTCCGGTCAAGGGCATGTACCTTGGTTGCGGGCACATCCCCAGTAGGGGGTGTGCAAGAGGCAGCTGGTCGATGACTCTCTCTCATCGATGTTTCTAACTCTCTATCCCTCTCTCTTCCTCTCTGTGAAAAATCAATAAAATATATTTAAAAAAAAAAAAGAAGTTTAAGTTTAAAAAATTTGGCTCTCAATAGAAATTTCAATTGTTATACTTTGATATTTGGCTCTGTTGACTAATGAGTTTGCCAACCACTGGGCTAGAGGAATGAAAGAGAGGCCTCAAAGAAAAGGTGATGCTTGAGCTCATAGAAAAATGTACTTTCAGCTCCTAATCCAAAGGACAAAATTTTGTTCCTAGTTTAGTAAGAGAAAAAGTAAAATAAAGAAAGAATGACATCTATTAGGACCTCATACTGACAAGGCAAAACCATAATATATATAACTCATAAATCTGGAGCTCCTATCACTACATGTATAGCACCTAAGGACACAATCCCCATTAATTGCTAAAAAAGTTCAATTTTAAATGTCTACCCTATTCCACACAATGGTCTTACCAGTGATATTTAACTCCTAAGAAGGTCATTATGTTTACATTTTTGTGGAAGGGAGTTTAAAAGGCCGTTTCTCCCAAACAGAATAAAATCCTGATTTTATATGACTGAATCTCACATTTACTCATTTTGAAACCAGTTAATACCAATCTGTTCTTAGGAGTCAAAGGAAAAGAACTGATTTCTCTGTAGAAAGGTTGGGCTTAAGGGATAAGGATGGTTCTAAGTCATCAGACTATCTGAGTTTTAATCTAACTATTGTTCTTCATTTTTGACTGTTAGCAGGAGCATCCTGAGAGATTAGACTAATATTTAATAGTAAAAAAGGGGAAAAGCAGATCCTGCAGGGCAGTGAGAGTGTGGACTGCTGCCAACTGAAGGGGGATAATATTAGGGATGTGCAAGGAGTGAAGAGTTGCTGTCCTGTGCACAGTTCCCTCCAAGAGTGAGGACTCCTTCCTAACCTGATTAAAAGGTTTATGTATTTTTTTAGAGACCATAAAAAGAAGGGTATGAAGGCACAAAAGGAACTTGAGATCCAATTGCAATTATCATGCAACTGTTCCCTTTCTATATGGCATTATAGAAACCTCCTGAGTACTAAAGAGTTTATGCTTTTACAGAAGGCGTCTCCTATGTCACTGCATGGCACAACTGCTTCCTTAGACCTTGCAAAAAATAATCCCCAAGTACTTTTCATAGACCCTATAGGGCTTCCTATATTAAAATTTAGCATCAAAGATCAAGCCTAGAATAATTGCAGAATTGTGGCGATGAGCTGTACTAGTTCCAAATGATTGAGTTTCTGCTCCAAACAGTGGCACAAAGAACATCATCCCATGGACACAGTCAGGTTCACAGTGATGTACGTATATATGTGGATGACCTGAGGCACAAGCTGTGATTGGTCCTAAGAAAATGAAAGGTAGAATCGGGTACAAAACCCACATATCATGATTTCTGGTCCTTGTTCAGCCAAAGCGTTGAGCTGCTTCACATCTGTATTATAAACGTGTTGGATCTTTCTTGAGACTTGCTCTGGGTGCAGCATGACAAGGAAGACTAGATATTTGTCTTGGTAACAGTAGTCAAGGTATAGGTGTTACATTCATGGTAAGTTTCCCATCACAGGGTATCTCAGATCTGCTGCCACAGAGAGGACTTTGATCCCGATGATGGCTATTAGAGTTCAGTTTTCAAAATTTTGGGATTAATCTGATCATAACCTTTCCTTCTTGTTACATTATAGGACAGGAATTTAGCGTATTCGGTCAGCAGGTTCTCCCAGTAACAGGTGATGTCATCCATCCTCAAATGGTTCATAATGAATTGGCTTCCTCTAGAGACAAGATTAACAAGAACTTTTAAAGCACAGCATTTAATAGTACTAATAGATTATAATTGAGTGTTTACCTTGTGCCGTGCACTGTTCAGAGTACTTTATATGATTTAACTCTTTTTTTTTTAAATATATTTTATTGATTTTTTTATAGAGAGGAAGGGAGAGAGATAGAGAGCTAGAAATGTCGATGAGAGAGTAACATCGACCACCTGCCTCTTGCACACCCCCTACTGGGGATGTGCCCACAATCAAGGTACATGCCCTTGACCGGAATCGAACCCGGGACCCTTCAGTCTGCAGACCGATGCTCTACCACTGAGCCAAACTGGTTTCGGCTGATTTAACTCTTTTGATCCTTAGAACCAACCGTCTCACCGTCATAACCACATGTGCACTTAGCAATAGAACTTATATTTTTTTTTTCTTAAAAACAGACAGCAGAAACTGGTTTGGCTCAGTGGTAGAGCATTGGTCTATGGACTGAAAGGTCCCAGGTTCGATTCCAGTCAAGGGCATGTACATTGGTTGCGGGCACATCCCCCCGGTTGGGAGTGTGCAGGAGGCAGCTGGTCGATGTTTCTCTCTCATCGACGTTTCTAGCTCTCTATCTCTCTCCCTTCCTCTCTGTAAAAAAATCAATTAAAAAAATCAATAAAAGTATATTAAAAAAAAAACAAAACAAAAAACAGACATATAAACAGTCAGTGCTCAGAAAAAGTACTCAGTTATCTCAATGATTTCAGTCTACTTCTGTAAAATATGGGCTTGGGGCATTTGTGAATGTGTGCTTTTCTCTCCAAGGCAGCTTTAATTTGGATTATCTCTATAATAAAGATCCGATCCAGTTATCACCATGGTAACACTATTAATATAACTTTATCTAGGGCAAAATAGGGATGATAAAGTGGAAAAGGAAAAATGAACAGAACTTACCTTTCAGCGATTTCTTGAGCTATGTCATCATTTGCTTTTACAAAATGCAACAGTTCCCTAAAATGGAAAGGATTATTAGACTCTGAAATATAGAACAAGTTTATTAGCATTAAATCAGAAATACCATAGATTATAGTTAATCTCTTGGTATGTGGATGGTAGACTTTGTTTTTATTTTTATTTATTTTAATTTTTAAAAATATTTTTTATTGATTTTACAGAAAGGGAAAAAAATAGAGAATTAGAAACATTGATGAGAGAGAAACATTGATCAGCTGCCTCCTGCATACCCCCTACTGCGGATGTGCCCAAAACCAAGGTACATGCCCTTGACCAAAATCGAACCCAGGACTCTTCAGTCCACAGGCCGATGCTCTATCCACTGAGCCAAACCGGTTAGGGCAGATTTTGTTGTTGTTTTTTTTAAAAGGGAAGATATCAGGGTCCCCACAGAAACAAACAAACAAAACAAAACAAAAGTCCCCCCACATGCTGAAGGCAATGTGTTCTAGTTTTGGGACATATTTGAGAAAACAAGATATGTTCCATAACACGCATCAAAAATCCATAGTGAAGAAGATACTTCCTTCCTGTCTCTTGCTCTGGTCCCTTACATCTTGGGCCCCTCTCCCTGCCTCTTTCTAGCTCCTCCCATCATGAAAAGAAATTTTTCTCAGATTCCCTGGGGGCAATCTCAGGCTGTATCAGAAAGTTTCTTAGACAGAATAATAATATCAAACATCCCTGTCTCCAGTCTTTGAGAGATGAGAGTTTTTTCACTGCATAGTATCTGAATGTTACATTTGAACCAGCACTAGAGCACTTTTCAAATTAAATCTCACTTACAGCCTAATTGGATAAAAGTTCATTGATTGCTACGTGAACCGAATAAGAAAGAAAAAGCTCTGAATGGAAAACGTCATCAGGAATAAATGCCTTAGGTGGCTGGGGACTTAAAGGCAGATTACGGGAGTGATTGGATCTCTGCTTGGGAGAGAGTAGCTTACTGGACATTGGAGAGATCTGTTTTGACTGGGATATAGTGAACCCATGGCTTCAGCTGTGGATAGAAGAATTCCAGCCACTCATCACCAACATGGAAAACTAGAGAACCACACAGGAAGAGGTGTTTGAACCGGAAACTTGCAGCTACACCTCGAAAATTAAACAGATACCTGAGAAAGAAAGAGCATAATATACTTGGTACTATATACTTACTGCCACAAATGATCTTTTTCTTTTCTTTAAAAAAAAAAATATTTTATTGATTTTTTACAGAGAGGAAGAGAGGGATAAAGGATTAGAAACATCGATGAGAGAAACATTGATCAGTTGCCTCCTGCAGCCCTCCCCTTGTCCCCTCACTGGGGATGTGCCCACAACCAAGGTACATGCCCTTGACCAGGATTTTTCACTCCGCAGGCCAATGCTTTATTCACTGAGCCAAACCGGCTTCAGCATCTTTTTCTTTTCTTAATCCCTTCTTCCCTTCTATGAACTCTCTTCCTTCTCCTTCCATTTTGATTTTTCAAGAACACACCAGCATGTCCCCATTGAGTTCCATAAACTCCTTGCTTTTCCAGGGGCTACAGGTTATTCTTATAAACGTCAGGATGAAAGGGAAGAGGGATATTTTCTCCAGGCAGAGCTAGATAGGGCCAGGAACTGGGTGCTGAGTAGAAAGGATACAAAGGCTCAGATGGAAATGATATCTCACACTTTCCTATAAGCTGTCTAGGCCTCATATCTCTAACTCATCATGCCCACCCCCTGCCTTGTTTTCCTCATAGGGTACCCCATCTGGTCAAAAGCATCCCCAATTCCCTCTTCTTAAGTTTGGTTAGTAAAGCCAGGCATGCCTAATCAATCTTCAAAGAAATACCTCCTATATTAAAAAAAAAATCTATCTTAGCCCTAGCCGGTTTGGCTCAAGTAGATAGAGCGTCAGCCTGCAAAATGAAAGGTCCCAGGTTCAATTCCAGTCAAGGGCATATGCCTGGGTTGTGGGCATGATCCCCAGTGGAAGACTTGCAGGAGGCAGCTGATTCATGATTCTCTCTCATCATGGATGTTTCTATCCCTCTCCCCCTCTTCCTTCCTCTCTGAAATCAATATATATATATATATATATATATATATATATATATATATATATTTTTTTTTTTTTTAATCTATCTTAGAAAAAACATTTTCTTTTCAACATGTCTCATGCATGCACCCCTGTCTCCAACCAGCGTTGCTTCTCCCTAAAGTTCCCACTGTGAGCTGTAATCAGCATTCACCTTTCTGAATCCCCCCAGCATCCTGTTCCTGATCTGGTTTTACTTGTTCTTCTAATTCCAAGTCCTGGCACTTAAATATTTTAGTTATATATGCTTTATTCATGTTGACCGTTAAACTGTGCTATTAACCTGATGAACACATCATCTAACTTCAGCTATTGACTGGGTGGGGTGTGGAGAGAGAGAACCCCATCACCCTGATTACCACACAGGCTCTATGGAAACAGGGACCATCTTTCATTATCTACACAGTTTCCCACAGAACTTAGGCCAGAACTCAGTAAATAACAGTTAAAGGAATGATTGTGACTTTCATAAATCCCAGCAGGGCCCTGGGATTGAAATTCTCACCCAAAGTGTAGCTCTTCCAAAAGCAAAAGGGAAACCAAGAGTCAGGAGTTGGGGAAGTCTTACTTGTATTTGCAGTGATCCACAAGATGGACATCCTTAGCAGCTGGCTTTCCCAAGGTATCCTTTAAGTGAAAAGGAATGGTAGCATTTATTGGAGACCACTGTGCAGCAAGCAAGGCAAACATTTCAAGAACATGATCTCGCCGAAACTGGTTTGGCTCAGTGGTAGAGCGTCGGTCTGAAAGGTCCCGGGTTCGATTCCGATCAAGGGCATGTACATTGGTTGCGGGCACATCTCCAGTGGGGGATGTGCAGGAGGCAGCTGATCGATGATTCTCTCTCATCGATGTTTCTAGCTATCTATCCCTTTCCTTTCCTCTCTGTGAAAAATCAATAAAATATATTTAAAAAAAAAAAAAAAAAAGAACATGATCTCATTTAAGCCTCATAATAAACATACCATGGAACCATTATTACTCCATGTTATAGATGAAGAAGCTGAGGCTTTGAGAAGTTAGATTTGCTCAGGGTCACATGCCCTGTGGTTGGCAAACTGCGGTTTGCCGCTCTGTTGACTAATGAGTTTGCCGACCACTGCCTTAGGGAAAAACACTTTAAAAACATTTTAATAATGTACTAGTGTCTTTAACCTGAAGTCAAAACTTCTGGGTAGGGTAATGCCGCAAACTCATTAGTCAACAGAGCCGCAGTTTGCTGACCACTGCCCTAAGGTGTAGAGGTCATGGCCTACAGCGTATTTCACTCGATGTAAACCTGACAGATGAGGTCACAAGTGGTAGTTGTTGGGCTTAGAGGAGTAAATATTTAAACCCACTGCGAACACTTATAGGTAGTAGGACGGTCCTTACAAGTATCCAGATTTTCGGCTTTTCTTGTATAGAGGAAGATCTGGTAAACTGGGCACCTATCCCCCTCGAGAGCAAAGACTGGACCTTTATCGCTCACTCCTGTGGCCCCTGGGCCTCTGCAGCTGAGAACCCCCATCCACGCATGTCCAGCCGCCCAAGCAGATGGTAAGCTCATTGCTGAGGGGAACAAGGCCTGTTTGCTTCTGCAGCCTCCTACAGTAGCTGCTCTGCTGAATGGATACATTTTTTCCCCCAAAGCTTCTTAAACTTCATTTGCACCCGTTCGAATAAAACTATCATATAATAAATACATCCATCTTAAAGATATACTTCATTTTTCGCACAAGAAGTTGGCAATTTTTTCTCATATCACCCTCGTATCACATCATGTGGAAGTTTCAGATGAGTACATTTCAGGCTTAAACTTCTTTGAATAAGGCAAGAGGTCATAGAGTTAACAGGACAGAGATGGGCTCTAAACCAAAGCCAGTCATTGCTGGCTTCACCTTAGAATACTTGGAGAGTTTTAAATAAATCAAGATGCCTGCACCCCATCCCTAGAGATTCTCATTCATTTGAACCATTTTTTAAGCTCTCTGGTTGGACTGTATAGTCAGGGTTAAAAACCACTGCTTCAAAACAGGGGTTGGCAGACTACAGTCCATAAGCCAAATCCAGTTTATTATTTGTTTTTGGTATACAACCATAAGCTAAGAATATTTTTACTTTTCAAATGGTTGCAAAAAATCTAAAGGAGAATATTTTGACACATGAAAATTACATAAAATTCAAATTGTAGTGCCATAAAGTTTTATTAGCACACAGCCACACTCATATATTTATACATTGTTTATGGCTGCTCTCATGCTCTGACAATAGACCTCACGATCCATAAACCCTAAAAAATGTACCTTCTGGCCCTTTACATAAAAAGTTTGTGACCTCTGGTTTAACCTTCAAAGTACTATAAAACACTACTCAGAATATGGGCCAGGAAAGCCATGTGAGTTTGAAAAAGAATAATTTACATGTATGCTAATACTAGTTCATAGAACTTCCTCTACATTCTTCCCATAACGGAGAGGAAACCTTATCTGAAATTCTACCCAGGCAGCAATGTTCTCTGAGCGAGAATGTTCGCTGCTTTAGTTTCTATTCAGATGATTGGTGATTACTTTTGTAGACTTCCAGGCCTGGTTTTTGGTGTACTCTGCATCAACAAGTTCTGGATTTTTCCGAGATAGAAGAATGAGAGGATCTCGTTCTGGACTTGTCCTATAAAAGAAACACATGACATAAAACGATGTGCTCTACCCCATAATACCGTTCCCAATCTCTGGGACGTAAGCAGTCGTTGGACCCAATGCAATGATGGTACACACGGGTGGACAACTCACTGGTCACTTTAATAGCAGAGGAGGGGGATATCGGACACTGCAGCCTTTGGTGGTACTAGGCTGTCCCCACAGGATGAGGAGAATTTGGTCCTTTTTTGCTTGCATCTGGTTTTTAAGATTATGTTGTTCTGGTCACTACAGCCATATCCCAGGGAATGAGTTCCCTTTTAGGAGCCTCTATAATCAAGAGTACAACCGAAACCAGTGGATAGAGCGTTGGCCTGCAGACTGAAAGGTCCCAGGTTCAATTCCGGTCAAGGGCATGTACCTTGGTTGCGGGCACATCCCCAGTAGGGGGTGTGCAAGAGGCAGCTGATCGATGACTCTCTCTCATCGATGTTTCTAACTCTCTATCCCTCTCTCTTCCTCTCTGTAATAAAACAATAAAATATATTTTTTTTAAAAAGAGCTGTGTGACTACGTAATCACCATTCACCAAAATAGCTGCATGACCTTTGTTGTGTATGCTCTGTAAAGTCTAGTATAGTATTTAAATGAAAAAATGAAAAGGTTTAAAAACCCTAAGATTATATGGAGATAAAAGTGCTTGCTAGGGTCCAAGTAGCAAGTGGTCTTGACATTGGGGGGTGTCATAGACCCTCTGAGAATGTGATAAGAACTATGGATTCCCCTCTCTAGAAAAAAAATGTACATATCCCCCTGTAATTTCAAGAAAGTCCTAAAACCTTTGAAGTCCACACATGGATCCCAAGTTAAGAATTTGTGATCTCAAGATGTGAGCATCAGCCAAAACCAGTTTGGCTCAATGGATAGAGCGTCGGCCTGTGGACTGAAAGGTCCCAGGTTCGATTCCGGTCAAGGGCACATACCTTGGTTGCAGACACAAGAGGCAGCTGGTTGATGTTTCTCTCTCATCGATGTTTCTAACTCTCTATCCCTCTCAATTCCTCTCTGTGTAAAAATCAATAAAATATATTTTAAAAAAAAAAAGATGTGAGCATCAGAGAAGTTGACAAGGAACAGTAAGCAGTGGCTGAAGTTTATCTGCACTTTGAAGTCCACTGCTCACAGTAAACAGAGGGTGGGATCTCTGACGGGGACTCACTGAGAAAATGACAAAACCCTCTCTCTTCACAGTCTCTTCTGTCTTCATCTGTTCAACACACATTCATTCTGTGTCTATGTGGCAGATGCTGACCTTGACTCTGGGGATACAGAGCTGGACACGGATGGGGTCCTTCCCCAACCTTTTCCCTTCCCCTCTTCCTCTCCATTTTTACAGTCTCAGTCTGTGCTCTCAGCCAGACTGGGCAAGGGCACAGACTACTCCTAGGAAACTGTCATCTCTCAGGCAAGAAGACAGCTCATTTTTCTGTTCAGCATTATATACTCAATGCCCATCACACTCGTGGCACTCTGTAAATATCTGTTGAGTTACTGGGTGAACTTTGAATTTCAGTTCAATCAAGAGTGATTTGGCCCTGACCGGTTTGGCTCAGTGGATAGAGTGTCAGCCTGCAGACTCAAGGGTCCCGGGTTTGATTCCAGACAAGGGCATGTACCTTGGTTGTGGACACATCCCCAGTAGGGGGTGTGCAAGAGGCAGCTGATCGATGTTTCTTTTTCATCGTTGTTTCTAACTCTCTATCCCTCTCCCTTCCTCTCTGTAAAAAAAATCAATAAAATATATATTTTTTTAAAAAGAGTGATTAGGGCAAATAATTTGAGTTTTTATCTAGTCTAAAATTCTGTGATTCTATGTTTATGTGTTAGTCTTCCTTATGAGAGAGGGTTTGCTACATCCACAAAATTACTTACATTTTACACATTAACTGTGAGAATATCTTTGTAAAATGTCCAAAAATATAATCACCTTGATCCTCGGAAATACGCTGTGGAGTTTTTCTTTTTCCATGGCCACTGTGCTGCTGACCTGAAAACACATTTTGATTAGTTTCTGTTTTTTTCTTAACGTTAGAAGGATGTGTTCTAACTATTTCTGAGGATAAGTTCAGAGCTTTACATTTTAAAATAAGTACGAGCAAGGCTATTAAAAAGAAAAATCTCTAAATGGCATTCTGTTCCTTTTTGGTATTACTTCATTCTCTGGAGGTGTTAGCTCATAATATCTATAAATCTATTGTACTGCTCCATTACTAAGTTAACATCGTTGAAGGAAAAGTTCCCAAACACTAAATGACATGTTTGGGGTTATTTAATTCAGAGGATTTCTTCCCTACTTTAAGTAGAGTGCTGATGATAAATTAATATACAAATAGGACTGCAGAAAATATCAGAAATTGAATTAAGGGCAAGAAAACAAATCATGTTTTGGAGACATAGGTGATGTCATCAGATTTCGTCTGATTTTGCAAAGTACCCTGGCATTCCTGAAACTGTACTAAGTGCTCCACAAACACAAACTCCCTGAAACTCAGCCTTGGAACACACATTACCCCGACCAGTTCTCCTTGCTGAAACCACTAGCTCACAGACACAACTTTCTTCATGGGAGTCCTGCACAGAGGTTTTCACAATGTCTTCCTCTGTAAAAGAAGGGGAGGGCTCAACTGGTAAAGAGGGATTGCTGGTCTATATTGGTGTAATGAAATTAGGTTATAAACTTTTTAGATGGAGATACTTTTCAGACACATAGTGTTACATTGCTCATTTCTCACTGCTCCATGTTTCCTGGCGTATCTCCAGCTTCACCTTTTCCCAGTTCTCCAGCCCCAAACCAGCACTTCCTCATGCTCTGTCCCATATTCCATTCCACCAAAATATAAATACTACAGCACTTGTTTTTTTGTTTTATGGATTTTCCAGCAGAAAAATGATGTGCTCGTTATATAAAATTCTAATGGAAAATCATCAAATAAAAGCAGAGAAAGCATTGTCAAATTCCCCTAGTCACTGATAAACACTTTTAACAATGTAATGTTTCAATAAAAAATTTCCTTCCATATCAGGGTTCTCAACTAGAAGGCATTTTGCCCCTCTCCTTCAGGGGACATTCGGCTATATCTATAGACATTTTTGATTGTTGCTTCTGAGGGATTGCTACTAGCCACTAGTGGGTAAAGGCAAAAGGATGTTGCTCAACATCCTACATTGCACAGGACAGCCCCCTACAACAAAGAATGAGCTGGCCCCAAATAGTCCCAAGATTGAGAGACCTTGTTCTGTATAACAGAGATCATACCATGCATAATGTCGGGTAACATTCTTATAAGGACATATATTATAGATAATAACAGCCAACACCTATATAGTACTTACTATGTTTTGGACACTGTTCTAAGTAATTTATACCTTTATTAACTTATCCTCACAACCTTCTGAGGTGGGTTTTATTTTTCTTACTTTACAGTTGAGGCTTTTATAAGGTTAAGTAATTTGCCCACAATCTCACAGATAAGAAGAGCCAGAGTCCTTGTCCTTGTCAAGCCCTAAACTAATTTTATTTTCCATCCACGCATGATATGTTATAATTTGTTTCTTATGGGTGGGCCTGTAGGTAGTTTCCAACTTTTGGCTATAAGAAACACAGTAGTGAGTATTCTCATACATACATCTTTGTACACTTATCAAATGAACCCCTCGGGTTAAATTCTAGAAGTGAAATGATAGGGTCAAAGGATATACACACTTTAAATTTTGATATATTTTGCCAAACTATCCAACAAAAAAATGTATTAATTTATACTCAAATTTTTAGTATACATTTCCTGGGAAATTTGTGCTTAACATGCATCATCTCTATTTTCTTTCTTCCTCATTCTTCCTACCCACCTACCAACTTTCTTAAAAGACCAACCTTAAGACTTCTTCTCCGGGCAAGAGCGAACAGTGGCCACCACACTCTGGGGTTGTCCCAGCCCTCTTTGATTACGCCCTCCACCCCAACCCCATCTCCCGACCTCTGACAGTGGAGAGTGAAATTTTTAAATCTACAGGGACAGTGAATTCTCCTATAGAGTGAAGAATAAGTCAATGGGAACAAACTCCCAAAAAATTATAAAAATAGAAAAATGGCAGGCCAATGCAGTTGGATAACAAGCAGACTACTTAAGTTTCAAGATAAGAAATAAAATCACATAGCCTGAGATCCTAAATGGAAGAATCTAAGTAATAAAATGGTAATTCTATAATCCTATATAATAAAAGCCCAATATGCTAAGTGTCTTGTCACCTGGTCGGCTGTTTAACCAATCAAAGCATAATATGCTCATGATAAGCTAAGGCTGCTCAACTGCTCACCATGATGTGCACTGACCACCAGGGAGCAGACAGATGACTTATTTACCAGTAGCTATGCTATGCACTGACTACCAGGAGCAGATGCTCTGACTGGTAGTTTAGCTTGCTGCAGGGGTCTGGTAGATCAGGACTGAGCGAGACGGGCCGGACACTCCCTTGAGCCTTCCCATGGTCCCTCCCTGGCTGACCAACTTCCCATGTACCTCCCTGGCCCCTTTAGTGCACTGGTGGGGTCCCTCAGCTTGGCTGTGCCCTCTTGCAACCCAGGACACCTCAGGGGATGTGGGAGAGCTGGTTTCAGCCCAATCCCGCAGGCAAGGCCAAGGGACTCCACTGGTGCACTAATTCATGCACCAGGCCTCTACTCATAAATAAATAAAGTTGAAGAATATAAGGGGAAGTTATCAAAAGAAAAATAATTCATCTAAGATTAGATTTTAAAACATATTCTATCTCACTATAAATTGCTTATTAACTTACAAGGGGGGAAATAGTAATTACACAATGAAGGAAATGGATAACACCTTGACCAGGTGATCAAAATCAACATCACTAATGAGGGGTGGATGGATGAAAAATAACTTATGTAGTAAGTAAATACAGTATTTGGACAGCAATGCATTAACTGAATCTGATCTGAGGAAATAGACAAAACCAAACTAAAGAATATTCTGCAATCTTCAAAATGTCAATGTCATGAAAGAGAAAGACAGACTAAAAAACTGTTTCAGGTCAAAGGAGACTGAAGATACATAACAACTGCATGCAATATATGATCTTGGACTGTATCCTGTACTGGAGAGGAAAGCACTCTATAGGGCATTACTGAGACTATAAAGTGTAGTATCAATACTGTTTCCTGAATTTGGTAAGTAAGCTTGTCTTTGAGATACCTACGGGACATTGATGCCCACTCTACCCCCCACCTAAAGGACTTAACTCTAAATTATAAAGTGCATTTATATTCCTCCAAGTAATGTTCTATCCTCCCCGACAACACGCTCATTCATTCTTTCCCTCATTATAAAGTAATTCACTCTTAGAGAATCTTAAAAGTATAGAAAAGTTCAAAGAAGAAAAGGCTTCTATAATCTTCCACAGGGGCACTGCTGATAGCTTACAGCAGGTTCTTCTGTGCTTTTTCTATGGATACACAGATAATTTATGCACAGGTAAAATGGCTTTTGCTATAAACAGTTTTTTGTCTTTTTTTTTTTTTTTTAACTTAAAAGTTAGTCATTTTAAAGTAATTGTTTATATGCTACTGTTTATTTCAAGAAGATCCATGAAGAGGGACAAACATAATTTCCCTAGAGGACCTACCTTACCAGGTCTTCTCTGAAGAGGTCCCACCGTCCAAGACCCATAGGATAAATTGGCCAAACAGCGGGCCCCCCTTCCCAAAAGGTCCAAGCAGGATACATGATATCATGGTACTCTGATGTCTTCAACAGAAACAGAAAGGTCGTTCTAAATCAGTTGCATAAAAAAGGGAAAAGCAGCCAACTGCATTCATGTCACCGGATCTGGACAAAGGCCTTGCAAGCCCTAGTGCCACATTGTCAAAGATATAGCTTCCCTAGCCTGTGAAGTCTGGACTCCAGACACTAAAGGGCAAAAATGATCACGAGTTAAAGATTCATGAATTTGAAATTGCGTTGAAGACCAACTTTTCCAGTTCCCCAAAGTTCTGTTTTTCTAGAAGACATCCACTGTTTGGGTTTTTAGTTTAAGGAGATAATATGCACAATTCTGAATGATTACATAGCTCTCTCATCTTTTAACTGCTATTACTCACCAGTTCTTGGTTATTTCCTAGATGGGTCTTTTGAGAGCAAGAATTAGGAAATACAGTGCAATGGTTAAGAATGTGGGCTTTTGAGACAGTGCATCTGAATCCGAATGCTGACTCCACCTCTTTTCAGATCTAGACAAATTAGTTAATCTTTCTATGCCCAGTTTCTTTATCTTTATAACTAGAGGCCTGGTGCACAAAATTTGTGACTGGAGGGGGGGTGTCCTTCAGCCCAGCCTGCACCCTCTCCAATCTGAGACATCCCTCTCAAAATCCGGGACTGCTGTCTCCCAACCACTTGCCTGCCTGATTGCCCCTAACCACTTCTGCCTGCCAGCCTGATCACCCCCTAACCATTTCCATGCTAGCCTGATCACCCCCTAACCACTTCCATGCTAGCCTGATCATCACCTAACCACTCCTCTGCTGGCCCAATTGCCCCCAACTGTCCTCCCATGCTAGCCTGATCGCCCACAACTGCCCTCCCCTGCTGGCCATCTTCTGACCACATGGGGGTGGCCATCTTGTTCGAGGTGTGATGGTCAATTTGCATATTACCTCTTTATTATATAGGATGGGAGAAATAATATCAAGAATACTATCTAAATAACAGGTTTGTTTGAGTATTAAATGAGTTATACATGTAAAAGTTTAGAACAGCGTCTGACACGTATTGGGTACTCAATAAGTGTCCTTCCTACCCAACACTGTGGCACTGTTGAACTCACATTAAATGGTCAATATCGTCTGTCAGGGTTACTCATTTATCAGGGTTAGAAGTACTGATGGGCAGAATGGGGTAAAAGGTGTTAATCCCATATCTTTTGAAAAAAGTTTGAAACCATTTGTTTCCTTTTTATGGTTACTTCTGTTAAAACTCTAGCCACTCTTGGTTAGAGCATTATCCTGATATGCCAAATTGCGGGTTCAATCCCCAGGGCACATGCAAACAACCAATGAATGCATAAATAAGTGAAACAACAAATCAATGTTTCTCTTTCTCTCCCCACCCCACCCCCACCCTCTAAAAAGAAAAAAATTTTGGCCACTCATAAACCTCTAACTTTACTCTTTTTTCCATTGGAATTACACATGCAGAATGCTGTTTTCATTCTCTCAAATACCAGTACTCAAAAATGTATTTGAGCAGACATAGCTGCTCAATAGAAGATGCACAATTACTATAAAGTTGACAATCTAAAATGCCTTCTTTGGCCCTAGCCAGTTTGGCTTACTGGATAGAATGCCCGCCCACAGACTGAAGGGTCCTGGGTTTGATTCCAGTCAAGGGGATGTACCTCGGTTGCAGGCTCGATCCCTGTGCCAGAGGCAACCAATTGATGTGTCTCTCTCACATCGATGTTTCTCTTTCTCTGTCTTTCCCCCTCCCTTCCTTTCTCTCTAAAAATCAATGAAAAAAATATCCTTTGATGAAGATTTAAAAGGAAAAACAAAATCCCTCTGAGGGAATAAAGATGAAAAGGAAGTCAGTATATTGATGGTCATATTTTATTATCCACAGAAACAAGAGGCAATCAACAAAGTCCTCACTGACTTACTATTTGCTCTTCTGGAAGGCTTTCATGACAAACAATGGGACCAAGCACTTTTGAGAACTGAAGCTAAGTCATGGGAAATGCACATAAATGTGCCTCAGACCACATGCTATTCAGGAAATAAACAAGTCTGGAAGGAAAGTAAACTGTGATAATAAAGAGTGGAGGGGGGAAAAGTCCCTTTGCTTTGGAAAAACCAAATAAAAAATGATGTTCCTTTTCTCAAAGTCCACAGGGTTTTCCTAAACCTACTCTTCCTCATAGAATCTTCTACCCACTCTTTTAGTTCCCCCATGCCTGCCCTCAAATGCATTCAAACTCAGTTTCTAGGGATCCAAGGCCCATCCCTGCCAATACACCATTTACAAGAACCCGAGCACTGGCAAGACATTAACTGTCCCAAGTTCTACAAGCCCAAGATGTGTCCTAGTACTCCTTTCTTTCCATAACTAGACCTGAAGACCACCCTCTCACAAATCCCAGGCCTATCCCCTCAAGGTGCTGGTTGAACACAAACTGTGTGGAGTAATCTTACACATTGGGTTTCACTGTTAGCCATGCTGGGCCCCTGGGATACAGTGACAGATAAACCAGATGTTACCAAATACTGTGGCTGATGTATATATTATAGGAGCTCAACAAATATTTTTAACCCACTGTGCACCATAAGTATCTGTAGACACAAGTGGCAGACCTTCCCCACATGCCATGCACATCTATAAAAAAGATGTTTTCCCTAAGTGGCAGCCCTGACTGACTTTAAAATCATTGTTCATGAGAATTTTCAGCTGAAAATATTCAAGAACACCCAACTTGTGAGTAATATATTTATTTTTATAATATTCATTGCAAACTGATTTTTTAAATTAAATTAAAAATATCATGGTGTGTGGGGATGGTTTCCGTTTTGGATGCCAGGCAGTTAGTTAACTGGTTAAATGTGCTCTCTAATTTCAGGCCCAACGCTTTCTTGGGCACCTCTCTTTCTCTCTCTTTCTCTCTCTCTCTCTCTCTCTCTTTCTTTCTCTCTCTCTCTCTCTCAAGGATCTCTGAACCCACCTCAAGTGTTCACTAGGTTCTTCAGGCCTCTCTTTCCCTACCCTCTATCTAGCTCTATAAACACTTAAGCCATCTCACATTACTTACAGATCTTCAACCCTATCTCCTCAGTCTCACTGCTCAACTACTGTGAAACCAACAGGGACAAAGACCCAATTCTGGATCTCAGGCCTCGTCCTCACCATGACCCATTAGACTCTGTCACAGGACAATCATCTCCTGCTCAAATCCTAGAGCAGGCTGGGGAACATCCAGCCCACAGCAATATAAGGCTCTCGAAATCATTTGGTCTGGCCCTGCCAAGACATTAGGGGTGAATTAATTAAATGTTTGACAAAATATTGCAGCTAATTTTTAAATTGAGAATTTTGTATGGTCCGTGAATGATGTTATGGATATCCAAATGGCCCATCTAGGGTGGCTCAGTGGTTGAGCATTGACCTAGAGTTCATGGTTCAATTCCTAGTCAGGGCACATAACCAGGTTTTGGGCTCGATCCTCAGTAGGGTGTGTGCAGGAGGCAGCCAATCAATAATTCTCTGTCATTATTGATGTTTCGATTTCTCTCTCCTTCTCCCTGCCTCTCTGAAATCCTAATATATATATATTTGTATATAGTAAAAGGCTACTATGCAAATTGACCGAATAGCAGAACGACCAGTTACTATGACATGCACTGACCACCAGGAGATAGACAGACACTCAACGCAGGAGCTGTCCTCTGGTGGTCAGTGAGCTCCCATAGGGGAAGCGCTGCTCAGCCAGAAGCCGGGCTCATGGCTGGCGAGTGCAGAGGCGGTGGCAAGAGCCTCTCCCGCCTCTGTGGCAGCACTAAGGATGTCCTACTGCCAGCTTAGGAGCGGGCCTAAGCTGTCAGTCACACATCCCCCAAGGGCTCCTGGACTGGGAGAGGGCACAGGCTGGGCTGAGCGACCCCCCTCCCTGAGTGCACAAATTTTGTGCAAAAGCCTCTAGTAATAAATAAATACCCAAATGGCCCTTGGCAGAAAAATAATTCCCACCCCTGTCCTAAGGGATCACCCCGCATCCTCTCCTATGGCTCTTCCTATACTCACCTTGCTGAAGGAGAAGACTGGAATGGCAGGCTCCATCCATTTAGGAACCTGAGGATAATCTCGAACATTGATCACCATCTCCATGTCAGGAAGGTGCCCGATAATTTCCAAAATAAAGTGTTCCACTCCGCTGCATCTGCCAAACAGAAGTGCCATTGATTCACCAGACCAGGGCCTGCTCTAGGACAAGGCACTGTCCCAGGCACACTTTATTTTATTTTATTTTTTAAATATGGTTTACTAGTACAACATTCTTCTTTTATTTTTATTGATTTTTAGGGAGAATGGAAGAGAGAGGGAAAGACAGAGAGTGAAACATCAATGTGAGAGAAACACATCAATTGGTTGTCTTCTGCACAAGCCCTGACCACGGCCTGGGTGGGGAGGAGCTTACAACCAAGGTACGTGCCCTTGACCGGAATCGAACCTGGGACCCTTTGGTCCACAGGCTGATGCTCTACCCGCTGAGCAAACTGGTTAGGGCTCAAGGCACACTTTAAAAAAAAAATGTTTTTAGCCTCCTGCATGCCCCCTACTGGGGATTGAGCCTGCAACTCTGGCATGTGCCCTGACCAGGACTTGAACTGGTGAACTCTCGGTGCATGGGATAATGCTCAACCAACTGAGCACACTCGTGGGGGCTGGAAGTTTTATTTACTAGTATAGACAAGAGTCCTAAAAGGGAGATTTATCTTTAGTTGTATCATCAGTCCATGGCCATCCTGTCACCCACATCTCTCAGCCCACTGATTCATAATTTGTAGCTCCAGCCACTCCCCGTGAATTTCCACCACGTTACTGCGAATACTTGGTGTCTAGAACAATAGTTGGCCTTTGACAATCCATGCTGTTCCTCCACCTTCAGCACAGCTCACTCCTGCTAGGTCTCACCAGCCTGTGTCCTGCAGCTACAACATCCAAAGAAGAGAAGAGACAGAGCAAAGGCCAGTATAGCCAGTAACATGCCCAAGCCTCACGAAGAGAGAGAAGGCAGGCTTTGATGTAGAAGGGAGGATAGGAGTTGGCAAGAAAAATTCCCAGGCGAGGAGAGCTTGTCATGTGAGGAGGAACTGGCCTGGGCGGGTGTGTGTGTGTGTGTGTGTGTTGGGGGGAAGAGTGGTGTCACCTTTAATGGGCTTCTCCATAAGGACAGAATTAAGTAATCCCCTATGTAATAAGGCCAGAAGATATATTGATCAGCAGCCTCCTGCACACCCCCTACTGGGGATGTGCCTGCAACCAAGGTACATGCCCTTGACTGAAATCGAACCCAGGACCCTTCAGTCCGCAGGCCAACACTCTATCCACTGAGCCAAATGGGTTTCAGCTGCCTCATAACTCTTACCTTGAGGGAAACATGCAGTCATTTTCTCGGTATAATCTGTTCTTAATGATCTGATAGTGAGTTCCCAGCTTCCGCCTGACTACCTCCGCCATCTTCTCTCTTGAGATACCTCCTCGGAAAGGAGTCAGATCCTCTTCTATGACACTAGGAAAGAATGGGAATCATCAAGGAAAGCAGGCCCAGATAATGGCACCGTTCTGCCTACGTCCTTGGGTGTAGGGTTAGTATTGAAGAACACAGAAAGCTGAGGGAAAGAATAGAGAGCAGGAACGAGTATCCTTATCTCCAGAAGCACCTTAGGGAATCTAAAACATCACCAACATCAAAGTCACCAAACGGAAAAAGCAAGTAAATTTCTCATCTTCTTCCTCCTCCCTTGCCTGATGCAGATTCCACCTTCCCTACAAGAGCCACATCCATGGGCTCCCATCACTGCAGTCCCACCGACGTCCCTCCTCTGAATCCCACCGAAAGTATAGTTTATGCTTTGCAGTCTGACACTGTCTGACTCCCTTGTTCCGGTCTGTCTGGCTTCTACCCACCCCACCCCAAACCATAGCAGCCTAACAGCAATAACAAAAAATTACACAATTTTTTTTTCTTTTCTTCTTCTTTTTTTTTAATCAATCTTTATTGTTCATATTATTACAAAGGTTCCTCATTTCTTCCCCCCTCCACCAGGTTCCCACCCCACCCTCCGCCCCCTCCCTATCCCCCATTGTCCTCATCCATAGGTGCAGTGTATGTTCAGTCTCTTCTTCCCTCCCTTTCCCCAACAGTAAATCCCTTTTCAGATAGTAAATCAGTTACTTAGCATTTTCTCAAATCAATAATACCTCCACATGCCCAATGATACACTTCACACAAAAGACATTTCCCAATAGGTCCACCAGCCTCATCCAGGCCCCACCCAAGGCACTCACAGATCAACACCCCAGCCCTATACTAACTCAACACATCCAGATCTAAGCCTTCATCACTTGATTCAGCAGACCCTCAAGTTCCCGCGAAAGTTTCCAGCCATGTCTGAGAAGCAGCAGTGGGGCAGGGGCAGGCGAGGAGTGAGCTGTTCCGGGCCTGACTGCTTAGGGCCTGGCCTCTGTTGCTCTGGTTCATTCCACAACCAGCTGCTCCGGGTCTGGTCACTGCCGCTTCCGACCTAGTTGCTCTGGACTTGGCTGCTGCTGCTCCGGGCCTGGCCGCTCCCAGCCTGGTAGCCGCTGCTCCGGGCCTGGCCACACCCGACCCGCCTGCTCCCCCGGACCTGGCCGCTCCCAGCCTGGCAGCCGCTGCTCCGGGCCTGGCCGCACCCGACCCGCCTGCTCCCCCGGGCCTGGCCGCACCCGACCCGCCTGCTCCCCCGGGCCTGGCCGCCCCCAGCCTGGCAGCCGCTGCTCTGGGCCTGGCCGCACCCGACTCGGCTGCTCTGGGCCCGGCTGCCCCGGGCCCGGCCGCTCCGAGCCTGGGCACTCCCAGCCTGGATGCTCTGGGCTTGGCTACTGCTGTTCTGGGTCTGGCTGTTCCCACCCCGGCTGCTCTGGGCCTGGCTTCTCCAGGCCCGGCCACTCCGGGTCTGGTTGTTCCTGGACTGGCCACCCTGGGCTTGGCCGCCTCCGCCTCAGGCCTGGCTGCCACTGCCCCAGGTCTGGCTGCTCCAGTGCTGGCTGTTGATGCTCTGGTTCTGGCTGCTGCTGCTCTGGGGCCTGGCCGTTGCTGCTCCGGGCCTGACTGCCACTGCCTTGTGCCTGGCCACTCTAGGCCTGGCCGCCGCTGTTCCAACATTCTGTCCTTTTTTTTTTTTCTTTTTTTCTTTTTTTTAAAAAAACGCATTTATGTTGCAATATTGGCTGTTGAGTTGAGTTCTGACTTAGTTTTTGATTTTTCAAGAACTTTTTTGTATTCTTTCTTAAGTAATTTTACTATCTTTTGCTCTCACTTGATTTCTTCACATTGAGAACTTCTTTGGTTTCTTCCTTCTTGTCCTGGGAGCTCAGCAGGTTGGCCTGTGGCACCCCTTTGTTCTCTGTGGGCTCCTGCGCTGCTTCAGCCTGTTGCCTAGGATGGCGCTGCCCAGGAAGCAGCCCCACCCCCACCCCAGGCCTTGGCTCCATTGCCTGCGCTCAGCGGTCGAAGGCTCAGGGGCACCCCCCTTCAGGGGCCCCGTCGCCTGGCTCCTTGCTGGCTCCTGGTTGGCCGGCGTCCGGCAGGGGCTCCTGCTCCCTCCCGTGTTCCCCCAGCCCGGAGCTTTTTTTCTCCTTCCCGCTAGGGGAGTCCAGCATCAGAGTCAACAGACTGTCCTCTGCTGCAGTTTGCGCGAGTCCGGGGGCCCGGCCTTTCGCTGCTCTCCTGGACTCCACCTCTGCCTGAGCCTGGGTCCCCAGGGTCTGGCCCATAACTGGGGCTCAGCGCTGCCGGTTCGGGGGGCTCAGCGCTGCCGGTTCGGGGGTTCAGCCCAGGCTGGGGGTTTTATTTCCTTCCTGCTAGGGAAGGAAAGGCAGCACCCCACCCTCTCCTCCTCTCCGGCTGCGACCTTTCCGTGCGCACGTGCGGCGGGCGCGCAGCATGTCTCTGTACCTTAGGCTTTTTTTTTCAGCTCTTCTGATTTTCCTTCTGGTTTTCTCTTTCCTTCTTGTTGTAGAATTTTCAGTCAGTCGACTATCTGTAGCTCTGGGCAATGTCCACTCTACATCTTAGTTGTATTCCATTGAAATTGTTGTGTGCTGCCGCGGCTAGATGTCTACCCGAGCAGCCATCTTGGATCCTCCCCCTACACAATTTTTTTATTTTAATGATTTTTTTTTTTTTTTGAAGAGCAATAGAGAGATAGAAACACTGATGGGCTGACTTCTGCAGGCACCCTCTTGGGGATTGAGCCTGCAACCCTGGCATGTACCCTGACTGGGAATCGAAAGGTGGACTCTTGGTTCATGGGTTGATGCTCAACCACTAAGCAACACTGGCCGGGCAAATTACACTATTTTGGATTCCTTTTATAAAGTTCAATACAGAGTAAGTTTTTAATAAGTATCAAAGGCACTAGGTGAATTTTTTGAGGAGCTGTCGAGTAACACAATAAGGAGCTAAAGGACCCTGATATTTGGCTGATGATGCGGGATCTGAGACCCAAAGAAGGCAAGTGGCTGGCCATGGGGATAATGAGTGGGAGTTCTGAGACTAGAAGTGGTTATTGCTTTTGGAGTAATCTTTCTTCCACACTCCAGCCCTAGATTGCATACCTTAAAAGTAATCTGCAGGAAAGGTATAATTAGATTAATTTATAAATACATTCATTCCTTCAATGAATATTTATTGAGTACTTGCTGAGAGCCACACCAGGGATATCACGGTGGATATGACATAGACCTTGACCGGAAGAAGCTTTCAGTGGGGAAAACAAACCAGCACAGGTACTGACTTGGAAGGAGTGGCAAAGCAGACACCACCTGGGGCTCTCCCATCCAGGGCATTTTTATTCCCAAGAAATAGAAACCACCTCGGGAACCCCATCTGCTTTCACAAGCAGGCTTGGCACTGACCACAGCAAGCAAGGCCTCTTAGAGACCTTAGGGGACTTGCTTGTGACAAGAACTGAATTCTCAAAGACAAATAAATCAAAGAGCTGACTCACCCATGGTAGCAGCTGCAGTTTTGACTTGAACATGGTTCGTAATTCTCCAAAGCCCTGTTAATTTGGTCAATAAACACTTTCCATTTGGAACCTTCAAAAAAGGGAAGTAGATGAAAGTTAACCAAGTACCCCTGAGCATTCTTACTTAACTAGTGGCAGATAGGCAGAACCAATAGATGGCCACAAGTTTTAGGCAGCCCGCTTCCCACCCCACAGGTGGGCACGGAAACCTAGGGAGGATTCCTCCTGTAACTCTCCAGCACTCCAGGCAAGTCTGCTCCTGCACTCGGCCCTCGGGCATCCAAGAACCTGGAAATGTCTGCAGCTTCACGCCTGACGCTCAGAAGGCTACGGGTATACTGTACCGGTGAGAGTAACACCGATTCCCACCGTTTACTAATCAACCCGAGTCCAACAGAGAGGATACATGAAAAGCCACGGCCAGGAGCCTTCCCTTCATCTCCTATGGCAATGGCCTGAGAAAACGCATACACAGAGACACATGGATTTTAACCGGGGTGCAGAGTTGCCAAGCGCGCCCGCGATGCCTGCGAGGAACTCCCTCTCCTCTCCACTATCACTGGGAATCCCGAAGAACCGCTTCCTCTCCAGGTTCCTGAACAGCAGAGGCAGCGCCAGACACCCACTCTGCGCCCCAAGCCCTCCCCCCCCCCCCCCCCCCGGCGAATCCCGCCCCGCCGGTGCCTGGTGCCCGGCGCCCGGTGCCCAGCTCTGCGGGAATCGCGGCCAGAGCGGAGCAAAGAGGCAGGAGAGCGCCAGCCCCGACACAGCCCTGGCTCCGCTCGACCCTCCTCCGGGCCCACCTGCCTCCTGGCGGCCCTGCCCGGGAGGCAGGAGCAGCAGCGGCAGCAGCAGCAGCCACAGCCCCAGCGCGCGGCGCGCACCCCGCTCCATGGTCGGGAGCCGCTGCGGAGTCCCCGGGCGGCCCCCGCGGAAGCGCCGCCCCGCACAAGCATGGGAGCCGCCCCGCGTGCGCGGGGCGCCCCACACAGAGATGGCGGGTGGCCTCCTCCGCCTCCTCTGCCTCCTCCTCCCCGCCCCCAGGTCCGCCCCGGGCAGCTTCCCGGGACTGCTGCCTGGAAAAGCCACGGCTTCCTCCCACCGCTCTGTGCACGCGCAGTTCTGCAGGCCGGGAAGTCCCGCGCCTTTGTTTAGAGCCAAGCTATCCGGTTCCGCTATCTAAGGGGAACCTAGAGTTTTTGCCTTTTGGGATATTGATTTCAAGCTGTGTATCAAGAAACAAAAGACTCAGAAAGAACCTTTGTCTGCCTAAACGGTTCCGATGGAAAGGCCTGCTCCAGGAAGGGGATCCTAGTGTTCGCCTTAGCGGGGTTTGCATTAAGGGTGGTGAATGCAGGGCTTCAGGCAGGCCCATTAGCTGGATACCCACCGCGTCCCGAAGTTTCTTGAGTTACCTTGTAAGAGTGTATTCCACTCTTCCTCAAGGACTGGTAAGTGACCCATTCTCACTCCTGAAATCTAAGATCCCTCATCATCCCCACCCCCTGCCTTTCTCCTCTGTTCGAAATGTGCCTATGTCCAACCATGCCTCACTGTCTTTGGAATTTTCATGCTTATGTCAGTTCCCTATACACATGTATTAAAATTTTATTTTCTCCTGTTAATCTGTTTCTGTTCGTTTGATTGTTGGCCCAGCTAGACAAACTAGAAGGTGGAAGGGGGAAAACACACACACACACACACACACACACACACACACACACACACACGCCACACTATAGTGTATAGCACTGTTAGACCCCAAGGGCTTGCAAATAGGATAGCATAGGTCTCCTCATAATAGGAAGTGATCAGACAAGGAAAAATATCAGTGGACAACATCATACCGGACAGTATAGCTGTTTAGGTATTTATATATGACCTTAAAACTACAAGTTTTAACCATTGTCTAAAATGTGCAGTGACTGTTAGGTCCACACCTAAAGGAGCCAGGCCGAGAGATGCTGTGAGAGTTTAAGAAACGTTATCACATTCTCTCACACCAGTGTGCCGAGGGGTGGTGAGGCTCTCTTATATAGGGTAGAAGTATGCAATATAGGATCAGGATGTGGGTGCCAGAGTTGGTCAGTTGGAAGGGAAGTCACCAGTTGATCAAGGGAGGAGAGTGCACGGGTTGATCAGGCGGAAAGAAGTTCTTCTCATTCTGCTTCTGCAGGCATTCGTTATCTGCTCAAACCTATGGAACAGCTTATAACAATATGTATTTCAGAAGAGAGATTAGGGATAGTTCATCCTAACAGCGACAATTTAAGCTCCGTGGAAATGCATGGAAGACCAAGATGAGATCTGTGCCCTCAAGGGGTTTAGACTAGTGAGAAGACAAATAGGATTCCCAGAGATAACTTACAACTTCCAGCAATGAGTAAACGTTCCTGGTTTCAGTGGAAGGAAAGATCAACGTGAACTGGACATCTGGAGAAAGGGGTAAGAGAGGTATATTCCAGGATGAAGAAAAAAAAAAGGAAATATTGCCGTTATAGAATATTGTGCTGGAGACACTAAAAAGGGAAAAGCCATCATCTGCAGAGGATGGGGGTAGTACTTGGGGTGAAGGTAGTGGGGGCAAAACTTAGGATGCATGTTGAAGAATGATGAAAAACAAAATAATGTTGAGTAGTTAGGAATAGGCCCTGTCACTCACTTTGGGAGAGGAGAAAATAGATCTCCAACACTCTATCATACAAGAAAGACTTCTTCGGGAATCCAAATGAAAACTTGAGTCAAAGTTTCTTTTATTTCTAGGAAGGTGGTACATAACTTCAACTTGAATATTCATCAAAAGTACATGACAAGGCAGTGTACTCCATAAATGAACAACATAATAACTCTCATTTTCAAAGTTAGTCTAAAATGAATATACAAGCATAGGCAAAAGGAGGGCTACAATACACAAAAGTTTTCTCTTGCATTATTATTTATTATTGTATTGTTTTTCCATGTGAGGAATGTAAATCTAATTTTGACCACCCTTGTAGTGGAGAATAATTTTTAAGACGTGAATAAAAGCCTTTCTTTTCCACAAGTACAGTTTTCTGTGATCAGAAGAAAATGGAAATCACCTTGCATTACAATGAAAATATTTTCTGCAGCAAGGTTGGGAGAAGAGCAGTGAGGTAGGGAGTTAAGTAAGATCTATGCACAAGAGGAATAAGCTGCATGTGAATCCATAGAATAGTTTCACTTCCTTAACAGAAAAGGTATTTTACTCTAGTGGTTCCTAGGTGTAATAAGTACCAGAAGCCTAGAGCTTGTGAAAAATCACAGATTTCTAGGTCCAATGCCAGCCACTAAAATGCAAACACTATGGTTTAAAAGATCCTCTATGTTCAAACTCCTAGTGGTCTTCAAATTAATTTCATGCCACTTCCAAGAAAAAAAAAAAACCCTGAGATGTTCTAAGTTACAATTACAATGGCTGAAGAGTGAGTGAAAGAGAAACGTTAGCCTGTTAATAGTTGTAGACCAGCTCTGACAAGGATGCTCATATTATATATCTGTTGGAATTTAGGATTAATTTCCACGTGGCTATTTCCATGATTATTCACTTTTTCCCCCCCAATTACATTCAATATTATTTTATACTAGACCTGGCAATCAGGGCCGATCAGGTTCCTCACCTCCCCACTTCCTGCCCTCTTCCTCCCCTCACCACCTGCATCTACCACCACCCATCCCAGGTCCCCATCCCAACCCCAGGGCCAGCTCCAATTGGGCAATCAGAGCCTGCTGGCTGGGAGGAGGGACTCGAAGGTTGGCCAGAAGGCCCCACCAGTGATCAGGGCCTGTGGGATGGGAGAAGCACCTGCATTGAGCATCTGCCCCCTAGTGGTCAGTGTGTGTCAGAGTGACTGGTCGTTCTGTTATAACTGCTGCTTAGGCATTATATACAATTTCAACTATACAGTATAGTAGTTAGACAGTTATATAATTCATGAAGTGATTTTCCCATAAATCCAGTACCCACCAGGCACTATACATAGTGATTACAATAACTGCTTTACTCTATATCTGTGATTATTTTATAACTACCAATTTGTACTTCTTTATTTTTATTTTTATTTTTTATTAAATTATTACCTGTGTACATATACCATTGCCCCCTCCCCCATACATGCCCTCCCTCCCCAGAGTTTTGTGTCCATTGGCTGTACTTATATGTATGTATACAAGTCCTTCGGTTGAATCTCTTATCTTCCCCAATTTGTACTTCTTAATACCTTCTTCTTTTTCACCCTGTCTACTAACCCCCTTTCCATCTGTCAACCATCAGTTTGTTTTCTACTTTTATGAGTCTATTTCTATGTTATGTTGTTCTTTAGATTCCACATATAAGTGAAATCATATGGTACAGTATTTGTCTTTCTCTGACTTTATTCACTTAGCACATTACCCTCTAGGTCTATCCATGTTGTCACAAATGGATGTTCATTCATTTTTATGACTGAGTAATATTTCATAGTATATATGTATCTATATCTTCTTTATCCAGCCATTTAGGTTGCTTCCATATCTTGGCTATTGTAAATAATGCTGCAGGGGAGGTCCCTTCTAATTGCTAAATGGGATGCTGCCCAATTAACGGAATGCTTATTAAACCCAATTTTAAAAAAATAATGCTCCAGTGAACATAGGGGTGCGTGTTTTTGAATTAGTGTTTTAGATTTCTTCAGATAATTACCCAGGAGTGGAATTGCTGGGTCATAAGGTAGTTCTATTTTTACAATTTTGAGAACCTTAGATACTGTTTTCTATAATGGCTGCATCAATTTGCCACAAGTATCCGCTCATTAACACATAAATTTTCCAGTCTGCTATTTACAGCCCATCCACATCAGCAGACACTTCTTCTTGGCAGATTCTGCTGAGCTTATCCTAGAACTAACTCTGCTTCCCCTTTTTCCATCCTCTTTATCTATAGCTAATGTAGATAGCTGCCCCATCTCCTTGTCCTATCCCCACCACTGCCTTCTTGATGTATGATTTGTAAAATTTTTAGGCAAGGGAGTTCATGACCCAAGACTAGTCTTCTTTTGGGCCAGCAATTTTGGCTCTTTAATAAACCTTTCTTACAAAAGACTTTCAGCTGTGGAAGTTAAATCATTTGTTAACAACACATTTCCCTTTGCTCACCATGCCCTAGCAATACAATTTTGTGTTAAGTTTCTCAAACATGGCAAGCTCTAAGCCACCTTAGAATCTCTGCCTAACTTTTGTTTTCTATCTAGATTGCTTTTCTCTCTCATCTTTGCATCTCTGGATCCTTCCCAACATGCTGAAATGTCATTGCTTGAGACAGATATATCCCTTCAAAATAGCACCCTCCTTATTGTCTACCTCACCCCTTTGTTTCCTTCACAACACAGCCTCTAATTATTTTACTTATTAAATGTTTCCCTCATTAGAATACAAGCTGCAGGAGGGCAGAGACATATCTGTTTTATCCACTAACACTGGTACATAATAGTCACTAAATAAATGAGTGGCAAAGGAGTTTCAATGTATCAAGCTAGGAAACAGTTTACAGAACAATTAAAATATGTGTTGCTTCATTGATTGAGCGTTGATCTATGAATCAGGAGGTCAAGGTTCAATTCTGGTAAGGGCACATGCCCAGGTTGCGGGCTCGATCCCCAGTAAGGGGTGTGCAGGTGGCAGCCGATCAATGACTCTCTCTCATCATTAATGTTTCTCTCCCTCTCTCCCTTTCCCTTTCTCTTTGAAAACTATTTTTTTTTAAATGTGCAAAACTCCTTACACCTACAGGTGAGTATGATGGAAAGTATCTGTGTTGCATTTTGTATATTCATGTTTTCTAATTTCAAATTCCTCTGTAAAATAGGAACAATGGTAGTATCAAAGCATTGAGATTTAAATGAAATATATAAAACTACTAATCTAGTATCTAGTGTCAAAAAGAACTCTCAATAACGATTAATTCGTCATTACCCAATACAGAGTTTTCTCTTAAGGCTCTTAAAATCTCTAGCGTGAGAGATCTCACACAAGTGCTCCGTTAGACACTTTTACTCTTTTTCTAATACCAAACTACTGGCAGTTTCAGTTTCTGATTTCATGGTGCTGCTGTCCACCTTCTTACCTTCTGTGACAATTCCTTTATGAGAAAGCCATTCTCCTACCAACCACCTGTCCCTTCTTGGAGTCTTGGTTTTAAACCCCAAGCTCTCTGTGAAGCTTTCCTGGGGAGACACTGTTACAGAAAACCAAAGAACAACAAAGCAATAATTAAGAGTTACATTTATTAGGCGCAGGTCCAGAGGAAAATGTATCTTAAATTCTGGGTCCCAACATGCAGGAATTCTCCCTATTTATATTTTACCTTCGTTGTATCCCAAATATGGAGTGTCCCCGGCCCCCTTTTGCAAGTTCTTAAAGACCCCATATATATTGGGGCCTTGAGAGACTTCAACCAGAGGCCTGGCCTGGCGCTAGCACTGATAACCTTGTCTGGGGAAGGTTAATTTTACAGAAGCCAAATAGCAGGGTTAAAATTTCAAACAGCAGTTTTCATACAAGATGGATGCTTCAACAACACCCCCCTCCCACGGAATTAATTACGCATGTTGCCTACATGCTATCTCCGGACCTTGGACAGAGTATTTATGTTGCATTTACTTTAACAAATTGTAATTTTTTGTAACAGCATTGTAACATTTATTGTTACAATCTGTCTCTTCCGCTGAACTGGGAGTTCTAGTCCTTGACAATAAGAGCACAGTGGATGCTAAAGCAAGACTGTGCGACTCAGACTCCTTTGCCCAGCAGAGACGTGACCTTGGTGACGTCTCCCAACCTCCCTCATCCGTAAAAATGGGAGCGCCAACTTGCAGAGCTGTTACTTGGAGTCCACGAGATTCCAAGAAAAACCCTTCGGGTCTGGGTCCCTGAGGCCCAACCTGGAGGACATCCGCCAGCGCCGGCGGGGAGGGCGTGACCAAGAGTCCTGCGGAGCAGGCGCGTCCCACTGCGCAGGCGCAGGCGCAGGCGCAGGAGGCGGGGCTCGGGGCCGCTCTAGGGGCCGCCGGAGTAGTTCCGGGAGGCAGCTCGCCGCGGGGGCGCCCGGCCGTCGCGAAGCTGACGTCATCGCCGTGCGCTGCCACGTCTGCTCAGCTCCGCGGTAATGGAGGCTGCGGGAGAGTGCTGACGGCACTTGGCTCTGTTTGTAGCGTTAGCTCTGGCTCTGACTCTGCCGCTGACTCAGGGTCTGGGTCTCGGTCTGGGTCTGGCAGCTCGAAGCTTGGACATCTTTTTTTCCGACTCTGCGGGCTGGACGGCCCGCGGACAGGCCCTCGGTTTGGAGCGCCTCAACGCCAGGAGGGAGTTCTCTGGCTTGGGGTCTCTCGTGGTAAAGCTGCTGCCTGCTTGCAGGGATCCCGCCCCACCGGCCGGGCCTCCTCCATGCGTGAGTATAACGGAACTGCCGTGCTGTCCGTCTGTCCAAGGCCTGTTTCGGCTCTCCGGGTTGCGGGGCGGGGACCGCTTGTCCCCTCTGTGGGGGCAGGTCTGTCGGAGTTGGTAGTCTCTCGCCATCCACCTACCCCCCGCTGCATCCTCTGGCCTCGTCCATACCACACCTTCCCCTTTGAGCAAGAACCAGCAGTCCCTACCTTACATCCAGCGGTTTGAATAAAGCTATAGGAATAGTGTAATCTACAGCAGGGTTTTGAAAGCCAGAGGGTTTTTGTGTGTGTGTGTGTGTGTGTGTGTGTGTGTGTGTGTGTTTACGGTGTGTCCTCCTTTAGTTTTTAAGTTGTATCATGTAGTAAACAGATTTTCCTGTCCACATTGAAGAGCCGTGATTTTGCCAGGTTGACGAGGACAATTTCTTTTTCAGTCAGGATCTTCATCAGTAATTACTAAAAAATGTTACATACGTTTTTCTGGAGTGGGCATCCATTTGCACTCCTTCCAGTGTTTTCACTCTGACGGATGGAGATACCATTTGAACAGTTTTACTTTTACAGAGTTAAAAGGGTCGACTGGCATACTTTACACCCATCATTGTCAGTCCTGACAACAACCTCTGTGGGGCAGGGAACACTTTTTTTTTTTTTTCTCCTTTCTGATAAAGAAGCGCCTCAGTTAAAGTCAGATAATATGTAACACATCGGAGCACAGAACCAGATCTGCTTGGTAACAAAACGTAACATTTTGGACAGTGCTGATACTTCTGTATTTCAAGTGCCTTACTGTGAAATATTACATTTGAATTGGAAGTGTTTATATTAGGTGTTTCTTGTAAATTTGTACCCGATTGTAGTATCTTTCACGTGATATACTTAACTGGCAAGAAATACAAATTGTGACTTCCCTGCTCCAGCTGGTTTCGCTCAGTGGATAGAGCATCTGCCTATGGACTGCAGGGTCCAGGGTTAGATTCCAGTCAAAGGCACATGCCTTGATCCCTGTGCAGAAGGCAGCCAATCAGTGATTCTCTTTCATCATTGATGTTTCCCTCTCTCTCTCTCTCCCCCTTCCCCTCTGAAATCAATAAAAATATTTTTAAAAAGCACAAATTGTGACTTCCCCAGTGCTGAACACACCTTAGATCAGAACTTATGCTTTTGATCTGACCCATTAGAGTTTGAGTATTCATTTTATTAGAATAAAGTAGGTAATAGTTGCTGAGAGCATTTGTTTGAAAATCTGGTTTTACAAGCCCCGTTCACTCAGGTTTTCTGGTTGTTTTCTTACATTGCTTAGTTTCAAAAATTGTAAACTGACATTTAAATGTGTGTCATTTTTGTTTGTTTTGTTATTGTTCAGAGTTGAAACAGGTTGACAACCATTAACCTGGGTTGCAACTACAGGTGGCACTGGAAGCAGACTGGTTTCCGGACATGCCCGGTGGAAGGAGGGGCCCTAGTCGGCAGCAGCTGAGCCGTTCCGCTTTACCTTCTTTACAGACTTTGGTTGGTGGGGGCTGCGGCAATGGAACAGGCCTGAGAAACAGGTAAAGAAGAAATAAGATTATTTGTTATTTGTAATATCCTGTGATCTGTAAGACTCACATAGACGTCATCATGCTCTTCAGGTATTTGTGTATGAAGATAATTTCCTGACCTGAAATAGAAATCCTGCCTTGACAACTGAAAGCTCAGTATTTCAGAATACTTGGGAGGCCGAGAGTTGTGATATCGGGCCCACAAAGTGAAAGCAGTCCAATTCTTAGTTATGGTTCATAACCCAAATTCTAGTCATCACCTTTTTAGCTGTTAAAGGAAGGGAGAAGCCCTAGCCAGTTTTGTTCAGTGGTTAGCATGTTGGCTCATGGACTGAAGGGTCCTAGATTCGATTCTAGCCAAGGGCATGTACCTGAATTGCAGGCTGATTCCTGGCCCTGATCAGGTTGTGTGCGGGAGGCAACCCATCAGTGTGTATCTCTCACATTGATGTTTGTCTGTCTCCCCCCTTCCTCCCACTCTCTCTAAAAATCAGTGGAAAAAATATCCTTGGGTGAGGATTAACAATAAATAAATAAAGGAAGGGAGGGAGAAATGAATTAAAGTACAAGGCTTTTAATTTTTTTTTGGAGGGCAAATTAAAATTGACAGTTTATGTAAGATTCTAAAATTGTAAGTCATATTCCACCAAGGCTCCTACAAATTATTTTCTTCAAAAATTTGTTTGAAATTAATAAACTGTCAGCTGTAACTCAAACATCTTAAGATTTGTGTTATGTTGTATGAGAATAAAAAACATGATTTTTTAAAAAATTCTCACCAGAGTATATTTTTTCCATTGATTTTTAGAGAGAGATTGGGAGGGAGGGAATGGAGAGAGAGAGAGAAAAAGAGAGAGGAGAAAGAAACACTGATATGAGAGAGAATCATTGTCTGCCTCTTGCAAAACTCCCTCCCCCCCCTTCGAGGATCAAGCAGGTAACCTGGGCATATGCCCTGACCTCCTGGTTCATAGGTCTATGCTCAACCACTGAGCCATATCAACCAGGCTTTTTTTATTTTTTATTTATTTTTTTTAAGGGAGGGAGAGAGAAACATCTATTTGTTGTTTCACTTATTTATCCCCCATTGATTGATTCTTGTATATGCTCTGACTGGGGATCAAACTCACAAGCTTGGTTTGTGCTCTAACCAACTGAGCTATCTGGCCAGTGCAGCTCTGCCTCTATATTAATTCCAGCAGTTCTTTGTTCTTCTGTTTGGGCTCTGAGGATTCCCCTAGATAATTATGTTCTCAAATTGTGTCGTGGAATGCCTCCTCTGTGTCTCAGGGGTTGCTATGGAAGTGCTTTGAGGGAAGACAGAGGCTGGTAGGCCTCACAATCTAGACTTCAGGTTTCTTAGCCCTCTCTTAATCAAACTAACTCCAATGAGTTTTAAGTATTGGGATACCATGTAAAATACCTTTTGGGGAGAAAAAAATGAAGTGTTCTGCTATTAAAAAAAGAACTGAAAACTACATTCCCACGTGATTATGCTTGTACTTAAAAAGTGTGCAAGTAGAGTACTGGGAAGAACTAGGAACATTTGGAAATTACCTCTGCTCTTAGGTGATTTCAGCTATGATCATGTTTGCTTTTCTCTGCCTTCCTTGTAGCCCTTTATCCTGGCTTTCAAAGTTCCAATCATAATTGCCTTGACCTACCATTCTTCATTTGCTCTCCTCCTTTAACATATATTTCTTCAGCAATTAACTGGGATGGTAGGGAGAAAAACATTCTTCAACAGATTAGAATAAAGTGAAAAATTATAGTTGTTCATGGTTTGCAAAATCACTGTTATTGAGTGACTATTTTGTGACATTTTTACCTAAAGAGGTTATTTTGGGAGAAGATACTCTATATTTGTTTCTTGATGGGAAAGAAGCAGCCTAAAATAGTTTATCATATAAGACCTGGGATAGAGTTATAAAAAATAGGGATAAAAACCAGTGGTAGACAGCCTAGAATATAGTTTTGGGCAGGATGTATACAGAGACAAGGTCCAGACGGGGAGAACTTTCTTCTGGAGTGATATAATTTCGGGTGATATCTTTGCTTCTGCAAGACAGGTCAGCTGGAGAAGAGAGCATTGTGCTCGATTGGTGAAGTTAAACCTGAGAATGCCATAGACCTAGTTTGGTGACACAATCAGGATTGAAGTCTATAGTTCCCTGTCCTGTTTTCCACCTGTGGAGAGCAGGGATTTGTTCTTAGGATGCTTGCGTAGATGATTGCCTCCTAAAGGAGGAGGATATAAAGTGAGTTTCCTAGAGCTTATAGTTGAGGGAGAATCTTATTTGAGAAGGACTGAGTGAGTTTTTCTTTGTTTTGTCCTTGAAAGTACTTTGTTACTAATATCACCTGAGCATGTTCAAAAGATCACTGCTTTATCCTTTCCTATTTTTCTTTATTCCTTTGAAGCCTCCTTGCTTTATCCATTTGCTTAGGTAAATTCTTTTGCTTGCTGGCTCCATAAAAGCCAGTCTCATACCTGGTATGTTAACTCTTTCGCATACAAACTTTATATGCAAGGACGAAGTAGGTATTCAACATAAACCACATTGTTTGCACAAATGCTTTAGGCACAGTGAGCCACTCTTATTATTTAGTGAAACTTTTATGTCATAGGGAACTGTTTTCCAGTCAAGTTCCAGACGCCAGCCTTGCAAGCAGGCATTTCTAAGGTTGGCTATGCTGAGCACCTGCTTTCCTTTTGGTATTCTGGAAATAGTGTACTGCTAGGTAGAGATTACCTCTATGGCCAGTCTTCAGTAAAAACTTTAGGTCCTGAGTCTGTAATAACTCTTCCTTATAGATAATCACTTAACACATATTGTTGCAAATATTTACTGAGAGTTGTGTGTGTCCTATATGACTCCACTGAGAAAGGATTCTTGGAAATGTGCACTTGGTTTTCTCCAGACTTTGCCCCATTTACCTTTTCCTCTGCTGATTTTGATTTGTTCCCTTTGTTGTAATAAATCTTAGCTGTGAGCACAACTATATGCCGAGTCCCATGAATCCTCCTAGCAAATCATCAAACCTGGGCTTGGCCTTGGGGACCTGCAACACAGTTTAAAGGATAATACTCAGTGTTAACATTGAGAAGAGTTCTTTAAAGAGAATCTATTACAACCCTTGTATTATAGGTTCAGGGATATAGTTACTTTCTCAAAAACCACAGCTGATTAGCAGAAAATGTGGGAGAACTATTCCACATTGTATCTCAAACATTTGTATCTCTTGCTTTAATATATTTTCATATCCTGTTAGAGGAATAAGTCCTTTTTTTTTTTTTAAGCCATGTCTTGCTGCCCTAAGAATACTTAAAAAAAAAAAATCTGTAATTAATTTTCTTTCTTTCCTTCTCCCCACCCCCAATTCTGTATTGTTAAAAGTATAATATTAGATATGTCTCCTTTTCCCCCCATTGACCTCTCCCTGGCCACTCCCATCCCACAGCACATGCCCTCATCCCCCTGCTGTCTGTGTCCTATGCTTATGTGCATGCAAGTCCTTTGGTTAATCTGTTACGGCACCAACATTCCCTCTTAGGTTGGGCGGTCTGTTTGATGCTTCTATGACACTGGATCTATTTTTGTTCATCAGTTTATATTGTTCATTATATTCCACAAATGAGTAAGATCATGTGATATTTATCTTTCTCCATCTGGCTTATTTCATTTAGCATAATGCTCTCCAGGTCCATCCATGCTGCTGCAAATGGTGAGAGTTCCTTCTTTTTTATAGTAGCGTAGTCTATTATGTAGATGTATAGTTTTCTAACCCACTCATCTACTGATGGGCACTTAGGCTGTTTCTAAATCTTAGCTATTGTAAATTGTGCTGCTATGCACATAAGGGTGCATATATCCTTTCTGATTGGTGTTTCTGATTTCTTGGGATATATTTCTAGAAGTGGGATTACTGGGTCCAATGGAAGTTCCATTTTTAATTTTTTGAGGAAACGCCATACTGTTTTCCACAGTGGCTGCACCAGTCTTAACAAAGGGTTCCTTTTTCTCCACATCCTCACTTGTCATTTGTTGATGACAACCATTCTGACAGGTGTAAGATGGTACCTCATTGTATCTCTTGGATGATTAGTGACTTTGAGCATGTTTTCATATGTCTCTTTGCCTTCTGTATGTCCTCTTTTGAAAAGTCTATTTATGTCCTTTGCCCATTTTTTGATTGTGATGTTTATCTTCTTTTTGTTAGTTTGGAGTTTTCTGTAAATTTTGGAGATTAAACCCTTGTCGGAGATAACATTAGAAAATATATTCTCCCATGCAATGGGCTTTCTTGTTTTGTTGATAGTTTCTTTTGCTGTGCAGAAGCTTTTTATTTTGATGTAGTCCCATTTGTTTATTTTCTCCTTAGTTTCCATTGTATTGGGAAAAATATTGCTATGACATATGTCTGATATTTTGCTGCCTATGGATTCTTCTAAGATTTCTATGGTTTTCCATCTTATGTTTAAGTCCTTTATCCATTTTGAGTTTATTTTTGTGTTGTATGCTGTAAGTCGGTGGTCTAGTTTCATTTTTTTGCATGTATCTGTCCAATTTTCCTAACACCATTTATTGAAGAGACTATCTTGACTCCATTGTATTTTCTTGCCTTCTTTGTCAAATACTAATTGAGCATAGTAGTTTGGGTTGATATCTGGGTTCTCTGTTCTGTTCCGTTGATCTATATGTCTGTTCTTGTGTCAGTACCAGGCAGTTTTGAGAACAGTGGCTTTGTAATATAGCTTGTAATCTGGTATTGTGATCCCTCCAAATTGTTCTTCTTTCTCAGGATTGCTGCAGCTATTTGGGATCTTTTTTTATTTCATATGAACTTTTAGAGAGTTTGTTCTAGGTCTGTGAAATATACCATTGATATTTTAATGGGAATTGTAATTGAATCTACAGATTGCTTTGTGTAGTACGAACATTTTAATGATGTTGATTTTATGAATCCATGAACACCGTATATTCTTCCATTTGTTTATGTCTTGTTCTATCTCTTTTTTCAGCATCTTGTAGATTTCCGAGTACAAGTCTTTTATCTCCTTATTTAAGTTTATTTCTAGGTATCTTAATTTTTTTTTTTTTTATGCAATGGTAAATGGGATCGGTTTCTTTTTTAGTTTCTCTTTCTGTGAGTTCATTATTGGTGTTGTGTAACTAATTTTCTGAGATATATTGACCAAGTCTGTTTATGTTAGCTTTTAGCTTTGGTGGGGTCAGTTAAGAACTTTGCTCATATGTCTTCTCAAGCCTTCAACTTATTCCTTATTTCCTCTTTACCTCTATGCTCTGGGTCACTATTTGACTTTTGTCTCTCTGTCTTCTGGTTTGAATTATAGTAGCCAAGGGGTATAGAATATCACAGGTGTAGATCTTTTGAACTTTATTTGGAATATCTTTCTTGAGGCCCAGCATTTTGTTGACATTGTTAACCACAGAAGCAGATTAGTCTTTACTTAGAAAAAAATTCTATACCTTTAAATTATAACAAATAGTTCATTCAGCATGCTTTCCCCTTTCACCTAGTTTTGACTGAAGAGGAATTTGAATTTTTATTTTGTTCTAGAGTAGAGGCCTCTAACCTTACAATTTCTGCTCAGAATTTATTTCCATATCTTATGATTAACCTGAATGAGAGAATGGATTGGCTGTTGGCATTAATCCCCTCCATTCAAGTTGACCAACTTGTACATCTCCAGAGGGCACTTTTCATGTTGTGTTCTGTGTGAATGAGATCTCCTGGATTTGGGAAATGCTGTGGCCCATCTCTTAGAACAGATCATAAGGCTGTGGTGTTGATGACTGGTTTATGATTGAACAGGTAAGGTTAAGAAACCTTCGAATAGGTCACAACCAACTCCTTGATAAGCTTGTTCTATTAGAATATACACTGGTAATGAGAGGAAGAAATTTCCATAATTTTTTCTGATCCTTCCCTCCCCCATTCCTATTCTTACCTTCTATCTCCTCTGAATTTCTGCCATATTATTCTTAACTGTTCAGAGTGACCAGAGTTTATATTCCAGGAGTCACATAAAGTACTGTGAATGTCATATACTAATGCCAGAATTCTATATTTGGAACTTTAAGAGTAGAATGGTAATGCTAATATTGTTCCTTCTCTAGAATCTTCTTTGAAAATAAAAACCAACTCTCTTTTTCATGTTATTCAAACAATAGTAGACTCTTAGATCTCTGTAACTACTCCCATGTGTAATATAAAGGGAAATGTTATCATTCTTGATAGCCCAGCTATTTTTCACGAATAAAACACCTTGGTAGAGGGATAACAAGGAGACGATTAAAGCCTGTATATCTTAACTAGTGTTTTAAGAGATCCCTATTTTTTTAATGACTATATTGGTCTGCTGTCTTTTCAACCTAAAGGTATATATTTGTAGTAAAGTAGGAAAATTTATGGTCTGATAGACAAGATATCCTATCTAATAAAGAGGGAATATGCTAATTGACCCTCACGCTATTGCAAAGATGGCAACACCCACAGCCAATAAGTAGGGAATATGCTAATTGACTGTCTCACCCTCAAATATGATGGCACCCATAGTCAATAAGGAGGGAATATGCTCATTGATTGCCACACCCACAAAGATGGCAGTGCCCACAGCCACAAGATGGCAGTCCCCAGTCCCAACAGCCTCGCTGGGGCAGCAGGCATATTGCACAACCGGGCCTGCCCCCTAGGTGGGTCTGACCGTGCCTGCCTCCAGAGTTCCCCAGTCCCCTCAGCCCCCCACCTGCCCAGGGCTGCCCAAGGCTCAGGTAACCAGGGCCGGCCAAGGCTCGCGCTGCTGGTAGTGGCAGCAACAGAGATGTGATGGGGACGTCGCCTGCCTTTGCTGGGTTGCCTCCCACCCCTAAAGGCTCCCAGACTATGAGAGGGGGCAGGCTGGGCTGAGAGACACCCCCCTCAAGTGTGAATTTTTATGCACCAGGTCTCCAGTAGATATATATAAAAATTATATATAATAGTATGAACAGTACAATATTAAAGACATTTTATGTGCCAATGAGTCAGCTCCAACTCCTGGAGAGCCTATGAATTAGTGATGCCCACAGAGTCCTGTACTCAACAATGCCCTGTGCCTAAGGCTTCTTTTATGGAGTCAGTCCATCTCACATATGGTCTTCTTTTCCTGCTGCCTTACATTTTTCCCAGCATAAAGGCATAGTTTAGGTGTAATGGTGTCACAGAGGAGAGATGAATTAGTTTTGTTTGAGTAAATCAGAGTAAGTTTCATAAGGGTTATACTTGATCATTTAAAAAGTCGTGAAGGATTTTGTCAGTAAATGTGTATGTGAGTGGGTAATGAGATAAAGCTAGTATGTTAAGCAGAGGACCTCATAGGACATATTAAAATTTTTCAATATTATCCTATTGGTAGTGGAGAGGTATTCATTCAAGAGAGTAACATTTTAGAAAGATCAGACTTCCACTTTAGAAAGATCTCTGAAGGAAGGTTGGAGAATTTGGTGAAAGAGGAGTTGAATTTATGGGGATTACTGCATTAGTTTAGGTACAAAAATAGTAATTGCTTGAACTAAGGGCATTTAGAGAGGAGGGTACAGTTTGGAGAAAGTTTTATAAAGTGGAGTACATAAGATTTAGAGAGTGATTGGATGAGGCAGAAGGAAAGCTCTAATATGACTGCCAGGTTTCTGATTCAGGCAGCTAACTGGATGGGACATGAACTAGAGCCAGGACCACAGGAGGAGGAATACAGAGATGTCCAGTAGACAGCTTGATAACATGGGTCTAAAACTCAGCAGTGAGCTCAATGGAGAAAAAATTTTTGTTTTCAGCATCTAGAGGATAATGGAAACCATGGCCTCATATTGGATCACTGAGAAGGTATCCATGAAGGGAGAAGCCAAAGATCCTCGGGTAGAATTTGGGGGAAAGCTAAAGGTTAAAGGGTAGGTGGAGAAGGAAGCAGGAGCCCTTTATGCTCTATGACACTGTAGGGTAATCACTATTTGAGTTAACCCTAGTTTTCTCTTTCAGGAATGGTAGTGCTATTGGCCTTCCGGTCCCACCTATCACAGCCTTAATCACCCCAGGTCCTGTTCGTCATTGCCAAATTCCTGATTTGCCTGTGGATGGGAGTCTGCTCTTTGAATTTCTCTTTTTCATCTACCTGCTGGTTGCACTATTCATTCAGTACATCAACATCTATAAAACAGTGTGGTGGTATCCTTACAATCATCCTGCTTCTTGTACTTCATTGGTAAGTCTTAATCGGCTTTTACATTCTTTATGTTACTTAGTCAAGAAACTAGTTGGAAAATCTATGTGTAGAAATTATTTTTCTTAATAATTTTTCTTCTGATAATTTTTCCCCCCTGCTAAGCCAAGATTACTTTCAGAAATATAATGTCATAAAATTGTTTGAAATATAAAATATCTGGCTTTGGTCTATGACTGGAGGAGATAAAAATATAAGTGAAAATTCAGAAACCATTAAAATAATTTATTAAAATAATACCATGAGAAGGTTTTTATATTTAGCTTTCTCTATATCATGTTATATTTGTTGGAAATTTAAAGTGTCAATATGTTTAAATTCTAACAACTCTACCCTTTTAATGACTATACTAGGATAATGGACGCTTCTATAACAAATAAGCCCAAAATTTGTATAATTCTCCAAACACATAACAGTCTGAGGCAGTTGGCCTAGTTGGCAGGAATAGCACACTTTCCATATATGGTCAGTCAGGGACCCAGGCTGATGCTGACAAATGTCTTCCAATGAGTGGCTTTCAGGGTGGCTGCGGTCCATCCCTGTCAGCCAGAGAGGGAAAAGAGGAAAGGGAACTATGAAGGAGAGTTTCTTATGGTCCAGGGTTAGTTATATCATTTTCACATGTGTCCTGCAAGGGAGTCTGAAAAATGTAGTCCTTTTACTGAATTCATTGTTATTAATACTCTGAATGAAACTGGGTTCTGTTACAGAAATAAAACTGAGAGAATAGCGATCTGTTTCTGCTAACGTACATGACAATATTTTCTAGGTTTCTTCTATCTTCTTTGCAGTTATTTAGGAGGGGTGTGATAATCTTGATGCAGAGAATGCTCTCCATAGAAGGATATATAAAGTAATGATAAGGCTAGTCAAGTAAGTAGTTGGTACTGGCAGTTTTTAATGGGCACTAGAGATGTGCTCTAGGAGAAAGAAAACTATTGTCCTGTGTAGTTTATGTATGTGTCTGTGATTTACAAATGATTCGAAAACTTCCCTGGCCCAGTGAGCATAGAAAGGAAGTAAATGCAGATGAAAATCTTCAAGATAGCATGGGAAGGGAATAAACATTTTTCTTTTAAATGTTTATATCAATTGGTTGTTCCTGGAATTAACCATTAAGAATTTTCTTGCCCTAACCGGTTTGGTTCAGTGGATAGAGCGTCGGTCTTCGAACTCAAGAGTTCCAGGTTCGATTCCGGTCAAGGGCATGTATCTTGATTGCGGGCACATATCTGGTGGGGAGTGTGTAGGAGGCAGCTGATCTGTTTCTCTCTCATTGATGTTTCTAACACTCTATCCCTTTCCCTTCCTCTCTGTAAAAAAAAAATCAATAAAAATATATTTTTAAAAAAAAGAATTTTCTTTTTATAGTGGCTATCTGCTTAATATTCGGTGAAGAGAATTTCAGTTTTTAAAAATATTTATTTTTATTGATTTCAGAGAGGAAGAGAGAGGGAGAGAGATAGAAAACATTAATGATAAGAGAGAATCATTGATTGACTGCCTCCTTCACACCCCCTACTGAGGATCAAGCCCACAACCCAGGCATGTGCCCTTGACCAGAATCGAACCCAGGACCCTTCAGTCCCCAAGCTGACACTGTTCACTGAGCCAAACAGGCAGAGGCGAGAATTTTAGTTTCTTTACTTAAGAATTGTAATGATTTAGTGCCAAATTGAATGCCTTTTTTTTTTCTTTTTTTTTTTTTTTTTTTTCATTTTGTAAAAATTGATTTCAGAGATAAGAAAGGAAAGGGAGAGACATAGAAATATCCGTGATGAGAGAGAATCATAGATTGGCTGCTTCCTGTATGCTCTGTGTATGCTACGTAGGGATTCAGCCTGCGACCTGAGCATGTGCCCTGACTGGAAATCAAACCTTGACCTCCTGATTCTTAGGTCGACACTTTACTACTGAGCCACACAGGCCAAGCTGTATATTTTATTTTTAATAGTCCCCACCTGAATTATGAGTTTATTGAATGTAGAAACTATTCTTCATCTACTTTCTTTGACCATGGTGTTATAAAATGAAGAGTTTGGATTAGATGATCTTAAAGGTTTTTTCTTGTTATATAGCTCTATAAACACCTCAGTAGACTAACAGTGACACTAGCAATTGCTTATTAAAATATTTACTATGTTCTTTGCAAGTATTTCATTTACTCTTTGTATAAATAGGTAAGTACTACTCTATGACTCCCATTTATGAACGAGTTATAGGAGACCTAGAAATTATGGAACTGGCTCAGAATCACATAGTGACACAATGAGCACTCAAATCCAAACCTATCTGCTATATTTATTCCATAAGTACATTATACAATTTCTACTTTGACATTATATGAAAACTTCTCACTTGTTGAATTTTTGGGTTAATAGAAGAGCTTTTTTGCCCGACACTTTTAAAAATCTCTTACAAATGTTGCCTTGAAACAAAGGGAACTAGTGTTCCTGTCAATCAGGAAGCTGTTACTATGCTGCTTATTCCAGAATTATGCTTTCTTTGCTCTGACGTAAAGGGTGACCTTTACTTGTCTGTCTCCCACTTTACTCAGTTTGAATTTAAGTTTTATGTGATACTTGCTTGAAGAAACCAACTCAAATCTAGAAATTCAGTTGCAAGACAGTCTGAAAATGTTCTTAGCTTTCCAGTCTCTGCTGTAAAGAGGAAGGCACACTTAAATGGGGTTATTGTGTGTTCTGGTACACTTACCAGCCACACGTGATCCTTCTTCCACAAAGTTCAAAATTTAGTTGTGAAGCTAAGAGTAACATATGTGGAACAGTAAATAAGATTTTATCCAATTAAACTGAAAGGGTCCTGAATCAATGAACTGTTCAAAGATAAATGGGCTGTCAGAGACTTAGTTACTACCCTTCACTGAATATGTGCAAGCATAGCATGTAGCAGCCTGACAGAGATTTCTAAAAAGGACTTCCACTTCAGCTAGTGCTCTGTCTCCTTTAAGTTCCTTCTATCATGCATGCCACACTGAGACATTTGTCACATTTATATGTAAGGTTTTTCTTTTTCCATTTCAAGATCTTAGTATTTATCAAAAAGAAAATGTGAACCCTAAATATGTAAAGTATCATTCTAGTGATCAAGAAACTAACTAAATGAGTCCTAACCCCAAGAAATATAAAAATAATAAGTAGTATAGTAAATTATTCAGAAGTGGAAGACTCTGATTAATAAAGTATATGGAATCGAACCCAGAGCCCTTTTACAGAAAGTTAATCATAAGCAGATGCATTTTCAGCAATTTAGAATATAACAAAATTTGCTTAAAATTAAGATATATTAGGCACTTAAATCTTTTTATATTAAAAAATGTCTTAGATGCACTAGTATTGCATAAATGGACCCCCAGACATTAGCTAGGGAGTCTAGTAAATTTTCTTGCATTATTTTGGAGGAGTGGGGTGAGCAAGGAAGGGTATCAAAACTAAGAGAAGATAGATCGCTTCCGGAGCGGATGCGGTAAGCCGGGTATTGCTGTGCTTCAACTCCCTCTTGGTCTGCATCTTGGCTCTCACTATTACAGTGAGCTTCCTCAAAAGTTTCCCGCCACCCAGGTCAGCTGAGGGGCTCTGGCAGCAGCAGCCCAATACCCATACCGATACCGGGGTGGTGTTGACGGCAAGGGCCTGGGTACAGGCACTCTTCACATCGCTGAGAGCTGCCTGTCTTGGTTAGATGGCTCTGGATTGGGATTCTCACTGGAATACCCCACCATTAGTTTGCATGCAGTGTCCAGGGCCCTAAATGCCTATCCATGAGAGCATTTATATGTTAGGGTGAATGCCAAATTTGAAGAAGAATCAAAAGAATCTGTTACTGATGAAGAAGAGGAAGAAGTGATGATGATGTTGAACCTATTGCTGAGTTTAGATTTGTGCCTAGTGATAAATCAGCATTGGAGGCAATGTTCATTGCAATGTGTGAATGCCAGGCTTTGCATCCAGATCCTGAGGATGAAGATTTAGATTATTGTGATGGAGAAGAATATGATGTGGAAGCACATGAACAAGGGCAGGGGACATCCTTACATTTTACAACTATGAAAAAGGGTTATCCCACTTAACAGCTGAAGGACAGGCCACATCAGAGAGATCAGAAGGAATGCTTTCTCCAGTGTAACATGGCTGGAATCTGGACAGAAGATTCAGTAAGAGATTATGAAGATGGGATGGAGGTAGATATTTTACCCACAGTTGCAGATGCTGATCACTGAAAATGATCTTATGTTGCTTTGGGATTCTGCTAATAACTGTAGGAGAGAACTTGGTGCCTTTTCCTCTGTAGAGGGGATGTTGATGACAATATTTTTCCTTCTCCAAAACTTCCTGAACCAGTTCTTTCTTGAGAAAGACTGTATGAGACAACAAGATGTCAACAGGAGAAGAAACTATGACTTTTATTAAGCGAGGTGAATTTACTTAACCAAGAGAGTATTTGTAGTTTATCTTTCATCCCTAAACTTTCTGAATGTAGGTACCTTCTGAGTAGGCCTATAATTCCTGCCTTCAGTGTATGTACCTTCAGTAACCTAGCGGGGGTATGTGGTGAAAATGGGCACTTAGGTGTTGGTAGACGGGATGGAAAAGAGGCTGAGTCTAAGGTAGACCCCTTTAGGGCCTAAGGATACCGTTACCCTTAAAAAAAGGACATAGATCTCAGATGAATCTGGCCTCTGCTCATTCTCTACAGGGGTAAGGATTACTATAGGGACCAGATTAATCATGCAGGCATCTCTAGGGAGCCTTTTTGGAAACATCCCAGCCACACATACTAACACAAGTGCTTCTGACTAGCTTTTGCTTTGCTCCTTTCATCATGTTTTCCAGTCTGTTCTATTATAGCTTCTTAGGTTATGTTATATCCTTTAATTTCTAGCCTCTTCATTCAGTTTCTGTAGCAGAATACATGAAATTGGAATGAAGTCCTAAAAGTACTCCACATGATAATTGCTTTGACTTTGTAATGCTTAACAAATAAGTCTAGGTTTTCTATGTTAAAACAAAACAAAACGAACCCTAAGGGAAGATAAACATTATTAGAATAAAAAATACTAAAAGGAAAAAGAGATGATCTGAAGAACGTATAGTAAGCCACTCTCTTGACATCCTGGCTACTCTGCCTATCCCAGATCTGTCCACTCCATCTCCATTGCTACTGATCCTCTTCAATCCATAATCATTTTTCACCTGAATCAAAAGCAATAGTTTCTTAATTGATTTTGCCCCACTATAATATTCTCACCACAGAGAAACCAGTGTGAACATTTTAAAATACAAATAGAACCATGGCACTCTTTGCCGGAACATTTCTCTTTTTTTAAATTTTATTGATTTCAGAGAGAAAGAATGAAGGACAGAGAGATGGAAACATCAATGATGAGAGAGAATCATTGATTGGCTGCCTCCTGCATATCTCCTACTGGGGATCGAGTCCACATCCTGGGCATGTGCCCTTGACTGGAATTGAACCCAGGACCCTTTAGTCCGCAGGCTGACGCTCTATCCACTGAGCCAAACCGACGAGGGCCTGAACACTTCTATGACTTCCCATTAGGGGAGAAAATGAGGATTAACAAAAAGCAAACAACAATAAAGGGAAAGACAAATTGGTGGTCACAAAAGAATCATGGGGATATAAAGGAGAGTACAGGGAATATAGTCAATAATATTATAACAATTATGTACAGTCCCATGGGATCCTTGAAATATCCGGGGACCACTCTGTTGTAAAGTATATGATTATCTAACCACTATATTTTACATCTGAAACTAGTACAAACTAATATTAAAGGTAATATTAGAGCACCAACAATGACAAGATCTGGGGGCAGAGATTCAGGTGAGAAATGATTATGGATTGAAAAGAGAGTCAGTAGCAGTGGATATGGAGTGGACAGATTTGGGATACATTTTAAAGAAAAAAATAATCACAAAGGTTCTTTGGCAGGAAAATATATGCCTGGTGTGTTTTAAATCAGCAAAAAGGCTGAAATGAGCTGGTGCTTTTTTGTCATTTAGCTTTCAGCCCAAATGCGATCTTCTCAGAGTTCTTCTCAACCACCAACTTAAATTGGCTCTGTATCTCCCTTCCCATTCACTATATTTTTAAATATTTTTTTCAAGTACAGTTTACCTTTAATATTATTTTGTACTGGTTTCAGGTGTACGGTATAGTAGTTAGATAATCATATGCTTTACAAAGTGGTCTCCAAATATTTCAAGGATCCACTGGGGCTGTACACAGTTATTACAATACTAGAGGCCTGGTGCACGAAATTTGTGCATGGGAGTGGGGGTTTCTCAGTCTGGCCTGCACCTTTTCCAATCTGAGACCCCTCAGAGGATGTCTGACTGCTGGTTTGGGCCCGATCCTGTAGTCGGACATCCCTCTCTGAATCTGATACTGCTGGCTCCTAACCACTCACCTGCTTGCCTGCCTGATCGCCCCTAATCACTCTGCCTGACTGCCTGGTTACCCCTAACTGCCCTTCCCTGCTGGCCTGGTCACCCCTAACTGCCCTCCCCTGTCAGCCTGGTTGCCTCTAACTGTCCACCCCTACTAGCCTTGTTGTCCCTAACTGCCCTCCCCTGCTGGCCTGGTCGCCCTAAGTGCTCTCCCCTGCCGGTCTGGTCTCCTCTAACTGTCCTACCCTGCTGGACTGATTGCCCCTAACCATCTCTGCCTTGGCCCCCGCCACCATGGCTTTTTCTGAAAGGATGTATGGAAGGACATCCGGAACGTGTCCAATCTAATTAGCATATTACCCCTTTATTAGTATGGATTATTGACTGTATTCCCTGTGCTCTGCTTTACATCACTATGATTATTTTGTGACTACCAATTTGTACTTTTTTGTTGTTGTTGTTTATCCTCATCTGAGGATATTTTTTACATTGATTTTTAGAGAGAGTGTATGGGAGGGCAGGGAGAAGAGAGAAAAACATCAATGTGAAAGAGAGACATTGATTGGTTGCCTCCTGCATGTGCCCCAACAGGAGCTGAAGATGGAATCCGTAATCTGGGTAGTGCCTTTAACTGGGAATTGAACCTCGACCCTTTGGTGAGCAGACATTCTAACCACTGGGCAACACTTGTCCGGGCCAGTTTGTACTTATCTCTTCACTTTTTTCATCCATCTCCCAACCCCACTGCCATCGGTCATCATTTGTTACTGTTTTATTTCTTATCAGCATTTATAACTATTGAAATGATTTTGCTTCTTAGCTTGTTTATTGTCATTGCCCTTCCCCCTTAAACAAATTCATTAAAAATATATAATAGGTTTAGCTGCTGTATCATGCTGACTAAAACAAAATAGAACCTTAATTCTCTAATAAATAAAAATTAGGTAGGTGACATAAGGCCCGTATGACAATCCTCTGTTTCTTTTGTTCTGCCACCCCCAACATGCTTCTTCTAAACATGATCCAAGATAGCTGTTCCAACTCCAGTCATCGAATCTGGCCACCAGGAAGGAGGAAAGGAAAAAGACACAGCTTCTTTCTTTAAGAGCCCAGCTGGAAAGCAGTACACATCATTTTCTATCACATCCCTTAGCCACAAGTGTGTTTTTTTTTTTCAAGGAAGACTGGGAAATGAACCTTTAGTTAGCTAAGAGTCAGTGCCCAGTTAAATTCTGTGATAGCATAAGAGACACCTAGTAATCTGCTATCCACTTGCCTTTTCACATCACAGTAAAAAGTAGGATCCAGGAAAGCAGGAACCTTATCTGTCAATCTTCAGCACTATCCTCAGTTTCAAGAAGAGTACTTACACTTAGCACATTGTGGGTGCCCAGCACATATTGAAGGAATTAATTGAGAAATTGAACTTTTCCTTCTGGAAGGAGAACTGTGGAAACCTATAGACTTTGACTATCAAAATGAAAATATATCCCAATTCTGTTTGTTGCTACTGACTTTTCATTTTGTTTTTTATTACAGTGATGTTTACAGTCTTAGAACTATAAGAATCATGTATAGCATCTGGGTAATACTATCATTTTATAGGAAGAAGAAATCAAATGTAAGACATATTTTCATTAGTAAATCAAAGTAAGAAAAAAAAACTAATGAATGTAATTGATGTATCAGTGAGTAAGGAGTTTAGGTTAGTAGATGCCCAATTAGATCAACATAAGTTCTTAGATCAAAAGAGACCAACAGCAGTAACCCCAAAAGATTGGTAATTGTGATTATAATTAAATTTGACAGTCATAAATATGGCACATTGTAGATAAGTTATTGCCATAATTCTGCCGGTTATCACTTGTTAACTCAAAACTGTAATCTTTTCCTTTTAATACAATAAACTTGCAAGAAAGGAAAGGAATACATTCCAGATAGTTTAAAAGAGTGTTTGAAAAGTTGAAGCAACTTGTCATAGAAAGAGAAGTAGAAGATAGGTAATCTCTTCTTGCTCTCTCAAATTCCTGTGGACTGTAAGTGTAAGATGATGTAAAGGAGATCATTTGAGGAGGCAAACCTCTTCATATAATAGTTCCACGGATACAGATACTTCTTTCTGATGAAGTTATTTATTTCTCTTATAGAATTTTCATCTCATTGATTACCACTTGGCAGCATTCATCACAGTGATGCTTGCAAGGAGGCTGGTATGGGCCCTCATCTCAGAGGTAACAGTTCATTCACTATATTCTATCACTTATAGCTAGAGTTGGTTACTAGAATGGGTTCAGATTGAAAACATGAAATGTCCAAATGTAATTTAAATATAATTATAAATTTATTTTACTCCCATGTGAATTGTGTTGATTCTTTTTAAAAGATTTTTCTATAATATATTTAAATTTCAAGTGTGATGTAACTCAAAAGAGTTGTTAGAAATATAGTAGGAGCTAATTTCTAACTTCCGAATTCTTCAGTACAATATAGTCTTTCTAATTTTAATAGTTACAGTAAAATTGGATGAATTTTAGATAACTATTGATATGATGTTTTATGTAAATAAACAGTTGTATCTAAAACCTTATTTCAAGTAACATTCACTTGAAATTATGTCTATGCTATTTGTAGAGTTGCCAGCAAGAGGCATTTGTTTCAGTTAATTAAAATTTGGAATTTAAAAATAACATCCAAATTGGCATAAGAATAATCTTGAAGAGTAGAATCTAACTTTAGTGATCAGTGGAGGAAAGAATTGGGACATTATTAATGTGATCTTATTAAAAATTAAAAGTTGTTAATAGAATTGGCCGTTGTTACAATTTTTTATGTATTTGTAATCCCAGTGGGGGAGAAGGGGATAAATGTGTTTTCTTAAGATTTTTATTAATTTGTGCCCTGTAAATCATTACAGAAAAAAAAAAAAAGTTAAAGAGGTTAATAATTTTAATCTTGTTCATAATTCAGTGTGAAATTTTGAATGAATAGTTACCGTAATCACAGATAACCAAGGCAACTTTTTCTTCTAAAGCATACATGGGAAGTTTTTGTGTGTAAGCGCTAATTTTCAGGAACCTTATTTCTACAAACACAGAGTAATTGCAGATATTAAATCACGTGAAAATCATTTAAAGTTGACTGAAAAAATTGGTAGTAGGATCATCTGTTTTTCACAGTGGTAAAGGCTCTTTATAACCTTTTCTCCCAGGTTCTTTATTTAGGTTTGTAAACCCTTCATAACTGGGAATCTACCTTGGAACTACAAAAATTATAATTTGATGTACTCTGAAATACTCTATTTTTTCTTTTGATAATGGCTTCACAGTAGTTTTAACAGCTTTTGCGTAAACTTAGCTGGAGAGTGTATTAGCTGCTAAAGAGCCTGTAATTCTCACTGAGAAAAAAATATTTAAGCTAATTTTAAACAGATTTCTAGTCAAAAGATTTAAATCTGTAGCTTGATATCCATTAGAAAGGGAATATTAAGTAATTATGACATATCAGCATAATGGAATAAATAGCATGCAGCCATTAAAATTATGAAAATGTCTTCACTTACTGACCTATAAGATACTAAGTAAAAAAAGCAAAGTATATTAGACAGGAGAAGAAACAAAATATATTGCCTTACCTATGTATAAACTATCTCCAGAAGGACATACAAACGAATAATGACCTGCCTACTTGGTGACTGAGAGATAGGACCAATAGGAGGAAACTTCACTACAAATACTGTTAAATGCTTTGTATGTTGAGCAATGTGAATTGAATATTTTACCTAATCAGAAGTTAAAGAGCTATATACTGATTCCTTTTCTAAAATACTTAAATTTGATGGATAATACCCATCTTAAATCATCTTTCCTTCCTTCTATTAAAATGTGTTTGCCTTTTGTTTTGCTTATATCACAGAAAGGACCCCTACTCTGAGAAAGACCAATCATTTGTAAGGAGAGGCTGGAGGTAATTAATTCAGAAAGCTAAACACTGTCCTGGGAGGAATACCTCCAACTAGATAGACTTCATTCACCTCCACGCCCACCCTACTTCTCTACTTGCTTCACAAGACCAGAGTTATTTACTGTTCTTTCACCAACCGGAGCAACTCTCTTTTTAAAAAATTGTTTTTCTACATAGAAGAATAGTAGATTTTATTTAAAAAAAAACAACAAAAACAAACAAACAAAAAAAAACACACTAAAATATTAAACAGAACATTTAAAACTATTACAATGCCATTATTAAGAGAACCACATTCTGATATATTTCCTATATAGGGGGACATTATCTGTATATTGTGGGGCTATTTGGGACATTATCTGTATATAGTTTTAAATTCTGTATTTCTAACTTAAAAAGTGTAAGGAATATTTTTTTACTTCTTACCTGACTAATTCTTGCTTATTTTTTACATCTCAGCTGAAATGTCACTTCCTCAGGTAGCCATCCCTAGGTTCGGGTCTCCTGTTATTTGTTCTCCACAGCAGCCTACTCTTTTCCTATAGCACTACTTGTCACAACTATAAAAATAATTACTTCTTAAGATTTAATATGTGTAAATGTGAGTTTAATATGTGTCTTTTTTGGTTGATCAGCCTCATGCAGACAGAGTCTTGGTTACCACTATGTCCCAGGACCTGTTGTAGTATATATCTGAAATGGACAAAAATTGTATCTGAGCTCTGCTGTTCTGGTGACATTGGGCAGAGCAGCCTTTTTATTTATAATTGTAAACTTTTGAGAAAGGAAGCAATGGAGTAATTCCAGTGGCTTAAATATCATCCCTAGGCTTTGAAACATGGGGTGCATTGGCATGAGATCAGGGGAGTTGGATACAGCTCTTTACCCTGCTCTGGCTGAGAACAGCTGGAGACTTTCTCACAGTTTGAGGTGTGAACAATTCATTATGGTATTAATTCAACTGTTTCTTGCATTTGTAAGGAATTATGTAAATAATATATATTACATATGTATTATATATGCTGTGTAGTATGTTGGGTAAAATAAGAAATGGGTATATATTAGAAATCTGAAAAGATCCTTATCCCCTTCGTTATGTTATTGAATCCTGATAATTTTTCCCCCATTTCTGGGTTTTGATACTGCTGTTTTAAAAGTTATAGGAATCGACCGTTTTCTCCTGCAGTTTGCTCATTCTCTTCTTCCTTGTTCACTTTGAAAGAAAATGGCATTGCAGAGTTTCATGTTTAGACTAATATGTTTCTTACTATAGTTAATATGTTTCTTAGTATAGTTTTAAAAATTTGGGATTAAAGAAAAATATTTGAACAGCGGTGATATAAAGTGATTATGCCTTATTTCCATGTTTATAAAAGCCAGAAAAGAAACTTTTGTTTATATAGGAATTTGTCAAAGAAGATATGATTATTTTTTGAAGCCTCAGTAATTTATTAAACATTAGTTTAGGAAATAGAATGGGGGAAGGAGTCAAAGAAAAATAGAACTTACTGTTGAGGTCATTATAATCTAGTCTAGAGTCAGAGAACTTAATATCTTTATGTACATAGAAGTCCCTTGGTTGGTTGTTAAAATACAAGTTCCTTGACTTGTGGTTTTGGTCCTTCTATCTGATGAGGAAAGTCAGTAGGAATTAGCATGTTCAGTAAGCAGCCCAAGTCATTCTGATGAATATAGTTCATGGACCATACTTTGGGAAACCCCAAAGTAAACAAATTAGATAATATCATAAGAACTTAAAGAAGGTCTCTATGAGGCACTATGGGAATATAAGGAGGAAACAGCTAACTGCCTGGAGATGTCTTCATCTTTAGAAATGAGGAAGATCGGTGGAGTGGGACAGTTTATATTTCTCTCTCTCTCTCTCTCTCTCTCTCTCTCTCTCTCTCTCTCTCTCTCTCTCTCTCTCACACACAGTTTAACTTCCACTAAATCTACCAGGTCCTTTTTTGAGTCACATTGTTTTTGTATAAGGTGATTTCTGAAGTGTTCCTTTTGATGCTTCCAAACTTTAGGCCACTAAGGCGGGTGCAGCATCTATGATTCACTACATGGTTCTGATATCAGCTCGCTTGGTGCTGCTCACTTTGTGTGGATGGGTGCTTTGTTGGACGCTCGTCAATCTCTTCCGAAGCCATTCAGTCCTCAATCTCCTTTTCCTTGGCTACCCGTGAGTACTCCAGTTTTCCCATTTTATTAGTAAGTTTTTTAAGAAATTATTTGGGCCATACAAATAATAGTATATAAAGGGAGTATAAAAGAGAGAAAAATGAAATTCTTCAAATTGGAAAAAATCAGTGATTAGGGTGACCTTATAATTTATTTTCTAAACTGGGGTACAAATAGATATAAATCAGGACTGCCCCAGGAAGCCTGCGAAGTATACCTAGCTCTCTGACCAATAGAGAATATGTTTGAATTTCCTCTGTTCACCAAATAAAGGCCCCTGGTACTGGCTATATTGGCATAAGTGGTGACTAATGTGAGTTGAAAAAACTGACTAAACCAGATTCACCATTTTGGTCAAATTATTGTGAACTTGGGGTTCCTGTTACAGATGTATGCCATATTGAAGCCATATAAAGGTATATACTTTTTTGACCAACATTTTATTATAAAACAAAATGTCAGCATATGCATATCAATAACTAGAGTTTGATATTTGGTTATAGTCTTTTTTTAAAAGCAGAATTCATATTCAATAAAATTCACAAATCTTATGTACATTTACGAGTTTTAATAAATACCTGTGTAATTCACATTACTATCTCAATATAGAACATCATTACTTCAAAAGTTCCTTTATTCCCCCTTCCAATTACCCCCTACCTCCTGGTTCTCAGAGGCATCCACTGTTTAAATCTTTTTCTACTATAGATTAGTTTGCCTGTACTGAATTTTATATAAAAGGAATCATATAGTATGTACACTTTTGTGTAAGGTATCTTTTACTCAACGTATTGTTTTTCAGATTTATCCATGTGACTTTATGTGTTAGTAATATTTCATTGTGTGAGCATACCACAGTTTATTTTCCTATTTTTGGATGCCTGGGTTGTTTCCAGTCTGGGGCTCTTATTAAAAATAAAACTGTTGCCCTAACTGGTTTGGCTTAGTGGATAGAGCATCGGCCTGCAGACTAAAAGGCCCCGGGTTCAATTCCAGTCTAGGGCATGTACCTTGGTTGCAGGCACATCCCCAGTATGGGGTGTGTAGGAGGCAGCTGATGGATGTTTTTCTCTCTCATTGATGTTTCTAACTCTCTATTCCTCTCCCTTCCTCTCTGTAAAAAAAAAAAAAAAAAATCAATAAAATATATTTTAAAAAATAAAATAAAACTGTTATGCATATTCTTATACAAGTCTTTTTTTAAAAAAAACAAAAAGATGTATTTTTATTCTCTTGGGAGGAATTTCTAGGTGTGGTATTGCTATGCCATAGGGTAAGATTATATTAAGTTTTATAAGAATCTTTTTCCCAAAGAAGTTGTATCATTTTATCCTCCTATCAATTTTTTAAAATATATTTTATTGATTTTTGACAGAAAGGAAGAGATAGGGATAGAGAGTTAGAAACATCAATGAGAGAGAATCATTGGTCAGCTGCCTCTTGCACACCCCCTACTGGGGATGTTCCCGCAACCAATGTACATGCCCTTGACCAGAATCAAACCTGGGACCTCTCAGTCTGCAGACCGATGCTCCACCACTGAGCCAAACCGGTTTCGGCCTTCCTATCAGTTTTTTTATTTGATTGCTCTTCATTTTTGCCAACATGGATGTTTTCTGTTTTTAAAATTTTTGCCTTTATGATGGGTGTGTAATGGTATCTTATTATATTATATTTATTATACTACATTGCATAATATAGCTAATACTTTCTTCACTGGATGTTAGTAGATAGCAAGCATTTATTGAGCTTTTTATATGCTAAATGCTAGGTTAGGTGCTTATAAACATCATCTCATAAAAACATCACAGTAACTCAGGAGGTAATGTAGTAAGTCTGCTGTTACAGATTCAAAATATCACTAGCTTAAAAGGTTAGAAATGGGTTCCTCTTTCCTGTACAGTATGTGTGTAAGTGATGTTGGATAGCTGTGGCAGCTCTGTGGTGTCTAAGGCTCCTGCTATCTTTAGTAAGTCAGGTGTGTCTCAACTAAAAATTCTGTTGCGGTAAAGAACTGGAGAATAATAGCTGTTGGCAGACAATTCCACCTATTTTGCCAAAGGTAAAGACAGGTAAAGACAGGTTAAGAATTAAAATCTTACCCCTGGCAAAATTTAGTGAGAAAATCTCACGTCTTTTTTATTCCACAGCCCATTACATTCTCTGTATTCAGTAGTTCAAAGTGTCATTCCTAGAACAGCAACATCAGCATCTCCTGGAAGTTTGCTAGAAATAGAAATTCTCAGAATCTACCCCAAATCTACTGAAACAGAAACTCTGCAAAGTAGGGCCAAGCGGTTTGCCTTTTAACACGACCTCCAGATTATTCTGACGCTTGTTCAAGTTTGAGAATCATTGCATTATACCACTTATGGGTCTTAAGTGTAAGCATGAATTTATATATGTACTTACATAGTATAAAATCAAGGCATATTCAGATTGTGTTGGCAAGGATGGCAAGGATGGCTTTGTATTTATTGTACTATGGGTAAGTCTAATTATATTGTGTAAACAATTATAAATCTGTTGTTTCTATATGTCTAGATTAACTTTTTAGGTGCTTTGAGTTGAAAACAGATAATTATTGTATTTACCAACAATAGCTGGTTGAATCTGTTAGAAGGTTAACTCTATCTGATTTGAAAGGCAATTATGGGTATATCAAGGAATATTTTGTTCAAATTTAAGAGGATTACCATTATCAAAATGGCTAGCAAACCTTTTCATTTCAATTTAGGTATATAAAGAAGATCCCTTATTCTTTAAAAAAAAAAAAAAATATATATATATATATATATATATATATATATATATATATATATATTTTTTTTTTTTTTTTTTTTTTTTTTTTTTTTTTTTTTTTAAACAGAGAAGGGAGAGGGATAGAGAGTGAGAAACATCAATCAACTGCCTCCTGTACACCCCCTACTGGGGATATGCCTGCATCCAAGGTACTGCCCTTGACCAGAATCGAACCTGGGACCCTTCAGTTCTCAGGTCGACTGCAACTCTCTATCCACTGAACCAAACCGGTTTGGCCAAAACTCCTTTATTCTTGAAAGCTTTCCACAACCCTGTAAAACAGGGTTGTAATTTAAACAGATTTTAGGTTGAAATATATTTACCTTCTTTACTTTTCAAAAGTTGTATAACTTTTATCTAACTTCAGTTTAAAAATTAAGTATGAAAAATTTAAAATACTAGACAGTGGCAATAACTACAATTTTATTATTCATTTATAGGTTAAAAAAGAAAGGAGTTATTTTCTGCTTCTAAAAAATGTAATTCTCAAATCGCTTCTCAGTTTATGATGTTAGTCCAAAGACTAACAGTTTTAGTACGTACATTTATTTTGAATCTTGTTCCTGTTATTCATAATCTCTGCTATTACATTCTAAACTTCCATCTAGTCTTCTGAATAACCCATTTTTCCCTCCTCTACTCCATTTTTCATTGTAGCTAGAATGATTTTCAAAATGGAAGTTGAATCATTTTATTAACCCTCTTTAAAAGTTCTTTAGTGAGCCGAGACCGGTTTGGCTCAATGGATAGAGCATCGGCTTGGGTCTGAAGGGTCCCGGGTTTGATTCCGGTCAAGGGCATGTACCTTGGTTGCGGGCATATCCCCAGTAGGGGGTGTGCAAGAGGCAGCTGATCGATGACTCTCTCTCATCGATGTTTCTAACTCTCCATCTCTCTCCCTTCCTCTCTGTACAAAATCAATAAGATATATTTTTTGAAAAAAAGTTCTTTAGTGAATCATTTCCTTTATCTTACAGAGTGCTCCATGGTCTAAGCCTTTGATGCTAAATTTCTACTTTTTTTCTACCCTGTATCAGTTGTTTGTTGCCACATAATGCTGTAACAAACCACAAGACCAAGATAGCATGCTGCAATATGTATTTATTCTGCATGTGCTGGGGTCAGCTGGAAGTCAGAAGGCTTTCCTGATCTTAGCTGGGTTTAGTCACATGTAGGATTGACTGGCTGTCTATTTAGGTAATTAGGATAACTCAGCTCTGAGGCAGGGAACCTGATTGTCCCTGATCGCCGGTCAGGCTTAGGGACTCTATCTGTGCATGAATTTTGTGCACTGGGCCTCTAGTTATTTAATAAGGACTTAATGGAAGTATTTTAAAAAAATGTAAGGTACCAACGTTTGGGATAACTATGAGAAGTTATGAGAAATATTCAGTTCTTTAACCAAGTAATTCTGCTTGTAGAAATCTATCATATTTTAGGAATTTTTAAAATTATTTTATCAAATAGTTACTGAGTGCCTAGTATGATTTAGCCACAACTCTAGGCATCAAGGATACAGCAGTGGATTAAGCAGACTAAAATCTCTGGCTCATGGAGTTTACATTTTAGTGAAGGAAAGATAGACCAAGGGAAAAACATACCACATAATAAACATGTAAAATATATGAAGTGGAAGTTCTGTGGAGAAAAATAACCAGGCAAGGGGAATTAGGAGTGCCTGTGGGGTGGGTGAGTGATGTAGTGGAGAGGAGGGGCACTCCTGACTAGGAAAGAAAACTTATGTGAAGGGCACGCCATTTGAAAATTACCAGATGTACACAAAGATCTGTGTAGGAAAGTGCTTATCTCACTGATATTTATGGTAGTGAAATATAAGAAACAGCCTAGGTTTCCAGAGAGAAATGGGTAAGTTATAGAACAACTATATGAAAATACTATAGTATCTTTAAAAATTGTTACAGAAAAGTACTTAATAACAGAAAATGCTCAATACACCCAAAGTTAAAACAGTAGGATATAAAACAGTTCACACTGTATGATGCTAAACATAGAAAAAAGTATATAAAGTCTATGCACCTAATTATAAAAATGATTATTTTTTAGGTGATTAATATTTTTTCATTCTGATTTTCTGTAGTTCATCTACAATAAATATACATGCCTTTGTGGGAAGAAATGAGTTAAAGAGCTTTCCAAATAATGAATTTTTCATCAGCAAAATCACCGATATAATATGTTCACTCTGGTGGATCATGACTGTTTTACTAACAGTCATGAGATCTATGTGAGGTGGCATCTGTGGTCTCATTTTCATGTTCACCTTTTTCTGCAGGTTTGGTGTTTATGTTCCTCTCTGCTGTTTCCACCAAGATAGTAGAGCTCATCTTCTTCTCACAGACTATAACTACGTGGTTCAGCACCAGGCAGTAGAGGAAAGTGCCTCAACTGTGGGTGGCTTGGCCAAATCCAAAGACTTCCTCTCCTTATTGCTGGAGTCTCTCAAAGAACAATTTAATAATGCCACACCCATCCCCACCCACAGCTGCCCTTTATCTCCAGACCTCATTCGCAATGAAGTAGAATGTCTGAAAGCAGATTTCAACCACAGAATCAAGGAAGTTCTCTTCAACTCCCTCTTCAGTGCCTATTATGTTGCATTTCTCCCCTTGTGTTTTGTGAAGGTAAGTGGTTCCTTGCTTATACGTGCTCCTCGATTTGTGTGTGAATGACATAAACTGGGTATTTCTTATTTAATCCCCCTTTTCTCTGTCTCCCCCTTGGCAGCCTGGATGGTGGAGTTCGGCTGCATCTGGAGTGCCCTAATACCGCTCCTGGTTGGCGGATAGGTATTTCCATATATGTGATGCACCCGTGGTAGTCCCTTCTTTTTTTCTTTCCCCTCCTATTTTTTAAAGTTTTTTTTTTCCTTTCAGTTTCCGGGAGAATAAAACTTGTACTTATATAATCAGTATGTGGTAGTTTAAAAGAGGACCAAGGTTCAATAAAATGTAGTCTACTGTGATTGATCTTAACATGGTTATCAGGAGTTTCTTTGATTTAATCTAACCTCTATCTAAACTTCAATTTACTTCAGTAGAAAAGAAAAATGGTCTGGATGTCACTGGGCCCAAAATCTTTGGCACCTTTTAGTGCCTTTCCTTCACCCGTTGAGAAGCACATCTGCAGCCGGAGTGGTCGTTCTCAGAGAGCTCTCACTTCTTCTAGAAAGGAAGCACTTAAGATACAATTGCCTCTCCCTCCCAGCCCTAACTCACACAGTCAGAAAGTCAGGTTGAAGGATTTTGGAGGAGCCTGCTCTTGAACTTTCTGCGCGGACAGCAGGACAACCTGTGCATGAGTGACTGACTCAGTGTGGCATTTGTCTACAGGGCATATGTACACACAGCCATCTCTGCCTTTTTGTTCACTGGTACATGGGTCATTTCTCTCTCTTCTGATCTCTTCCAGAGTACCCAGTACTATGACATGCGCTGGTCGTGCGAACACCTCATTATGGTATGGATCAATGCTTTTGTCATGCTTACCACACAGCTGCTGCCATCCAAATACTGCGATTTGCTACATAAATCAGCTGCTCATCTAGGCAAGTGGCAGAAGCTTGAACATGGGTCCTACAGCAATGCTCCACAGCACATGTGAGTAGGCCACAGGGTAAAACCATATAACACCTTTCTACATGCTGCTGGTCATGTTTATTTGCCTGTATGTCATTCCTGTTCTTGGCTTTGAACATTTAATTTTTAGTTTTTGTCTACTGGGTGCTTGTCATCACTCTAAACCGAACACAGGGGACATTAACTCATTTCCACCATCATCCCCTGTACCTCCTTAAATGCCTCCTACCTTTGAGCTGCCCAGTCACTCTGGAGTGTCTAATTTCTTTCCCAAGCCATAATCTTGGAGTTTTCTTTCAGTCTTAACCCTTTGCCCAAATTCAGAGTCATGATATATTTTTAATTCTCTTTAAAAGACTATACGATCATCTTTTCATCTTCATTGCTACAGCTAAACAGGTGCTGGCTAATCATCTCACACTAGGCAGCTGGAATTTCCTTCTCATCTTTTCCTTCTAATAGATGTAAGTTTGTATTTTTTTCTGTACTTTTAGTTATATGTTTTTCTTTCCAAACTTGCTAATGGAATATTTCTCTGCTTTTTCAGTATTTAATGGAAACTGCACCTGATTGATTTCTCTCTGAGTATTCTTCTCATTGTGTCCTTGTCAGTCATTTCTCTGCATGGTTCCTCTGACCCAAAGTGGCTAACCTAAAAACCCTTTGTCCTCTCACTAATGAGCCTTCGACATGCCTTTCTCTCAGATCTGGACCATCTTCATCTTCCTCTCTTTTTATAATTTGAACATTTCACAAATTTCATCACCTAGAAATTCTTCCCTAATTAAGTGGGACAGATTGAGGTGACCTTCCCTTCTCCTCTCCCCTTCCCAGTTCTCCCTTCAATTATCTGCCTTGATGTCTGATACAGATTAGCACAGGCCTTCAAGCCCAGGAACTGAAAGAGATTGGGCCAGGCTGAGAGAAACCCGACTGTGGGCAAAGGACAAATTTCAATAAAAATTGAAAATACAATCCACAGTACTAGTACTGTACATCTTCAGGCTCCTGATGGCACATGGCCATGAGGTGTATCGTCACTTTAATGCTGGTAAGTGTGAGCAAGGCTGACAGAACATTTTCTGAACTGGGAAAGCTTCAGGGTGCTAGAATTTTTTTTTTTTTAACATATCTAAACGCTGTCCCAGTTCTTCTTTTAGGAAACTAACTTTTCCCAAGTCAGGAAGACATGAATTAACTTAGTTTTTTTTTTTTAAAAAAAAAAAGCTTAACCTGAAAATTCCCATCCCTACCCCAACTCCATTACACTGGTGCTGGAAATAATGAAGCTTCTTCCATAACTTCTTTTTCCAAGAGAAACCTCTATAAAATAAACCAAGAAAGCAGTAAAAAGATAAGTGTGTGTCTGTACCATGTGTGTCTCTGTGTTCTTCTGTATAGCTTCTTGCATATGTGAAGTGTTCGAAGTATGTAATAAACTGATTTTCTGTATAGCTCTTTGGGTTACAATTCTGCAGTACATGTCGTGCTAACTTGACAACCTGTTAATTTCTCCACTCCTGTTATAGCCATCCTCTTTCTCGTCTTGTTTGTTCCCTCTAGCATTTCTTCCAGTAGATTCTGCTCACATGGGATTCAGATGACAATCCACTTGCTTACATTTGATTTTTCTGACTCTTTGGTGCCTTACTTACACATTTATTTTTGCTCGTTCTCCTAAGCCTCTTAGTCCTTTTCCATTGAGCAAGTCGTATCACTTTGCAGCTTCTCTCTACAATATAGCAATGAAGTTATAATAACAAATTCTTTTTAACTCCTTCCGGTTTGACCATGGGAAACTGTATTTTCAGAATTCAGGCAGATGAAGCCTGGAATACTTAATTTCTTCCATAGAAGTAGAGCTGGCTTGCCAGACACTACCTTATCTGTAATTGCTAGTATGCTAACATTGCATTTCTTTCTCCCTTAGTTGGTCAGAAAACACAATATGGCCTCAAGGGGTGCTGGTGCGACATAGCAGATGCTTATATAGAGCCATGGGGCCCTACAATGTGGCAGTGCCTTCAGATGTATCTCATGCCCGCTTTTATGCAAGTACCACTTATTTCTTTTCAAACGTAAGCTTAGGAGTAAGTGTTAGGAGGCCTGTGTGTGTAGCACATACTAGGGAATTAGTACATGGTAATTATTGCTTCTATAATAATGGCCCTTGTCCTTTGGAAGTGTCTTTTGAAATGCAGTTTCAAGGTCAAATACCATTATCCCAGCTTCAACTTTTTTTTTTTTAAATGTATTTTATTAATTTTTTACAGAGAGGAAGGGAGAGAGAGAGAGAGCTAGAAACGTCGATGAGAGAGAAATATCGACCAGCTGCTTCTTGCACATCCCCTACCCGGGATGTGCCCGCAACCAATGTACATGCCCTTGACCGGAATCGAACCTGGGACCTGTTAGTCTGCAGACTGACGCTGTACCACTGAGCCAAACCGGCTTCGGCCCAGCTTCAACTTTTTTCCCTAGTTACATTAGAATTTGTTGAGTCTATTAGTATTACTTGATATGAGTAGACAGTTGTTTAAGACTTGTCTTTTTCATCTTAAAATATTTTGTAATAGTTTGATTTAATGTATGTATCCTTATTACATTGTATCTATGTATCCTTAAGCAATATTTAATATAATAATGTAATGGGATGGGTTTTGTTTTTCTGTTTTTGTAACTGTGATATATATCATCTCCTTAAAATACCTTTACTTCCCTTTGGAAAGTCAGACAAATGCCATGATCTGCAGCCTAACTTACTTTTTTCTATATTAAAAGGAAAAAAGGCTTAAAAGTCAAAAAGGAAAAAGCAATAGGCATCCACTGAACCCAGCTTCTCTTCCATTTGAATTTATGCATTGGGTTATGTTCTTGATCTTTCAGTTTTCCAGAAATTCTGACTCTAGGGGACAGAAGTGTTTACTTATTTGAGAAAGGCCAGATGACCAATGAGAAGGGGGAAAGAAGATGCATGCAGGGACCGTTCTTAATAAAAATGCCCATAGTGCAGTGCATTACCTTTAAATGGAGATCATACTCTAAAAAATAATTGGAGACCATCATTTTGAGATGCTTGTATTATTTTCTCCCTTCCTACTATGTTCCTTGTGAGGGTATATGACTTTTCTAGTTCTGCAGGTGTTTGCTACTAAGGGCCTTTCAATGAAATATTATACTATGGACCTGAATCAGGCCAAGATGTTTGTAATACCGGGAAGAGCAGGGCAGGGTGGGGGTTGGGAGGAGCATGTGGAAGGTGAAAGATCCTTGAGTGAGGAAACTATAAGCATCTCCTTTTGGTCTCCTGGAGGATTGCCTTATGATGGAGGAGTGGACTGAAGTCACACTGCATAAGCATTTGGTTTCGGTGCAGAGTATTTAATTCAGCCAGCTGAATTCCAGAGGCCATTAATTCTGTTGGCCCTTGCTGTCCCCTTGAAATCTACAATAACCAGATGTTGTATTAGAATTTTCTGATTGAAAAATAAGTATTTTCCTTGCTAGCACTGGACAGCTGGAGAATCGGATGGAATCCAAAGAAGAAGTTTTAGGGATGTTAACTTATTTCTGATTGTGCATGACCTAACAGGTAAATCAGTGCTTCTCAAAGTGGTCCTTCAGCCTTTTGCATATGTCATCTGGCTCACTCTTTAAAACCAGTGACGGAGGCTGCAGCCCCAGCCTTCTGAGTCAGAATCTCTGAAGGATTCCAGGAATCTGCAGCATTACATGTTTGGAAATTATTCTTAGGCACACTGACATTTGAGAAAACTTATTTAAAATGTGCCTGTGACTGATAGTTGTTAGAATTTAAAGCCTGTACTCACCTTTTTTACTCATTCAGTTTATAGCTTACTAGCACATTTAATTATAATTGCCATATAATCTCAAATATTAATTCTGAGCCAATTTTTATACAGGATACTACTGAATATCATGTAAAAAACCCAGGTTAAAAAAAACATTTTCTTTCTTCCAAAGGACCCTGAGAAGCTAACTATCTTTTAGAGGAAAGCTATTATGATAATTTGGTTTGATTCTCTGATTTGAGCCTTGAGGTCTAATTAGTTCTTTTAGATGTGCTATATTACCATACAGCAGTTTGCTACCTGTAACTTCTGAGTTTCTATTAATTAATGCATTTTTATAAGTAAACCAGGATTTAGTCTCTTAGAATGAAGAATTTGGTTGGAGTGAAAAATATTGAACCCTGTTTTTAGCCAAATTTTATTTATGACTGATTTTTCCTTTCTTCCTCATTGTCCTGTGTTTCTGCATTCTACTTCTTAATACCCAGAAAAACAAAACAAAAAAACAAAACACTAGAAATAAGTGATGTATAAGATTTGAGACAGTGATCATGGTGGGTTAAAAAAAAAAAAATCTTAAAGATAAATTAATTAATTAATTATTGTATTGATATCTCAATACAATAATTTTTTAATAGACTAGCCCACAAACTTATGTTGAATTTGGTTATGTCTTAAATGGTTATGTAAATACCTACATAATATCTGTAGTTTTTGCCTCTTGAGTTGCCAAGTCTAAAATATTTCCCACTTGGTCCTTTACCTACCTGCTATCTTAGGTAAATATACTTTTGGTTATCTCAAAATATATACCTAAAATATAATCTAAGAAAAATCTTCAGAGGCAGAGTTCTTTTGGGTATAATCCTTTTTTGTATTTCAGGGGTATTGAAATAAAATTTATTTCATCAATAAATTTTGAGCAAAAAGAAAAATGTTTGGGTCTTTACCATAAGAAATAGCCTGGTTGATACTTAGTAAGAAGATCCATTTTTATTGCATAGAAGAACCTATAAATATGAGATTATTTTAGGGAAAGTGAGAACAAGTATAGTCTCTATGAAATAACATTTTGTTTTTTAATTTCCTTACAGTTCCTATTTCATCGCCCATTAAGGCTGTTGAATCTGCTTATCCTCATTGAGGGCAGTGTCGTCTTCTACCAGCTCTATTCCTTGCTGCGGTCAGAGAAGTGGAACCATACTCTTTCCATGGCTCTCATCCTCTTCTGCAACTACTATGTTTTATTTAAGCTTCTCCGGGACAGAATAGTATTAGGCAGGGCGTACTCCTATCCACTCAACAGTTATGAACTGAAGGCAAACTAAGCTGCCTCTCAACAATGAGGGAGAACTCAGATAAAAATATTTTTCATACGTTCTATTTTTTTTTCTTGCGATTTTTATAAATATTTAAGATATTTTATATTTTGTATACTATTATGTTTCGAAAGTGGGAAGGGTAAGGGATATTAAATGTATCCATAAACAAGGTGATGTGATCTTTCATGTGTTAGTACATTTGAATAATATACATCTGAGAGGTGTGCCTCTCCAGTAAAGAAACTGATTTGTTTGTATGGCTTCAGAAGAACTCATTCATTTATGAGCACATGTCATATATCTCTTGACATAGTACTTTGCAGTGTTCACTTTTAATCCTTTTAGTTATCTTTAGTCCTCAGTTGACCTTATTGCTACCGAAAGAAAGATCAGTGGAGTTGCCTGCCAACACCCATTCTTTCTTCAGCTGGCTAATAGAATTAGAATGCACAGGGGAAAGAGTAGGTTGTACTTAGTCCTGAGTGGGATTCTCTTGGTTGCTTACTGGGAGGAAGCATTTCTGTGAGAGAAACTCAGTGGTCTCTTTTGCCCGATACCATTTAAATATACTTTTGAATAAGCTACTGTCCTGAATCTCAGGATATTGCTGTCATTTTCCCTGATATTTTATTTCTTTTGCCTTTGAAGATTATCTTTTTGTTTTTAGCTATTTGAAATAATACTTTTTAAGACAGAAAGTCTTTAAGACTGGCCACATTCATGAAGGAGATGGTATATGGCCAGATCAGTGGGAGAAGATGAGTGCATGTGCCATGTGGGCTGGCGTGTGGGCAGGTTGAAGACACCAGGTACCTGGGAGAATAAGTGAGTCCTCTGCTAAATAGTCACAGGCACAGGTCAGCAGTAGCCCACGCACAGTTGCATATTTGGAGTTATGAGTGGAAGTAAATTCTAGGAAATTACTTCTTTTTCCTCTAATAATTTGATCTGTGCCCAAAATGTGTGTCTTTAATTTCATACCCAGAGCATTCATGTTTGTGAGCATTAACCCTTTTCAGTTCTTGACATGTAATATACACTTAGTCAATTGACGCCACCAGTCACCCAAACTTCTGAGGCCTTGTCTGAGAGCCTCAGTATATTCTTATATTTCTGTTCTTGGTTGGCTTTTTTACTTTGTGAAGCTGGTGAAACACAATGTGAAGTAAGAAGACCAATCATGTAATTCATCAACTGGCTCTGAAAATGATTCTTGCAGAAGAATTCCCAGCAAAGGTAGCATTATGAATATAGGTATGTGTGTAGCTATCTACGGTGACTGCTATGTTTAAAAAATTTTTCCCTTAAATATTTTGCCTCAGATACTTTTTATTTTTTAAAGTAAAACTATTTGGCATTCAGTCTGAGTCTATTTGGCCATTCCAAGAAATCTGTATTGCCTTTTCTGGTTTGGTTCAGTGGATAGAGTGTTGGCTCATGGACTGAAAGGTCCCTGGTTCGATTCCAGTCAAGGGCACATGTCTAGGTTGCAGGCTTGATCCTGGGTGAGCAAGAGGCAACCAATCGATGTGTCTTTTTACATTGATATTTTTCTCTGTCTCTCCCCCTCACTTCCACTCTCTCTAAAAAGCAATGGGAGAAATACCCGTAGGTGAGGATTAACAAGAACACAAAACAAAAAATTTTTAGTGACCATTAGGCACTGTAGTAGGCATTGGAGGACATAGTCTTATGAATAAGATCTGCAAAACCTTACCCTCATACAATGTGGAGGTTAGGAGGCATGGATGTAAATTGTGCCATAAATAAATTTATATTGTCTCCTGGTAGTAGTAAGTGTGGTCAAAAGAAGATAAATCAGGGCAAGGAAATAGGAAGTGTAAGAAATAGTATTGCTAGAAGGCATCTCAGATGATTTTTGAGCAAAGACCAGAAGCAAGACTGAGCCATGTAAGTAGCTTTGGGGAGAATTCCATGTTATAGTAACAGCAAGGGCAATGCCCCTGAGGTGGGAACAGTTTTGGCATATTGGGAAAATAGTAAGATAAGCAGTGATTTTGGTTTTTGGTGTGTTTTTATTTTTTTAATTTTTTTTATGTGAAGTGGTTCAGCCTAATTATGGTGGTTCTTGGGGTGGGAGTGGGTGGTAAAGCTGTCATCTTTCCTTAGGATCTTGAAGATATGCTTCTTTTGACTAAAAAACATTTTGATAAGATTGACAGCTAAAAGCAAAATGGGTGGCCTACACATAAGGCTGTCTCATCAAAACAGCTCCAAGTTGGCTCTTTGATTGGCTCCAGATAATTGACTAGAGATCATAGACTAGTCTTGTAAGCTGACAACATTTCCGCTGCTAGTTTGACCTGTCTTGGCCGTATCCTACGGGAGCAGCACAGGAGAAACATGTAAGGTTGACTAAACAAATGAGAGGATGTAAGAAAGAAATATTGTGGTCAGTGGGATTGCAAAAGTGCCCCTCTCTTTCAGATATGACAGCACCAGGGAGATAAAAACACCTATCCTTCAGTTAATCATGCTCCTGCTCATTTCAGCTGTCCTTTGTAGGTGCCGCATTCAGATGGGGAGAGGAAAATTACTAATTACCTGTGTGACCTATTATTTACGGATCATGTGAAAGAAAGGATACCATCTTGCTTAGTGATAGGAGAAGGAACATGCCCATTAAAGAAGGTCCCCTTTTTTAGGTAATTGTTTATATGTTGGGAAATTAAATGGTTTGGGGGAAAAGGTCAATTGGGTGAACTTGGGATACTGTGAAAGGAAAAGATGCTTGACCAGTTTTAGTTATATGGGTTCCTTAAGAGGATAAATGTGTCAGAGGTGGATAATCCAAGGCATGAGCATGGTGGAAATGTTCCTCAATACTCTGTTTACTCTGGCTCCATATTGTGTTCCCTAAGCTTCCTTCCCTCTGCTCCCTATCAGTTACCACCACCTCACAACCCATTTCTGTTTACTGAGTATCTGTGCCAGACACTATGGGTGCCATAAAGAGTTTGACTAATAGAAGGCAAACAAGTCAGTAATTGTAACACAAAGGTGTTCAGTAAAGGAAGTATATACAGGATACAGAGGAGAGGCAGAAAAGAGGATGAGCAACCTCTAACACGGTGCATTTTGGGGGAGGATTAGATATTTGCCACATGGGTGAGGGAGGTGGGGTTCATGCAGTGAGAACAGGATATACAAAAAGTTGAGGCATGAGACTGTACTAGGTTTTTAAATAACCAGTTCAATAATGCTGGAGAGGTAGGCAAGGAATAGATTAAAAGGGACTTGAATTTTACATTAAGGGATTTGTAGATTGTAGGTTCTCAAAGGGGTGATTCTTGGATACTGCGTCAGATCTAAGTCAAAGTCTTGAGGGTGAAGCTCAATAATATACACCTTTCACACACAATTTTTTAAAAATTTGTTAAAAATTTTTTATATTAAAAGGCATGAAGTTTCTATGTAGAACAAAACTGGTTCTACCAATAATTGAAAGAAAAATAAAAGAGCAAGGGAGAGAAACTGTTACAGTGTAATTCAGATCATTCTAAAAAGCAAAATCAAGTGCAATTTTATTTACAAATGGTATATATTAAAGGTTTTTTCTATTTCAAATGTACGTTAGAGAAAAATGTTAGCTTAACTCTTGACATCTGCTATTGTGTCATCCCATTGCTGGCAATGTGGTGCACACTGACGTAATTTTTAAGCAGATAGGTCTGGGAACTTTTTGTAGACGGAAGACAGCTAATGAAAGATTTTAAGCTGAGGAATTATAACCCAGCGGATTCTCAGGTCAAGGGTTCTGAAAGAGGAATCAACCAGCAGCAGCATCGTCTAACTGGGAACTTGTTAGAAATGAAAAATTTTGAGCCGTACTCCAAACCTACTGAGTTAGAAAACTCTGTGGAGCCCCTAAGTCTGTTTTAAGGTAGTCTCCAGGTGATTTTGAAGAGACCCTCTATTAGACAACATTGGCAGCAATATGTAGGATAGGTTTGGAAAATGAAGGGATGTCAAATGCAGACTTACAGCAGAGACCAATTAGCCAACCATTTAAAAAAAAAAAAAAATCCATGCAAGAGAGTGTGGAAGGTGGAGTGCCACCACTTGGGTGATAGAAAAGGCCACGGGCAGGTAGAAGCTGATGTAGGGAAAATATATGGGGTGAAAAGAGAAGAAAGGGCAGAATTCTGGTGAATAACAAGAAGAGGAAACTTTCAAATGAACAAGAGTAAGAAAACGAAAGTCTGAGGTGAACTAGAATTTCAAGAAAAGGAATGATCGGAGTCCTCCAAGATGGCTGCGCCCAGGTGAATACCTAGCTGCAGCCTCACACAACAATTTCAATAAAATACAACTAAAATATAAAATGGACATTACCCAGAACTACAGGAAAGTTGACTGACTGGAAATTCTACAACGAGAAGCAAGGAGAAAACCAGAAGGAAGCGCGGAGGAGCTGGAAAAGCCGAAGGTACGGAGACAAGCAGCGCGCGGAGAGGAGGGAGGCGGAGTGCCTGGCGGGCCTTCCCAAGCCGGAAAGAGATAAAACTCTGACTGTGCTGGGCCCCCGACTGCTCTGAACCCAAGCCTAGGCCAGACCCCGGGAACTCAGGCTCAGCAAGAGGGAGCTGGGCTGCGAGGCGGAACCCGGGGAAGCTGCGAAAGGAGGTCCCGGCGGTGGCGCCCAGAGCACGCTGAGAAGGGACGGCCGGCTGTGCCGCGGGATTGCCTGGCGGGAAGGAGACAGGAGCTCTGGACTGCTCTGAACGCCACCTCCAACTCCACTTCCAACTGAACTGAACCCCAATACCGGGCTCATTGGGGGAGAGCATTGACTGTTTGGCAGCAAGCGAAAATCGAGGGCACCTTTCTCTCAGAGGCGCCGGCAGCGAGCACTGAAGGACCCGCATAGGGCGGGGCTGACGGAAGCCAAAGCTGCAGGCTCCACCCTGAAACCCCGCCCCATCTGTAACTGTGAAATGCGACCACGAAATAGATCACAAACGAAAGAAATGGAGGACAAAAAG